TCTTCTCCCATCTCTTACCTGGCCGGAATGTTAGTTAACACCTTCTTTGGGGCACTCAAATCCATGAATCTATATCTAATTTTTGTTAACATAACACACACACACACTTCAAAAACAGAGCTACAGGCTTAGAAGAGAACACAGACCGACACCATCCCAATTCCAGCTTTCTAAAAGCCATGCTATGGAAGCATCATTATTTTCAGAATTCCCTTTTAGATATTACCAAGCAACCACCTACTGCTGTGTTTGAATAATTATTTAATTGACTTCTTTCACCACCTGATGGTTTTTCTGATTATTTCAAGTATACTTTATAAATTAACACTACATAGGTTTATGATTATGAATATTGTTCTTTTTTATTTCTTGTGTATTTTTCTGAAATTAATACTTTTGGTCTTTTTTCTTCTTAAGAAGGTGGCTTTTGAGCAAACACTTGAAAGGGTCGCAGGGAGCCATGGGACCACTTGGGGGATGGGAGTTCCACATGGAAGCAATCGCTGCAGCGAAGGTCCCGGGATTGTGCTTGCAGCGGTTGAGCGAGGATGCTACTGCGAGTATAACGAAATGGGAAGTGTGCTTGAAGATGTGACACAGGCAAAGCTGCATAGGGCCTTGTAGCCATGATGGCAACTTAGGATTTTATTCTAAATGCGTTGCGAAGTCAGTGGGAGGTCCTGAACAGAAGAATGGCAAGGCCAAACTTCTACTTTTTGTTTTCAGATTTGTTTATTTATTTGAAATGTCAGAGATAAGAAAGTAGGAGAGAGCACGAATCAGCAGAAGAGTGTGAGATAATTCTCCTATACCCTGCTTTACTCCCAGGGCTACAAAGGTCAAGGTTGGGCCAGGCTGAAAACCAGAGCCCTCCCACATGGGTAACAGCAGCCCAAATGTTTGAGCCCCTTTACACTGCTTTTCCCAGGCCATCAACAGTGTGATGGATCAGAAGTGGAGCAGGTGGGACAAGAAACAGCACCCATAGAAGAGGCCAGGTGTGGCTTTAATTGCTACATGACAACGCTGGTCTCAGCTTCTTCTCCTTCTTTTTAAAATACTACTCTTAGAAAGAATCATGAGAGCTATTATGAGCAATTATATGCCAACAACTGGATAACTTAGAAGAAATAGATAATACCCACACATACAGAAGCTATCAAGACTAAATCATGAAGGAAGAAAAATTTGAAGAGATCAGTGAGTGAGGAGAACGGAATCAGGACTTAAAATGTCTCCAATCCAAGAAAAGTGCAGGACCTGAGCATTCCTTGCTGAATTATAACAAACATTTAGAGAACAAATATTAATTTTCTACAATTTTTCCCAAAAGATGAGAGAAAATATTTCCAAATTCTTTTTTTTAAAGATTTATTTTTTATTTATTTTTTTATTGGAAAGGCAGATATACAGAGAGGAAGATCTTCCGTCCGATGATTCACTCCCCAAGTGAGCCACAACGGCTGGTACTGCGCTGATCTGAAGCCAGGAGCCTCTTCCGGGTCTCCCACGCGGGTGCAGGTTCCCAAAGCTTTGGGCCGTCCTCAACTGCCTTCCCAGACCACAGGCAGGGAACTGGATGGGAAGCGGGGCTGCCGGGACTAGAACTGGTGCCCATATGGGATCCTGGGCGTGCAAGGCAAGGACCTTAACCACTGCGTCATCGCGCCGGGCCCAATATTTCCAAATTCTTATGTCAAGGTTAGCATCACCCTGATACCAAAACCAGACAATGACATCACAAGAAAACCACATGTCAGTATTCTAGATGAGGGCCAGTGCCATGGCTCAACAGGCTAATTGTGCACTTTCACACACCAGCATCCCATCTGGGTGCTTGTTCGTGTCCCAGCTGCTCCACTTCCCAACCAGCTCCCTGCTTATGGTTTGGGAAGAAGTGGAGGATGGCCCAAAGCTTTGAAGTTCTTGCATCCATGTGGGAGACCTGGAAGAAGTTCCAGCTCTTGGCTTTGGATCACCTCAGCTCTGGCTGTTTTGGTCATTTGGGGAGTGAACTAGTGCATGGAAGATATTTCTTTGTTTCTCCTTTTGTAAGTATGCCTTTCCAATAAAAATAAATAAATCTTAAAAAAAAAATCCTCGCTGAACAATGTAGCAATCCTCAACAAAATTCTAGAAAACTAGACAGCACATGGGATGTACCATTCACAATGAAAGTGGGATTTATCCCTGGGTTGCAAGAATGATTCAACATTTTCAGATCAATAAGTGTGATCTATCACATTGATAGAACAAAATATAAAAAATACGGTAATCTCATCACATGCAGAAAAAAAAAGAATCTGACAAAATTCAACACATTTTCATGATTAAAAAATTCAACAAATTAGGCACAGAAGGAATACAGTTCAACATAATAAAAGTTATATATGATATGCCTACAACAAACAGTGTATTCAATGGTAAAAAATTAGAATCTTTTCCTTTAAGATCTGAAAAAGCCAAGGATGCCCGCCCTTGCCACTTTTATCTAACGTGGTACTGGAAGTCCCTGCCAGATCAATGAGGCAAGAGAAAGGAAATAAAAGGCATCCAAATAAAGAAAAAGTGAAACTGTCATTTTTTTTGCTGATGAAATGATCCTATATATAGAAAACAGTTGAGTAACAACAAAACTCTGATAAATGAATTCAGTATTGTTGCAGGGTGCAAAATCAACACACAAAAATCATTAACATTTCTCCACACAAACAACAGACATTCCAAAAAGGAACTTTTAGAGGACAGCCTCATTTACAATAGTTAAAAAAATTACATGGGAGGCAATTTAACCAAGGAGGGGAAAGACTTGTGTGCAGAAAAGTACAGAATACCAATGAAAGAATCTGAAGAAGACACAAATAAATGGAAAGATGTTTTGCATTTACAGAGTAGAAGAAATAATACCATGAAAATATCCTTACTACTCAAAAGCAGTCTGTACATTCAATGTTCTCTCTGTCAAAATCCCAGTGACACTTTACATAAACATAGGAAAGACAATCTGGTTTCCTCCAAAATCCAGGAGGGGCTTGAAGGAGATGACCCAGTAAACTTTTTAGGCTTCTCCAATAGTTTGAGCCACACAGTAGCCATGGTCTTCTATACACTAGAGAAACCTAGAATGCATGAGAAGAGTGGCCGGCCCCTGCCAGGGCCTTGGAGATCAACCAGTTCAGAGCTTGTTTGGGGAAGTGGGACACAGATATCTCCAACGGATCAGAAGCCAGGCAGGGGCATGGCAGTACGGCCGGAGGTTGTCTTAGTTCTAGTACAAGCACAAGCGGTTCATTTGCTTAGGGCAAATGAATCACTGGAGAACAAAGACCCCAGTGATTTAGCAAGGGTCTCCAAAGAGCTCAGGTGAGCATCCTGCTACAGAAAGGGTCAGATTTTGGTCTGGCTCAGATGTAGACTCCTAACATCAACCAGACTGTCCTCCCTTTTGTCCTGCTTCTATCTGTTCAAATGGGAAAGAAGATGAGTAGTTACTAACGTCAACAGCAAGCGTGATGAATCACATGCCCTTCCCCCAGCACACTAGAAAACTTACGCGGAACCAAAGGGAAAATCACCTAGTGAATATCATCTCTATACCTGTGCTTGTCTCACTAAATAGTTACACATATGAGAAGACTTCCGCTGACACACAGCTATGTTGTGGCCACAACGAAATGCTTACTAATTTTGTTTTTTTTTTATGTTTAAAAAATATTTCTTATTCTCTCATATTTTTTAAATTGTCTCATATTTGGAACTTTCAAGTTAGGGGTCTTTTAAAATTTATTTTGACATTTTATTATTATTATTGTCATTTTATGATACAGTTCCACAGGCTCCTGGCATTTCCTTTATCCCCTCCCCAATTCCCTCCTCTCCCCCCACTAGTTTCTCTATATCATTACTTAAATATAGCTCTTCATACACAGTCATATGTCCATCATTGCGAAAATGGACAATGGCAGAGAGTCCAGCATCCTATTGTCAACATATAGTGAACAGTTTCATTGTAAGTCTATCTTTGTCTGGAAGTAGAAATGCACACTACATTGTACCTCACATCTGGATATGCTAGTCTCCATTTTACAGCTACTATATATCACCTTAAATGAAAAGTCTTAATACAAAATCAACAATAGAAAGAAAAATAGAAATTTACAATGCCATGAAGTTAAATGACATGTTACTAGATATGACAGTCTCTATTACACAGCTACTATACATCCCCTTAAATGAAAAGCCACAAAACAAAAAGAAATTAACCACACCATGAAGTTAAATAACGTGCTACTAGATGACTAACATGTAGCTGAAGAAATGAAAATCAAGAATCTTCTTGAAGAAAATGATGCCACTGTATGATCTACGAGTCACTGAATGATTTAATCAGAAGAAAGTGTTTTGAAGAGAGGAAACTAACAGAAAACAACAAAACCCATGTGATATAGTCTCCACTGAATTTTGTCGGTGAAATGCGTCTCTAAGATAGGGGGTCTTATGTTTGTATGTCCCACAGCAGTATCAGGTGGACAGAACAGCTCTGTGTGGGCACAGCGGGAAGATCCCTAGACTGGATTCAGAAGGTGTGAGCTCAAGTCTCGGCTTCTTATTCCTTCCTTGCTTGCTTCCTTCCTTCCTTCCTTCCTTCCTTCCTTCCTTCCTCCCTCCCTCCCTCCCTCCCTCCCTTCCTTCTCTTTCTCTCTTTCTTTTCTTTCTCAGTCATCTCTGTGCTTCGCAGCAGCTCAGTCTGGTCTGCAGAGCCACACTTCTCTAATCTGTCAGGTGAGGCATTGGCCCTAGCTGACCTGTCTGTCATGTTTGGGTTGGGTTGGGTCTTTGTGGAACCTGACAGATGACCAGTTCCACTACACATTCATTTGTTTAATGAATGGACCAGTGAGGGCCGCAGCTGGCTGGAAGCCCTTCTCTGTTGCCCTTTTATCCCTTGGCCACTGCATTTCCTCTAGCACTTGCCCTGGGGAGCAGGGAGGCAGCCTCACCTTGTTGAGGGTGTTGAGAGCCTCCTGGGCCGCTGTGAGCGCCGGCTCTGCTTTGGCCAGGTCTTCCTCACAGTCCTTCCGCTTGCGCTCCACCTCCAGCATGATGAGGGCCACCCTCTGCTCCTCCTCGTCGGCCACAGCCTTCTCTCGGCTCACTTTTTCCGTCTCCACGCCTACCACGCGGATCAGCTTGTCCGCATCTTCGTTCTTCTGCTTCAGCTCCACTTCCTGGGTGGCCAGCTTGGCTTTCAGGGCATCCACCTGCAGCAGAGAGGCACGGGGCTCCTCAGGAGGAGCTGAGGCAAGAGGAGCAGAGGGGCCCCTGAGGACCCTGCTGCACAGAGCAGAACAACAGAGCACCAACTGAAAGACGCAGAGGTTGTGGCTGGAATCCAGTTTCTGCACATAGAAAGGAAAAGAACCCTGGACACTTCAGGAATATTCTGAATGATATGTGCCTTTTGCCTTGATTATAAATGACTTAAGCTGTTTCTTACCGACATTGATGCCTGTGGCTTGCACGTACTAGCTGGTTAATAAAGTTCAGTTGTTTAATGTAAATGGGCTAATGTGGAACAAAACGCATTGTGGTGCAGAGGGTTTAGCTGCTGTTGTTGCTGTGAGTTTCCTATCTCTGGGTGCCGGTTTCAACACTAGTTGTCTTGCTTCCAATCGAGTTTCCTGCTAATGCACTTGAGAAGGAAGCAGAGGCTGACCTGAGTACCTGAGTCCAGGTCACCCACAAGGGAGACCAGGTGGAGTTCCTTACTTTGTCCTGGTCCACACATTGTTAGGACTATTTGGGGAGAAAACCAGTGGATGGAAGATCTTTCTCTGCCTCTATTCCTCCCTTCCTGTCTCTTTTTCTGCCTTCTAAATAAACAAGTACTTTTAAAAAAGTTGGCTAGGGCCTGGCACAGTAGCCTAATGGCTAAAATTCTCGTTTGTACACACCAGGACCCCATATGGGCACTGGTTCATGTCCCGGCTGCTCCACTTCCATTCAGGCTCCCTGCTTGTGGCCTGGGAAGGCAACAGAGGACGGCCCAAGGCCTTGGGACCCTGTACCAGCATGGGAGACCTGGAAGAAGCTCCTGGCTCCCAGCTTTGGATAGGCTCAGCTCTGGCCATTGCCCTACATGGGGAGTGAATCAGCAGATAAAAGATCTTTCTGTTTCTCTTTCTTTCTGTAAATACGACTTTCCAATAATAATAATAATAAAAAAGAGGCTAACATGGAAATTGTTAAATATTCACATAAAGGAAATGTTACTATGCTTGCTGAGAGAATGAACAGACTAGTGGGCAGTGGCTAGAACATACATGATATCAACTCCGGTCCTCCAACCTGCAGCACACTGCCTAGGAAACCAGTGCCTTGTCTAAAAGAACCCGCTCAGGTGGCCAGCGTGCTCAAGTCAGAGATGCAGGAAATCAGATTTCTATCTTTTATCATAACCTAGGGGTGGCTGATATCAGGTGGCAGTTCCTCATCCCTGGGTACTGGGACATTTGGAAAGTTGTATGTGGCCTCCCCCTTTATTTCTCTCCTTCCCCCAGAAATAAGAAGAAATAGCAAATTTGGAAACAATGAGTTCACTCAATTTTCCCTAAACCTCCATCCTTCCCACGCTGATCAACCATGTAGTCATTATAAAAATTAGAACAATTATTTAAAATAATAATAGTATCATTATAACCCAGGGAGACAAACAGTAACTTCTGACCACAAATGACTAGAATTTGCTCAGTAATGAACCATGTGGATTTCTGTCTCTGTTTCCAACTTGAAACCAGCCAGAGAAACGCAAACCTGTTCCTCCTGATCAATGACACAGGAGTCCCCACTTGTAGCAGTGGCTTCCACGCCAAGCTCCTCCGATCAGACACATGCGAAGACAGCACTGCCTTGTCTTTCTCTACTAAACACAAGGGCTGGTGGCTGCCTCCCTTTCTGTAGCAAGCTCCGAAAGAGATGGTTTTGGATGATTCTCCTCTGGTTGGTCTCCATCTATTTCCATAATCCTTGCTAGAGACAGATGACCGGGTCAAGGTAGATGCATGAATCAGCTGGATTTTCCATCCAGTCTCTCAAGTCGTGTCTAATCAAGGAATGAAGCGAAGGGAATACCATTCGACTTGTCTTCTGCACATGCGAGAGAGGAGTGGTTTTCTCTTTGCCCTCAGAGCTTCAGAGTACAACATTTCTCAGAATGTGTTTGCTGGACAAAGCAGCGTCGACGTGGGCATCACCTGTGAAATGGGACGGATGTGCAAAGCCCCGAGCCCACATTGGGACTTCCTAAGTCAGAAAGTCTGGGAGTGGCAACCGGCAGTCTGCCAGTCTTCGCTGTAACAAGAGCTTCTGGGTAATTCTGCTGCCCCCTTGAGTTTTTCTTTTTTTCAGATGCAAAGGGGGAGGCTCAGGCTATTTATTTCTGGATATAAAAAAATAGCATTTGCATGTGCAACATGGCCCATAAACTTTACATTCCAGAATGACCTCTTGCCTCTCATTTTGCCGCAGTCTTTCACGCCACAGTCAAAGATTACTTCAGAGCTCCGGGAACACGTCAGGCAGATTCGAATGCTTTATGATGCAAAATACACGAGGGGCCAAGTCAAGCAAAGCTTAGGTGCTGCTAATTCCCTTTTTCATGGCAGAGCAGAAGAAAAGGAAGGGGTTTAAAAAAAACTGCTCTTTAATTTTGTGTATTCATAGCAACTAAAGACTTTGTATAAACCTCCAATGCCCCCGTCCTCCAAGAACTTGTCTCAGATTCACATGTTGGAAGGTTAATCCATTTGCAGCTCCCGCTGTTCAGCTGCAGAATTATTTCTACAAGGACAAAGATGCAATTGTAAATCAAAATGATTGAGTCACATAATCACTCCAGTCGGCAAACACACTAGGAACTTTGTTCTTTTTTTAAGTCTTGTGAGATTTCAGAAAATTGAAGTGGATTTTTTTGTTTTGTTTTGTTTTTGCACTTTTGTTGTTGTTGCAGTGGTTTTGTTTAACGGATTGCAGATGTGGGTTATGACCTCAGATCCAAGGTAAGTGACTTCCGGACGGTGAATGGGAGCCTTGTAGCTCTTCAGCGGTGACAAGGAAGTGATGCGTTGGACCTACCCGTTAGAACTAGGCCCTTCTCAGGAAGCTACATTCATTCTATGGTTCCGCCATAGAACATACTGAAATAGGTTATTTTGTAAAGATTTATTTATTTATTTGAAAGGAAGAGTAATGGAGAGAGGGAGTGAGAGAGAGAAAGGGATTTGCTCATTTACTGCCCAAGTGGCTGCAATGGTTTGGGGCTAAGCCAGGTACTCCATCCTAGTTCCTCACATGGAGAGCAGGGTCCCAAGTACTTGCACCATCTTCTGCTGCCCTCCCCAAAACATTAACAGGGCAGTCGGGACCTGAACTGGTGCTCTCATGTGGGGATGCGCATGTTGGAGAGTGGCTGGTGTGCTGTGCCACAATGCCAGACCACAAAACAGGTTACTTTCAAGCTCTTTCTGGTGACGTAACAGGTTAAGCTGCTACCCATGATGCTGGGATTCCCATATGGATGCTGGATAGAGCCCCAGTTTGTTATGTTTTCTGCTTTGACAAAAACTTTTCCTATTTTGCTAACACAGACTGCTTTCCCTTTGGAGAAAGGAAAGAGATAGTACTTTGAAGATGAGGAGAGAGCATGTCTCTGGAAATCAGTCATTGCCAGACCTAGAAAAACACAGAGCTGAAGCTGCTTGAGTTTATCAGCACAAGAGTTTCTGTGAAATCGCTTCAGGAAAACAGGTTTAAGCAAATGAACAAAAACAGCCATGGAATGTGTTGAAAAGGGGGAAAGGAAGAGATGAGGAAGAGTTGCTGAGAAATTAAAAATGCAGAGCATAATTAAAGTCTTCATTGCAAGGCATAAAAAGTAGCAGCAATCTCATACATGATTAAATAAGTGTTTTGTCAGGATAGCTTGCAAGGCTTTCCTAGAATATGGAGAGGAAAGCCGAAGGTCTGAAAACAAGAACAGAATAGATACAGGGAACAAGGAACCCATCCAGCTTGCCACTGCTCCTGGATGGGAGGCCAGACTAGGTGAACAAAACCATGCACTGGAAACAATTCCTGAGCAGAAGAGAGACTGTGGCAGAAACAGCAAAGCCTCATGGCGTGGCTCTAAATTAAATATCAACAGAGCAATTCCAAAAGCAAAATTCTCAAGAAAAGAATGACTTAGAGCTACAGACACACGGGATGTCCAAATGTGAAGTCGAGCTGGCTGGTTCATAACTATGAGAGAACTTATCAAACTTCGCCTTCTTCATGAGAAAGCGCATCCTGCTGCTGGTGAACCAAGGAAAAGAGGCAGCAGGGTGGCATGAGAAGGGGGCAGAGCAGGTGCTAACGTTATCTCCAGTTCCTGAGGGAAGAAGGGCAAATTGACCAAAACGAACTTATTCCATTGATGAGAGTAAACAGAACAATATAACAAGGACATGGCGATTGAAGTCTTCCTAGGGACCTAAAAATATATAAGAAAATGCAGACAATACTATAGGATTTGTTTCAGAAGTGAGATGCCCATGTAAGGACAAGAAAAATAAATGAAGAAAACCGGCATAACCCTGCATCTGTTGCTGGTGGAAGGTGATTTGGTCATGAATCCCACATGGATGTGTGAGTACAGTCTCGTGGAATTGGGATTAGGTCACCAGGGAGTAGGTTAGTTCCCAAGAGAATGGGTTGGCAATGGCAAGCCTGGAACATCCCCTGAGTCCCTCCCCCACACCTGTTGCTCTCCTCTGGCACAAGCACTTCTGCCTCTGTGAGAGCATCTGTCCCGAGGTGCTCACCAGAGCTGACCAGATGTGAGAGCCGTGCTCTCGGGCCTCTGGAAGCATGAGCTAAACAAACCTCTCTGCTTTACAAAATACTCACCTGAGGGTAGGAGAGCGACAGAGAATGGACTAAGGCGGAGGGGAAGTGTGTTGGAGAGGAGAGCGAGGAAGAGGGAAAGGGGGAGATTGTAAGGAGGAAAAGGGAGAGAGCAGGTGTCAAGGAGGAGTCCAGCATCCCTGTGAGGACCCAGCCATCTAACCCCAAGGCTGAGGGCTGTGCCTCTGCTGGGGGAACTTGATCTTCACTTTGGGGTTGTTTGCGCAGAAAACCTTGGGAACCATCTATATTTTCCCGTACTGATTGTGATCTCTCCCACCTTCCCTCTCCCCCCTCTTTCCTTCCCCATTCCCCCCAGTAAGGGCAGCTCCCCTGGGGGTGGGTGAGGAGGAGGGTACTCGCCTGGGCAGAGGTGCTGTCGAGCTTGAGCAGCCCGTTTTCAAGCCGCTCCATTTTGGACTTGAGATCTTTGCTATTCCTGTACAGTAGGCTCTGGTAGAGCCTGATGAACTCCAGGAAGGACTTGGGGGTTGTGCAGTTGTAGCGTTGCTCATTGCTCAAATAGGACTGGGATGTTTTGTTGACACTTGAGTGGACAAAAGCCATGAATTTGCTGATTGACTGCTTGACTGTAGGCTGAAAAGAACCAAAAGAAAAAAAAAGGAAGAGGAAATAAAGAGATCATCTCACCATCAATAGTAGATAGAAGCAGCTGCCCAGCCCACTGGTGCCTTTAGCACACTGGACTTGGCGTTCCACCCATGCCATCCAAGGATGACTTATAACCCTGACTTTCTAGGCCCAGGATCGCTTGTGTTATAAGGTAGGGAGGACCTGGTGGACCCATCTCCCATTCTCCCTTACCTCAATGTTCTCTGTGTTCTGCAAGAAGCGGAAGCTGACAGACTCTAGTGCCTGCTGAGGCCATTCGTGGAACCAGTCGATGGCTGTGCAGTTCACAATGGCTGGGAACTTCCGGCTGCGGACCCTCAGCTTGTCCCCCACGGGTGAGAAGCACAGAGTCACCTGAGAAGTAGAAGGGCAGGGCATGGGGTGGGCAGAGATGACCACAAAGACATCAGGGGAATTCTTGGAGAAGCAGACATGGCTGTAGGTCGTTTATGAACATATAACAGAAAGAATGCTGGTACATCATGAAGCAGAAGGGAGGCTATTCTCATGCAGCGGATGAGAAGGGCAGCCTTGGTCTGGTGCTCAGGCTCGGAAGAGTACTGCCTGCCTGTCACCCACTCCTAAGACACGCAGTAAGTACAGCTGAGTCTGAAAAAGCAGTAGAAGCTGCCGTGAGACACCTGTGGCCCCTGCCCACCCTGCTTAGTCAATCCCTCGTCACCTTCAGCTGTCGGCGGAGCCTGTCTATAAAGAACTTCCAGCAGTTCTCTCTGTTGTCCGTCAGACCTTGGCTCTTGACTTCATTCCTCACACTGCTTAGGATGTTTTCAACTTCATCATCGGAGTAAAGATCTGGGATCTCTCCTGTGGAAGAATAGCGGACAAGGACAGCTTGGCCATCTCACTAATGGATACAATCAGATATTGGAGATGGTCTAGCTTGAGATACCAGATCTTTGCTTTGACACCATGTTCCACCTCTCCTTCAGGTGAAAACTGATAGACACCATATTTACTCCTACTTTAGGATAGGCAAGCGAATGCCTGGATGAGTGAAACAGCGTGAAGGTGACTCTGGAGCAGTCTGCTGGTAGAATGAGAGCCTTCAACTTTCCTTTCTTCTGCTTAAAGCATCTACTTGAGGGCCCAGCATGATAACCTGGTGGCTAAAGTCCTCGTCCTGCATGCGACAGGATCCCATATGGGTGCCAGTTCATGTCCCAGCTGCTTCACTTCCCATCCAGCTCCCTGCTTGTGGCCTGGGAAAGCAATCAAGGATGGCCCAAAGCCTTGGGACCCTGCACCCGCATAGGAAACCTGCAACAAGCTTCTTGCTGCTGGCTTTGGATTGGCTCTCGGCTCTAGGCATTGTGGCCACTTGGGGAATAAACCAGCGGATGGAAGATCTTTCTGTATCTCCTTCTCTCTGTAAATCTGTCTTTCCAATAAAAAGTAAGTAAAATCTTTTAAAAAGGTCACCTAGGCATAAGAAAAGAGTTTGAGGTGGGATGTGATTTACATGTTGACAGCAAGAGGGGGTTTACTAGTTGATAATTTTTACTAGTAGATAATTTATTCATCTAGCAGGTGCCTTTCTTTGATCTATTATCTGGGCCTGAGGAAGTTTCCATACCTTACTTGTGAGAGGAAGCTCCTCTCTTTGATTTGTTAGGTAAACCTGAGGATTAGGGAGTCCCTGGCCTGCACATCTCCATATCAACTCTTCCTTGAGCATTCTCCACTTAGCGGCTGGCTAAGGCTCTACAACGGCAAGGCTTCCCAATATCCCCCTCTCAATCAACTGTCTTCCTACACTCAAACCAAACAATCTAAGCTTTCTCGGTGACAGAAATGAGATAGAAGGAGGCAAAAAAGAAGGGAGCAGGATACTACTAAAGCATAAAGGTCTGGATCTAATATAAAAGTAACTGTGGGCTCCTTTTTAAACATGACTGTACTCACAAGCTTTTGATCTTATCCATGTCTAAGTCAGGGTAAGTCATTGCAGGGAGGGGATGGTGGCAGGAAACGACACCCCACTTTCCTTGCAGATTTAGGTCAGCTCCCCCCAGTGTACAATTTGGCAAACTGTCAGTAACTGATCAGAGAGCTGGAAGTCTGTGCGCCTACTTGAGTCAATGCGTTTGAAGGAAACTCGGGCCAACTCTCTAATACATTCTGGCCAGCATGGCTTGGCAGCTTTAACCCAGCCAGGAGGCTTACAAAGATTTTGTACTTACACTAATTAGGTCTCACCATTTCAAAAGATCAAAATAAGGAAAATGAATTATTAAGAAAGTGAATATTTACTTTTCTCCCCTAATTGGCCAAACCTGAATTAATTTCTATTTTTTAAGATATTCAATATAAGCATAAATATAAAAAAAACTTGCGATTGTAACTTGTCAAAATCAAGGTTTTACTAATGGAATAATGTAACATCTTTAAACATTTTTTAATTTACCCATTTCTATTTTTGAAAGGCTGACAGACAGACACATAATGGAGAGAGAGAGAGAGAGAAATCTTCCATCTGATGGTTCAGTCTCTAATGGTGGAAACAGCCAGAGCTGGTCCATGCCAAAGCAAAGAACTTGGAACTCAGTCCGAGTCTCTCACCTGAGCCATCACCTGCTGCCTTCTACAGAACCATTAAGAGGAGGCTAGACCAGTAGTGGAGTACCAGGACTGGGACCAGGCACTCTGAGATCGGAAATGGATGTCCCAAGCACATGTCCATTCTACATTTCAGCCTTTTATGATATAAATTCATATCAGGGAAAAGTGTTAGGAAAATCAAGTGAAATCAGGTATGTGCTGAGAGTTGAAGTTTAGTTTAAAAGAGAAGTGCTCAGATGAAATTGGCTTGAGTTGTATTTATGCAACGTAAGGGGCTAGCTGCTTATAAATATTCATATCCTTTTTCCTTTGGTCTCTTGGATTTTCTGTATTTCCTTTTCAATTAATCTGTTGGAGCCCTCTAGAGAGAATGTGGGTTGTCTGTGGTCTTAGGACATATGTAATTGTAGTTTATAATCTCCACTTTTCTGCTCTTCAGATGTTACAGAGTTCATGTCCTTTTGGTAGGTATTGTATCTGTGGCATGCTACTTACCGAGGAGGCAAACTGCGGCCTACAGACTAAATCTGGTTATCTGCTACTTCTTTGGATGGCCTGCAAGCTAAGAATGGGCTTTCTAATTTTGAATGATTGAAACAATTAAAATAATAATATTAATGGCATGTGAAAATGACACTGAGTTCAAACTTTATTGCCTGTAATAAAGTCTCACTAGCCGTAACCACACTCACTGAGTGCTGTGTATGACAGTTTTTGTACTACTGTGACAGAGTAGCTGTGACAATGCACCATCTGCAATGCCTAAAATATTTACCTTCCAACCCTTCATAGAAGATATTTGCTGACCTTGCTTTATGTGATGTTCCTGGTACTGAGACATAGAAAGTGTCCAGGCCATTTATAAACTTTTCCAATGTTTGTAGGACCATGGTGTTTGTCACACACTCCAAGGAGCTTGTAAGAACATCACCACAGGGAATATGTAGGACTACATACCTATTAATTGGGAGCAAGGTTAGTATTTTCTGATTTGTTGCCCCAGTTTTTCCTGACAACATTCCTGTTACTTACGGTAAGATACAGTGTGTGTTGGGGGTCCAGCGTGCAGGGTGGCTGGAGTTGTGATGTAAATACAAAAGCAATTTGAATATCTGGAAAATTTCTTCCTGGGAGCTAGAGCCGGGGAACCCAGACTCTGCCCTCAAGTGTTTATGGGCTTCATATAGCCACAAAAAGATTTTATGAATCAGAGATACCTGGCTTCATCTGTTCTGAATTCCCGGGAGCACACAACTGCCTTCGGGGGACAAAGGGTTTAACTTGGTTCAGCTGGAGTTTAGTGGGAGCAGGTAAAGCTCAGTGTAAGCAGGTAGAGTTTAAATGGACCCTTTCTCCACAAACAAGGTAGCTTTCCATTTGCTTACGGGCTTCAAGCCTGTGGAGTTCCGACAGTGCTTAGAACAAAATGTTCCCTTTGGTCTCAGGGTAGAAAAATCAAGAGTTGGTTATTTTTTTTTAGGACCTCTGCCCACCTTGACCCATGACTAGAAAACATCCCAACACATACGTCCAAATTAGTAATATCTAATATGAAGATGGCACCTTGTTATCAAGTTCGAAGAATACCTCCTGGAGGTCAATTATGGATCATGATATGTGCTAAGTGCCAGTGTGAAAAACGATGAAAAGACACAGTCTCGACAGAAGCTTACAATTATGCCAGTGCTCTCTGTTCTCTTTGAGAGGTAGTTATTGTGAGAAGTTAACTTTTGGTCTATTTTATTTTTTTTTTAAAGTCCACCTTTTAGTATTTTCTTAATTTCTAGATTTACTTAAAGTGAGAAAATTTCATGTGTTTTGTATATACAGATAACATGAACTTAAGGTGTTGTGAGTAAATTGCTAGTTGCATAATAGCTCGGTTACATGCACCTGAAAGCATCTATGCAAGCAGGATATTAGTGATAAAATAATTGAAATAAATGTTAGGAAGATTGTAACCCTGTAGTATTCAGCCACTGAGGAACCAGGGAAGAAATCTGCATGCTAGGAAATAGGTAGCTTACTGTAAACCATACAGGGTATGTTGGTCTACCCACTATTGCAAGATTTTAATAAATTTTCACTTGTGCTGTACCTGCTGAGTCTGAATCCATCCTTTGAATGGATAGATGATGCTGCTTCTCACAGTTATTTAATTCTTTTTTTTCCAGTATCTCTGGCAGATTTAATAACACAAGAACAGAAAATATGCTTTTTGCCTTTCACAAGTTTACATTCTTGTTTCGATACGCTATGTGTAGCCATTGATTATTACAGGAACATGGAGGAGATATATTCCTAGGAACTGTGAAGACTGCCTAGAGAAATAACACTCAAGATGCAAGTCTTCTAATCTGGGTACAAGTTAATTTAGGCAAAGGAGAAGGGCATGAGGTTCAGAAGGAACAGCATGAATGATTAAGGCTGCCGGGAAACAATATGGCATGTTGTGTCAAGGAGTCAGAAATTGCTAGCTCATAATGGAAGGAGTGAGGATTACAAGGTGAGACAGGGGAAATTCTAATGCGTTTTTCTCTCCCTGCACAAAAGGGACTCAGGTCTTACCTTGTATGCAGTTAGAAGTTAATAAAGGAATTAGAGTTTAAATGGATCCTTTCCCAATCAGTGAGGAGGATGGGTTGGAGAAGAGAAAGCTGGGAGGTGAGGAGATGAGACGCCTAGACATTTGTCAAGGTGGGAGATAACAAGATCAGTGGTTGTCAGGACAGAGAAGATACAGAAAAAGAAGTAGTGAGAAGAGTTGGTGGCATATGATTCTCTCTTGGTTATAGGTGGTGACTGAGTGAGGTTATCCCTGTATGGGAATCCACAGAGGCACAACATCTGAAAGGCTGTGTATGGACATTGGCGACACAGGAAGAAAAGGCTGATGACTTACGCAACTTTTCACTTTACCCTTTTGGGATTCCTGTTTTGCAACTGGGAGGCTAACCAGATGCTAGATACATCTTGGGGTCAGATCTACTAAGTGCACAAATATGTTTAAGAGGTCTAGTGTAGGGACAGGCAATTGGCCCCAAAGTTGAGATGCTGCTTAAGACACCACATCAACACATGTGGGGTCAAGTCTTGGCTTTACTTTCATTTCTAATTTCATGCTGTGTGCACCCTGGGAGGCAGCAGATGACAGCTCAGAGGGTTGAGTCCCTGCCACCCACATGGGAGACCTGGGTTGAGTTCACAGCTCCTGACTGTGGTAGGTATTTTAGGAGTGAACTAGAAGATGAGGATTTCTCCTTGTTAGCCTCTGCTTTCAGCTCTTTCTGCCTTTGCAAATGAAAATGAACCCAACTTGGGCCCGGCGCAGTGGCGCAAGTGGTTAAGTCCTCGCCTTGCACGCCTGGGATCCCATATGGGTGCCGGTTCTATCCCGGCAGCCCCGCTTCCCTTCCAGCTCCCTGCCTGTGGCCCGGGAAAGCAGTCGAGGACAGCCCAAAGCTTTGGGACCCTGCACCCGCGTGGGAGACCCAGAAGAGGCTCCTGGCTTCGGATCGGCATAGCATTGGCCGTTGCGCTCACTTGGGGAGTGAATCATCGGACGGAAGATCTTCCTCTCTGTCTCTCCTCTCTGTATATCTGCCTTTCCAATAAAAAATATAATAAAAATAAACCTTTAAAAAAAAGAAAATGAACCCAACTATCCACAAGAGAGGTCTACTGCACGACTGTGGGTATTTTTGTGGTTATTTTTTTTTTCTTTCACAGAAACTAAGTCAAAATTGGATTTATAGAACAGCATAGGTGGCTCACCAGGTGCACACAGTGAAAAAAAAATCCAAGGTCAAATCTGTTACAAACATTTCTGGACCCTGCACTCCTATGTAATGTACACAGTTAATATATTTCTTACTCCTAGAAGTAATCCTAAAACACCTGGAAGATGAAGTTGCCTTTTCATGTTCTACATACAAAAGGTAGCCTAGCTTACAGATCAAAAGGACACTCTGGCTCAGAGATGGAGAGGAATATGACTGTCTTTGAGAGAGAACCCATTGGTTATAAATTCTTCCCTAGTCTACCTATTCAAATTTGAGCACGCTATGTGGTGGCTGGAGTCTGGGAGCTTAATAAAGGATGACTGAATCTATGAAGAAATGATCAATGATCTAGAATGTACCAAAGTAAAGACATTTTCACTTTGGAGTGAGGCAAGTATCCTTTTGGAAAATAAAAAGAAAAATCCTAATATAGGATCCCAAAGAAGAACCAAGTATAGAATGTGTCAGATAGGAGGAGAAGAGACATGGCACTTGGGGCAGAATAGGTCTTCGTAGCTGCCTAGCGCCAAAGGGTAATGGTACTGCTGTAAGATGGGATTTCTGAAAGGTGGGAGAGCTGGAGGTACTTCCTTGCTCTAGACAAGGATGCAGCCTTGTTGATGCTCAATGTGGGTTGAGGACCAAGAAAGAACAACTGTTTCTAAGAATTCCCTAAATGCCTGGGTTTCATGGTCAGTGTATCCTTTTCAGAAATGACCATAGCAGATCAATAACAATACAGCAAGCTTTGAGCTTTTCAACTCCAGCAAGGGCCTATGTTTTGTGCAGTCACCAACAGTCGTGTGACCTCCAACCTCTGAGCATTTAGGGAAGTGGTTCAAACGTGTGCTGTATCTCCTCCTGGCCTGGGTGACCACCCTGTTCCTATAAAATTGCATATGTTTTGATCCTCCAATCAGGAAATTAATTTGATTGTTGAAACTTTGTGTGCGGCGTTCCTATCATTCTGTAACCCACTTGTGATGTAACTGGCACAGAGGCGCTTGTGAAATGGCACAGTGTCAGAAGTGGGATCCATGAGACAAATTCCCAAAGGGGGAAAGAATCAGCTAAGTAAGTGTGACAGGAAATCAGACTGATGGCCAAAGATGTTTATTTCATTGATGTTTCTGAGGAAAAACTGCCTCCATAGGACTTACTCAGTACACCTTCTATCAAGTCTGGGAGGGCTTACAGGTAACTACCAAAACCCACAATGATTTAGCAGTGTGGTAGCCTCAAGCAGTTTTCTGGTCTCCTCACCTAAGCAAGGAGCAATTGCACAATCCTACAAAATTGAAAAATCAAAGAGATAGTGAATTTCCCAAGAATCCTGTAGCCTGGACTGGACTTGCAGTCAGCTGCTGTCTAGCCAGAAATTCTTCAATTGATATTCAAAAGCAGAACTAATATATGCCTTCAATCTCCCTGTCATGATAGCTCATTAAAAAAAAAAAAAAAAGAAACTGAGGAAGCTTGAAAGCAGGAAAAGGTATTCATCTTCACCATTTCTCCATTTTAACCTGAGCATACAAATCATGCCTTTTGTGGTTATCAATACAGAAGCCCCAAAAAGGAACTGTGAGTCAGAAACCTCATGGCTTTGGAGTAGCCTGATTACATTAAGATTTCACTGGGCCAGGCTTCAGAAACTCATTTGTGAAAAAAAGAAAAAGAAAACTCTTCTAAATGAAAATTAAAGGCAGTTAATTGAGAAATAAAATTTCAGTTGTTAGAAGTATAGCGCCACCTGTGTCTGAGATATTATTTTAGGAGAAAGTGACCTGGCTGGATTAGTGCCAATGGAAATACAGGTGATGTTTCAGTATGCCTGACGTTTCCAAAGCTGTAAGTCTTTGGAAGCAGTTCTGCTCTCCTGGATTGTTTTCTAGTATTAAGCTTTAGGGTAGCTTCAGTATGAGATGGTAGTTGTCTCATTTAGTTCAGTAATAAAAAGGTGAGGAAATACTAGTAGGCTAAATGCTTTGGTAGAAGGAGGTTGGTTAGATGTTCAACAGACAGTATTTTGGAAAGTAAAACTTTTCTTGGGAGGGGTTATCGGAGGTGAAAAGTTAGAAGAGTTCAGAAGCAAGCTCTTGGAAATAAAGTTAAGCTTCAGTAGGGTGAGAAAGAAATGCGAATCTTGGGGGCAGGTGTTTAAGCCCAGGGATCAAGCTGCTGGTAGGATGTTTATGTCCTCTATTGCCAATGTTTGGTTTGAGTACTGGCTCTAGTTCTCAATTCTCATTTCCTGCTAATGTAGGCCCTGGAAGGAGCAGGTGATGGCTCAAGTAGTTGGGTCCTTGTCAGTCCTGTGGGAGACATGGACTGAGTTCTCAACTCCCAGTTTGGGTCTGCTGAGTTCTCATTATTGCAGATACCTGTGGGAGTGAACCAGCAGATGGGAGCTCTTTAGGTGCCTTCTTCTCTTTCTTTTTCTTCTCCCTGTGTTCCTACATCTTAGATTAAAAAGAAAGGAAGGGAGGAAAGAGGAAAGGAAGGAAAGAAAGAAGGATGGAAGAAAGGAAAGAGCGTGTGGATCTAGTGTAACACTAGGAGCCAGCACAAGAAAGAATCTAGGACATGGGTCCTTCTCAGAAACAGACTGAAAGTTGGTCACAGAGCCTGCTGGTGCATGTTCTGGATCTGGGACCAATGGCTCTTCATGGAAGTGACAGTAACACAGCCTGGTGTAAGGACAATGGCTAATGAAGTTCCCAGGGATTGGCTGAATTCATCCTGAAATGTATTATTTGCTACACAGGGTGTCACATGGAGAAGTGCACTTGTGGTCCTGGTTCCTGATTTTAATAGACTAACAAGTGCTTACTCAGACCTTGGGGCAGACACAGGGCACACGGACATTGGAAGGGCACAACATCTGCACACTGTCTTGCTTCCTTTAACCCAGAGAAGAGGTGGTTTTGCAGATGGTGTGTTTAGTTGAAGATTCAAGAGAGTCTATACCCCTTTCATTGATATAAACACTCATATCTACTTAGGAATATAGTTTTTGTAGCATATTTCCTTTTAAAACTTTTAAGTTATATGTTTAAAGGTTTATTTTAAGTTATACTTGAAAGGCAGAGTTACACAGAGAAGGAGAAACAGAAAGAGAGGCAAGAGAGAGAGAGTCTTGTGTTCACTGGTTCACTTTCCAAATGGCTATAACAGCCAGGACTGGGCTAAGCCAAAACCAGGGGCCTAGAACCCCACCTAGTTCTCCCTTGTGGGCAAGAAGGGCCCAAGTACTTGGGCCATTTTCTGTTGCTTTCCAAGACGCATTAACAGAGAACTGCACTGGATGATTTGAACTGGCACAGTGTTGCATGCAGTGGTTTAACTTGATAAGACACAACACTGACCCTATTTTTCAGAGAAGATATTCCATATCTTGGAGACATATGTATGTGCGTATACACCTATATACATACACATGTGTAGTTTTCTGAGTGGTTAAATCTCGAGTTCCTACGTAAATAAGAACCATCGAGCAACAATTGAACTGTCCACTAAAATCCCATCTAGCACAAATTGTGTTACGGAGAACATAACTTCTGTAAAGGTTGATGGGGACTAAGGAATGCTTTGTGGAGAGATTCTACGTTGGGTCCTGCTTCCACTTACTTCCCTCAGGCTCTGAATCCCTGTTTAATTCAGTTGACATCGACCTGGTTGGCATCTGTGTTGCACATGCAAGTTCTCCCTATCTAAACATTCCTGCCAATGTCTAACCCAACTGAGGTTCCATGTACCCGTCTCCTTTGTGCAGGGGCAGCGTCTTCTCTCTGGACCCAGCGAATCCTATGGGCCTGAACCTGCTCTTCCTCCCAGAGTTAGGTCTACTCCCACTAAGGCAGCCCCTAGGCTCTTGTCTGTTTAACAGTGAAGGAGCCAGGATGGCTGATCTCTCACCAACTCTATGAAGGCCCTCAAGAAAATCAATCCCTTTCAGTGTGTCCATTTCCTCTCTTATTTCTGTGATCTCACTCTTTTGACCTTGAACCAAGTCTCTAACTTTGAATGATTGGTTCCAGGGGAGACTGACTGGGGATAGTCAGGAGCAGTGAGGGTCTTACCAGATGCCAAGAGGTCATTGATGAGCACAAGGAACCGCTCGTCGGCCACTTGGGTGTCAGTCATGAGAAACACTGTGCTCTGATTCTTCACCCCGACCTTCAGGCACAGGCTGGCCAGGTCCGCCTGTCACAATGATTGAAGCAGAAATCTCTGAGAACAAGGCTTCTCCCGGGGAGAACCCCAACCCTTCAGGGAAGGGACTCATTTTCTTACTTGCTTTAGTGAGCAATAAAGCAAGACAGCACCGGGCTGGGGTAGGGAGGAGTGTTGTCTTACCCACAGGCAGGAACACGAGCCTTGCTCCCAGGCCTCAGTGCCAGCCCAGGAGGCAATGCAGCCAGGCAGTGATGGCCTTCATTCATGTAGTCATAGTGGTTTCTGCACCAGCTTCTTGGAGCTTCTGATTTGTGCAAAGGGGTTCTAGTTTTCCCAGGGGACAGAGGTTGTCCCGTGTTGCTCTGCCTCTTATAGCATCCGAAAATTAAATGTCCTGCTTTAGAAGACAACGGACTATTCTTGGCCTTCCTTAACGGAAGAGTTATAATTAGGGGGCTACCAGAGTGGAGAGGTGAATAGATCTTATGGAAGCAATATCTTTGTAATCATAGGACCAACCCTATTAAAACGCTTTTCCTAGAAGTCTTATACTTTATCATCACTCAATGCTGCAAGTGCATGAAGTTTCAGGCTAGGATGACAAATCCTGTATCTACCCAGCTTAGTCTGTCTTGCTGTATTACCCTAGCTTGCAGCCCCAATGCCTTGTTCTCTGTCTCACCACTCAGAGCTCAGACTATAGAGCTTCCTTTAGTATCTAAAGGACTCCCCTTAAAGAAAAGAGACTTCCATTCAGATTAATGGTTGTCACCTCACACATGTGAGGAATGATCTGAGACAGTTTCTCAGCTCTCATTAGAATCATCTGGGGAAGGTGTTAAAGAATTAGGATGCCCAAGCCATTCCCCAGAGCAATTCAACCACATCATCTCTAGGTAGGATGCAGTTGTCAGCATTATTCCAAAATCCCCAGTGATTTCAGTGCATAGATAAGGTCTTAGTATAGAACCTCTGTCTTTTTCATTCTGTAGATGTGTAACTATACACATGCTATCTTGTCTTGTCTTTTTTGAAAGTGTTCAAGAAAGGAGTCATGTGAACCTGACATATGACCTTGGAAGTGGCCAATGTCGTGAGGCTGAGCTGCAGTTTTGGAGGCAGAAATGAGCATGTACATCTCCCATCTTATGCTCAGGGATTAGGAGAGCAGGTGGGTAGGTTCATCGCAGTGCTGGCTGGAGTTCTGACAGGGACCAGCAAGGAGCACACCCTGACCAAGATTAGTCCATGATCTTCTGACTCAGTTGTGGCCATGGGCAAAGGCTGGAGAACACGACCTTTGAAGCTGTGCAGAACCCCTTTCTGTGCGCGCTCCTTGGCTTCTGCTCTCTGAAAACAGCTAGCATTGAAGGTCCCACTTATCCGAGAGTTACAGCATCCATCTTTGAAACTGTGAATTTCTTCTAAAGCTTGGGACCAACTTCAGGATTCCTCCTGAGTAGCTGGTGAGCTGTGTGGTGAATGTCATCTAGAGGGGATACCTCCAGGCATGGTGTGTTTTTTGGGTAATACACACTTCCTGTCAACTCTGGCGACCTTTCTGTAAGAGGTGCTTTTGGTGAGGCTCAGATTTGGGGTCCTTGCAACTGAGGTCTTGCCAAGAATGACCTTGGAAAGACCCCTGTTCTCAGACTGAAGACAATGTGAAAAGACACACTTACAACATCAGCCTGGAATCTCAGGGCCACACGGACAGATGTGTAAGGGCAAGTTCTGAGCAGGGGAGCCAGAGAACTAGTGAAGGTGACAGGGATTTGGGGGTGGACAGAGAGAGGCTAAGTTGGCACCCTCATGGCCGGCCCTCTCTGCTTACCTTGAAGTCCAGGATCTGGTAGCCTTTGCGTAGACTGATTTGGAAAACATCCATGGAGCTGATGAATGCCGCCAGTCTGGTCAGACTCTGCTTGCCGCTGCCACCAACGCCAACCAGCAGTGCGTTTCCCCTGGGGGACTCCAAGATGCGACTGATGTGACAGCTGAAGACAAGGAAGCAGAGGCTGTGTGTGAGACGCATGTGTGGGGTCTGAGTGTGAATGTGAGCCTCCCTGGAGACATGTCCAGGTCCCAGCTGTGGAAAACTGTAATTAGATAACCTCTCATCTGGCCTCACCTTCTTGCCCGAGGAGGTTGAAGTTGCCACTGCAGCTTCCGGTTGGGCGACCCAGGGAGAGAGATGGAAAGAGCACATGGCAGGCAAGGAAGGCAGGGTTGAAGAGAGTGAGCGACAGCAATGGGGGTGCAGCACCCAGAATCACCCCCTTTCTCCTTCCTGGACAAATTTTGCCCCACCTCCCCACTTCATTGTGTGTTCCAGTAAGAAGAGAAAAGTGTAAGGCTTAGTGATTAAAACCATGTCAACGAAGGCTGCGGGATGAGGCAGGTACACAACAGTTTGTTCCTCTTGGGAAAGAATGGGGACAGAATCAGTCAGCAGGATAAGAACAGCAAGCCCTGACATAATTCTCCTCTCTGCCTCCCATAATCCACCCTGGACATCCATGCTCTTGTAACAGATATTTGTGGTTTCTTACTGTCAGCCACCTCCTGGGCTGCGGGGTTTTTCCAGTCACAGGTCTATACTTCTCAACCCTCAGTGAGCAACCTTCCTTTCCAGCACCAGCATCATGCTGGGTTAGATTATCCTTTGCAGAGGAAATCCCTCCTCAAGGGCCACCTCCATCAGACCTGTTCATGGCCTGTCCTCCAGGATACACAACCTCTTCGCTTCCCCTCAGTAGTCAGGAGCTACATGCCTTATAAACATCATCCCAATTCCTTTTTCTTTTTCTCATCTTCAAAGTAGTGGTCCATTCAGGAATGCACATAAACCGTGGCTTGGGATAGTTTGGTTTAAGAGTTTTCAACTTCACAAGGGTGCAAAAGTGGTGCACACTCATTAGAAACCATTCTGGCAACTTCTGGATCTTGGTCTTCTCCCCAGGCCACTGATGTGTGGTACACTCCTTTCTTTTGAGGCTGCTGTGCTGTGATGTTTATTAGTTAAGTTGAATCCATTCAGGGCTTATGATATTTTTAGCTTAGGATGGGTCTACCAAGACTTAATTCCATCATCAACACCACTAGCATTAATTATATTTTCTTCTAGTTGTTTTTTTCCCCTAGACTCTGTATGCTTACAAATATACATTTATGTGTATATGCATTAATGACACCTGAAAAATTCACAATTCTCCCCTATGTCTTTTAAAATTTATTTATTCCAGAGATACAGAAACGCCCAGAATGGCTGACAATAGCTAGATCAAGGGCCAATGCCAGTAGCGAGGGACTCAGTCCAAGTTTTCACATGAGTAACAGGAATCTAATTATCTGAGCCATCACTGATGCTGCTTAGAGTCTGCACTGGCAGGAAACTAGGGTCAGGAAGCAAACCCAGGCACTCCAGTGTGGGAATGTGGAATCTGAGTGTGTTAACTGGTAGGCCAAGGACCCACCCACACCCTATTTTTTATATTAAAAAAACAAAAAAAAAAAACAAAAACAAAACTGGGTTCATCCAGAATACTGAGCACAATGTTCTGATTTCTGATTTTTATGCCATTAAATAATCAGTTAAACCATGCTTTTGATGGTGCGATGATATTTCGTAGAACATCAATTGTATTATCAACAATAAGAATACTGTAAGTTGCCTGTGTACTGTGGTGTATTATTGGAAAATCTGACATATTTCCAACATTTCTGAGTCCTTAATAACATGATTTTTTTAAAAAGTTTATATTTTTATTTCTTCATGGTAAGTTCCCAGAGTTAAAATTGCTGAATGAAACAGTAAGATGTTTCAGTGTCTGTCATGCACTGACAAGCTGCTCCCTTGGGATGAAAGTATCAGCTTATGTTTATTTTAAAATTTCTTTATTTTTATGGTAAAAGCAGATCATATTTACGGGGAGAATAAGAGACAGAGAGAAAGATCTTTTATCTGCTGGTTCACTCCCCAAGTGGCTGCAACGGCTGGAGCTGAGCCAATCCGAAGCCAGGAACCATAGGCTTCTTCTGGGTCTCCCATATTGGTGCAGGGTCCCAAATACGTGGGCAATCCTCCACTACTTTCCCAGGCCACAAACAGGGAGCTGGATGGGAAGTGGAGCATCAGGTACACGATCCAGTGCTCATATGGGATCCCGTTGCTTACAAGGTAAAGATTTAGTCATTGAGCCATTGTGATGGGTTCTGTTTCTCTTAGAATTGAACAAAGGCAAATATCTCATATTGGAGGATGAAGATGTATTGGGCTATGTTAGTTGAATGTGTTAGGTCAATAGACACAGCAATTTGTAACACAGCGGTCAAACCACAGTAAAGAAATGAAGACAGAAGAAGAGATGACCAATGCTAGTTATCATGGGACCAAATAAAGCAACAAGGATAAGAAATCCCACACAGTTTGTCCAGAGAACAGGTTCCACAAGAGACTAGTTGCATGGGTTACAACCCTGTGTCATTGTCTTGCATTAATAATATTAGAATCAGAAATGCCATATTCGAATTAAACAACAATGCAGACAACTTAAGGTGCAACAAACACCAACTTAGAAGAAGGGCTTGTTTGGGGAAAGGGGCACGAGTGGCTAGTTTTGGTGAGTTAAATTTGACTCACAAAATGTAAGTGCATGTGAGGTCACGGACTGAGGATCCTGTGGAGCTCCTGCGGCTTGGATTTTCTTATGCTGCAAGTTTTCAGCATGTACTCACGACTGTAATTAGCATACAGTGTTTGTAGGCACTCATGGCTTCACATCTCCAAAGAGATGTCCCTAAGCCTGAAAAAAAAAACCCTTTGGGGCCAGGTGTGGTGGCCTAGTGACTTGAATGCCTGAGGATCACACATGGGCGCCAATTCTAACCCCCCCGGAAGCTCAGCTTCTCATCTAGCTCCCTGCTTGTGGCCTGGGAAAGCAGTCCAAGGATGGCCCAAAGCCTTGGGACTCTGTGCCCGCGTGGGAAATCTGGAGGAAATTCATGGCTCCTGGCTTTGGATTGGCGCAGCACCGGCTGCTGCAGTCACTTGGGGAGTGAATCATCTTGGGGAGTGAAGATCTTCCTCTCTGCCCCTCCTTCTCTCTGTGTATCTGATTTTCCAATAAAAATAAATAAATCTTAAAAAAAAAAAAACCTTTGGCAGATGTGTAGGATACTGCGTCTCACCAACAGCCAGTCACAGCCAAGCCCCCAGACTTGGCTGACATTGGGTCTGATATTCTCTAATCTTAGCTGATTTAAGGGCAGGAAATACTATGACTTTATGTTTTTATTTGATTTCTAAGGAACTGGATATTTTTCACGTTTAGGAATGAATAGGTTTTATGAATTTTCTGTCGCCACCCCTGCCTACTTTCTCAAATGCAGTGTTTGCGTTTGTAAGACCCCCTTGATGTATGTTCTGTCTTCCACTTGATCACTTAGTTTTCTTTCAGGGATTCCAGATCACATTGTAATGGTCTTAGGCAGCTAGTTCAGGGTCAGGAGCTTCAAACCCACATAATCCTTTCTGCCCACCTGTGCTGCTCACCTATCATCACCTGGAACCTCGGAGGGGGCGGTATTGCATTGTTGTGTAAATACTCCCCCTGCAAGCCCCCATAAAGACCCAAGATAAGCAGGGGCTCTCTGTCTTGTCCAGTGCTTGCCTTGCTCTGGCACTTTGTCTCTTGGCCTCCCCAGTACCTGCACTCTGGCTTCCCGCAGACAGACTCTGAGGATAGGCAGCCCCTGAGCATGGCGCCTGTGTGTCTGTATTCCTCATCTGTTCACTGGGTGAGTCAGTGAAGATGTTAATGCCAAGATGCTTTGTATTTCTAATTTGTTTACTTTCAAGAGTTCTGGGAGAGGTGAGGCCCAGCAGGAATGGGATATGGACAGAGAAGCTGTTTGCAGCTTTCTAAGTGTGTCCAGGTTGTTTGCTGCCTGTCTCTTGAGATAACTTATATTGCTGGGGAGGCTGGAACATAGGTCTTCAGTTTAATGGATGGATTTCACAGTAATGACCATTTGTTCCTCTCAGGGTTTCAATTCATTTTGGATTGCCATATGGACTTATCATTTGCTAATTTCTAGTGGGCCCTGTTAGCACCAAGCTTGGCTAATAAAGACCCCTTAATACATTCTAGTCTTGTCTTGCATGATCTCTCTCGCATCCTGCAACAACATATGTGTGTGTGTGTGTGTGTGTGTGTGTGTGTATACGACTTACAATTGCCTTAGTGAATTTTGCGTAGTTTAAATTTATTTACCTAAATATTTGGGAGTGCATCTACATTTCCTTTCTTTGTGATTTTGTGTTTTCATGCTGATAATTTAATTGTAATACTTACATCCCCTTTAAAAAAAGATTATTTATTTATTTATTTATAAGCAGAGTTACAGAGACAGGGGAGAAGCAGAGAGAGAGAGATCTTCCATTCATTGGTTCACTCTCCAAACGGCTGCAGCGGCTGGGTCTGAGGCAGACTGCTTTCCTAGGTTCATTACCAGGAAGCTAGCCTGGAAATGAGCAGGCAGGACTTGAACTGACACTGATGGGAGGCAGGCATGGCAGGTGGTGGCTTAACCTTCTGTGTCACAATGCTGGCCCCATCTTGTGTTAGATTTACTCATCCCATGCCTTTTGGTTAAACCATCATTTCTAGATTCCTGAGGAATGCATATAGGTCTCACCACTGAAGGTATATTGAAACAAAGTCAAGCCAGGTCTTAGATTCAGCCTCGCTGTGGGAATGAACGCTCACCATTCATTTCGCAAGGTGTAAGGGATCACCTGCGTTGCATCTGTGTGCCAAATGTCACCTGGTAGAAGGAAAAGCTACAATGCTGTGACATCTAGGAAGCCTCTTCTGATTCAGAAAAAAAAAAGTGGGGATAGGAATGGATCAATGGAGGAAAGAGTGGTCAACTTGGATAAGCCACTGGGTTTTCTGGGCTGCTCAACAGCCGACTCTCTTCTGGAACACCTGGACTCAGTTTGGTATGACCCATGCTATTCCATATCGAATGGGAAATGCATCGTTAGTGATGAAGTTTCCAAAGGACAGCGTTTAAAGTTTGCAACCATCAGCACTAGATTCCAGCTGGGGATTCATTAACAACCTCTGGCGAGGGCACAGGACTCTGCATTTAAATTACACCATTTAGAAGGGAGATCAATATTCTAAAGGGCTCCTGGGCCAGAAAAACCAAGGCAGGCTAAGTTAAGCCCATTACTGAATTTCTAGGGGATTAAAAACAAAAGCTGGGGATGTAGCTCAGCACAGCTGGAGGAAGCTGGTGTACTGATGACCACACACACACACACACACACACACACACACACACACACACACGCACGCGCGCGTGTGAGTGCGCGGAGGACTGATGACACTTGGGACATAAGAGAAGTACATCTGAAGCTCTTGTTTCATTGACGATTGCTGAGTGACTTTAAGAAGAATAAAATGAGGCAGAGGCATATACGGGGGAGTGGATATACATATAAATCAAGGGCAAGATGATGGATCAAAATTATGCCAAAGGCGGAGGGGCAAGGTGTAGTCTAAGCTTCTGAAAAAAAAAAAAGGTAGAACAGGAATCTACTGAAATGGTGGAGGAAGTCAGAAGAGTAAACTTGGTAATCTGAAGGAAAGAAAGCAATAGTGCAAAGTAGATCGTTGTACTTATTGGCTGCTTAGTAAGTGCAAAATGCTTCACGTTAGGGTTGCCCTCCCATCACTGTCATTTTCCAGGGAGGGAAGCAGAGGCTCGGGAAGTTAAGTGTAGTTCCTAAAGCATCCCAGTCAAGAGGTGACAGAAGCTGGATTTGAACTTGGGTGTGTCTCTGTCTCCAGATGTGGTCCTTAAACACTTCATAAGGGATGTATTCCTGGGTTCAGCATCAAAGTAGTTGGAAAGCAGAAAGACAACGTTGGGGAAAGACATGGGGAACACACACACACACACACACACACACACACACACACACACACACACAGTGTTAGAACTCAAATGAGGAAACCAAAACGATGAAGTAGGAAGATACGAGAATGAGCATCCATCTATTGCACCGTACAGTCAGGCTCTCAGCTTGGTCCCCTCGACCCATGTGCACACCCTTTGCTTCTTGCCCTGTCCTTGCACCTTGCATTTCAGAAGGTGGGAGGTTGCAGGAGAGGCCCATAAGCCTGTGTGCTGGACACCGTGCAAAGGCATGAGAGGCCGTGGAATCTTGCTTTTTCCCCGCCTTTCCTTTTCCTGGTTAAGAAGGTAGTGTTTCTATGCTGTCTGTCTAGTACAAGCAGCAAAGAGGAATCAGTGAGCCCTAGGAGGGGAGGAAAGGGCAGCCCAAGGTCAAAACAAAGGACTCAGGTATTTAAACACAGGTATGCAACTATTACACATCCAAATATACTTTATCCTTCAGTGTTTTTTTTTTCTGTCAGTGATTTTGCTGCTGCTAAAAGCAGCACAGGCTTCTCTCCGTAACTTCTCCTTGGAGCTTGTTGATGAGCCTCAGGAGAAAAGGCGATGCTGGTAGTCAGCATTATTTTCCTTCTGAAAACAGTATTAGTCAGTTTGATCACCTACAATGGAAGCTACCCTGACTGAAGGCGGCTGATGACAGTAACGAGGAGGGAGACAGAGTACAAAAGTCAATCGCTTGTGCTTCAAAAGAATCGGGATTTGTGAAAGGATGAAAGGAGAGATGACTTAAATGGGCCACCGGAGTGGGCTGGTGGGAAAGGGAAGACACAAGGGCGGAAGGGAAAAACAGCTTTCCTTCGGGGTTCAGTTAGGAGTTGCCCTGAGTGCAATGTTTGGGGGACTTGAAGGAGGGGCAGAACTTTGTGGTGAAGACTGAGAGTTCTGTGGAAAGAGGGAGAGGGACTTGAGGGGTCAGGAGGGCTGTGGGATGGCACTCGTTCTGGAGATCGTGAGGAGGAGGCTGGGAACAGCACAGTGGGAATGTAAATGAGATGGGAGACTGAGGGACCGCGGGCAGGGACTCCCTGAACAGCAACGCTTTCACAAGGACATTGGAGTTCTGAAATACAAGAAGGCTTCAAAAATAAATGGAAGTTGGACTTAACAGATGGGTTTACTTGGGTGCAATATTTTTGATACTCATGAATTATTTTTTAGTATTTATGTATTTTACAGAGAGAGAGAGAGAGAGAGAGAAAGATCTCCATCCACTGATTTACTCTCTAAATGGGTGCAATGGCCAAGTCTAAGCCAAAGCTACAAGTTGGGAACTCCATCTGGGTCTCCTTCACAGGTGGCCAGGGGCCAAGTTCTTGGATCCTCTTCTGCTGTCTCCCCAGGCACATTATCCAAGAGATGGATCAGAAGTAGAGTAGCTGGGACTTGAACTGACTGTGATGTGGGATGTTGGCATTGCAGGTGGAAGCTTAGCTAACTGTACCACAACACTGGCCCCATTTTTTTTTTTTGTCATAGAACACCTTTTCTGCAACTTTCAGATGTGTGCAATGGAACAAAAATCTACCCCATTCAAAAATTTAACCTTTGTTCCTGTGCCAAGGTAGGGAGTAGGCACTTTCTAGCAAAGTTCCACTGAACATATTTTATTTTTTGAGGGATTAATGTTTATGAATTTTAAATATGTTGGAAAGCGTTTGAAAATGTGTTTACTTTGTAATGTTTACCAATGATTTATTGACAGTTTCCCCAAATAAGTGGAGCTTCTTATAAAAAAAATTAACCTTTGGACAGGTATTGGGGTAGGCACAGGAGTTCTGAGCTATTTCGGTGCCAGTTTTATGGTCTCCACTTTTTCTTTGGAGTCACTAGATTTATGCTCACAGTGAATGCCAGACATGGAAACAACCTAAGTTCTGACTGGATTCAACACTCTGCTGCCCTCCTACGGCCAGTGGGAGAGTCTGCAGCTGCTTTCCCGGTTATCAGGAAGGGTCTGCAAACAGACCCCTATCGTGGGGAAGTGAAAGCAATTGCACAAAGGTTAGGAAGAGAAGCACTACTTACACGTGGTGAATGGCATCCTCAAAGAGAACCAGGTCCATCACCGTGTTGACTTCGTTGTGGTTCTGCAAGGCTTCCACCAAAGTCTGGGTCAAAAGTTCCCAGGACTGGACAGGCATGTATTTGGGCTCACCAATTCCATTTGCAAAGTGGCAATACACGTTCGGGCCTTGGATCTGTTTCGCCACCTCTTCAGTGTCCTGATGATGAGAGATGTAAGAATGGGGACCCTTCTTTACTGACTCCCCATTTTGACTCTACATAAGAGTGGAAACACTGCCTAAATAGTCAGTGTCAGTGCTACTTCCAACAGTGTGTCCCTGTTGAGAAGCTTTCACATGTGCCTGGTCAACATTCATTCACCAACTCTGTGAAGTCGTGAGTGACACCTGCTGTTCCTGGTTGGGCGAGGCTAGGAGATGGAGGGCGTGAGGCGGCAACTACTTCCTAGATCACAAGAGACACACAGATGGGTTTCTCCAGCAGGAGCTCTTCTGCCAGTGCTGGATGAAGAGTGCACTATCATCCAATGGCTTCCTCTCCTCACATCCTTTCTGGCGTATCTTGCACCATAACAAAACACACTTTCCTTTTCCCCATGCAGCCGCACACTGTAGGTTGCCAGTCCCAGCCTCATAGGTTCTATCCTGCTGGCCGTCCTTCGGTAATAGATTTATTTACAGGGACACTGGTATTCTGAAAGCATTTAGAGTAGAACCCTTTATAAAGCCTTCTCAAGGCAATGGACTTACTGCATGTGTCTGATCTCACCCACAGGGCAAATGATAGTTATTGTGTTAAATGGATTTCAAGTGTTAATGAACTTGAAAGACATGCAGTCTCATGTCTTTTCACTCCAATTTATTCTCTACGTGTTGGAAATGCAACTAATTAAAAAATTCATGGTAGAGGAGACATAAAGAATTATTCATTTGTCAAAATTCCAAAACCTGAGACCTAAGGTAGGAAGAAGAGCTGTAGAGAAGGAAACGTGGTTTTCTAACCTGGTGGGCTAACAGAAAGTAATACCAGTGCAAGCAGTTGTCATGGTCTGATCTTTCTCCTAAAATTCAGGCTGAAAGACCTAGCTGGGAAAGAGGTAACCAATATGCTCTTCACCAGCAGGAAGGGGCATTTTTGGGGACAAAAAGACCCCAAGATCAAGTTCATTAGACCTAATGTACGGGGAATAATGATGACAATAGTATCTACAGATGCTATAGAATAACCAGGAGAAAGGGCTGGAAAGAGTCCTCCAATATCAAGGAGTTATAATATTTTCTAGGTGGCTTCAATGGCCACAGAAAACAAACTCTCCTGACTTTGCCAGAAAGCAACAAGAAACGCACATGTACTTGGGTAAGATCTCCATGCAGTACAGGAGGGCTATTCAGGTTAGTAGCATAGGAAAGCATTTCAGAAGGAACACGGGAATGCAGTCACTCACTTTGAGAATGGGTTTACTTGGAACCAGATTCCGTAGCAGTCAATTTACACTAAGGATCTAGCAGAGGAGGAACAAAAGCATAGCTTTGAAAGGTTGACAAAAACTCTTTGATCCACACAACAAGTCTCCAATTTTATGATCAGAGCCATGCTGGGTAGAAAGGAGAAAGAAAAATCAACTAGCGTGGTGAATCAAAGATTCCTTAATAGAGATGCTATTTCACACAGGGCCAGGTATCAGAGCGGCAGAAGCTCTTAGTGGTGGAGACAAGATCGTGTGGTTGCTTGGTGTATATTTAGTAACCTTTTGTTGATACCAATATGAAGATTGTGTGCAGGCAAAGTTTCTTCAGGCCAGCATTCCCAATGCTATTGAGAGAAAAATGGTGGCAGCATTAATGATCCCTGGGTCTGTAATCTAACGGCTGTAGATGCAGTACACAGGTCTGCCTAAAAGGCTCTATTTTAATGGTTTAAAGTTGTGCTTTAAGAGTGCTAGCCGAAATTAACGGATGAGGTCAGTCAAGCCTTACTTACAAAGCTGACATTGAACACACAAATTGGTCAACACTACAAGGCTGGGGGCGGGGAGAGGGGAGAGGAAGATGTTAGAGTTCTAACATCAGGTTCCACATGAGAGACATAGAAGGACTTAGAATGTTTGGTCTAGTAAAAAGCAGATTGGGATACACTCCTTAAAATGCTGTCCAAACATTCAAGAGCCTGTGGTTAAAGGGTCTCTAGAGTTACAGCCAGAATCTAACCAAGAACAAATATGGAACTAAGCCATACACGATGAATATAGGAAAAACACAGTAAATGTTACAAGCTGTATTGCTAAGCCCAAGGGAAGCATGTAGTCAATGTGTAGAATGTGGGGCTTTGATGAATAGAAGGCACAGTGTTAATTATAGCTTAACTTTGACATTAATAAATATAATATGGTCTCAGGTTGTGTTAACATAATCAGTGTGTCCCAAGGCATATTTCATGGGCTGTTCATTATGCAAATTATTAACAGGTTTTTATGAAAGGAAGTGAGTTCTAGGGTTTAATACATTTGGGACATTGTATATGAAATAGGGTTATTCACAATTTCTGGTGTTTAATCTGCTAAATGCACTGTGAATTTCCAAGAGACAGATAAAATAGAATTTCTACTAATTTCATTACAGACATCTTTTCAAGGAGCAATGTGTAGTACAACTTTTTAGCAGGACAGATTTTGGGGAATAAGGTAACAAAATGTAATGTATTAAATAAGGGAGTGATGATGATCCTGCTTTTGGTAAGAATCAGCTAAATCTTGTGTTGAACATCAGGCACCAAAACTTCAGGAATGAGGTGAATGATGGGAAAATAATCAAGAATGATATTAAACTTCTCTGGATTTGTAGTTGACTTGTGATAGAAAAGGTTAGAAAGATTACAACTCTTTGGCCTAGAGAAGAAGAGATTCAGCAAAGACAAGATAAATGATCTTAAAATGTTTCAAAGGTTGTCCATACAGACCAAAGATTAGTGGACATGGAAATAAATATTACGCTATTCTTAGAAAAGAAAATGCTTGGTGTTTAGCATTTCTCCAAATTTCAAAATTGTTTTGAGTTTCGTGTCATTTCAAAATGACAGTCTTGGGACTGATGAGATTGGATGTTGGATTATATGGAATGACCAGTGTGGGAGAGGCTATGGAGACCACTCTGCAATGTACTGACACCAGGTCAAATGATCCTTACACATCTTTTCATCTCGGAGGTTTAGTGTTGAGTTTGTGCCTATTCAGGGCCCATTATTTTTCATTTGGGGAAAAAAAATAAGAAATTCCTTTCCTTACCCAATCTCTGACTTTCCCCAGCTAACAGCCTAGATTTTATTATTGGGGTGATCCCTTGCACCATTATCGCTATCTTTGAAATGCAAAGGAAATCTGCAGGGCGATACTCACATCCACAATTTTCTTAAGTACTTCCGACTGGATTTTATCATAGAGTTCAAAGTCCTTTTCTTCCACCATCTTATCCCGATAAACCCGGTTGGATTCATGCAGATACAGCCTGACGAGGTCATGTGCTGATTTTACACATTCCACTGAGGAGAAGAGAATGCCCTTCAAGGAGAACAGAGAGAATGACAGTGAATGGGGCCAGGGCTGTAGGCAGTGAACTGAGCCATTCCTTACAATGCTGACCGCTTACAATTGCAGCCGCTGTTAGAGTCCTGTCTGGTGTGTTTCAGATTCAGCTCTGTATTAAGGCATCTGGGAAAGCAGCAGATGACCTTGGGCCATGGTCACCCATGTGGGAGACCTGGATGACATTACAAAATCCTCATTTTGGCCTGGCCCAGCCCTGGTTATTGCAAACATTTGGGAAATGAACCAGTGCATGAAAGCGGTCACTCTCTCTTTGAAACTCTTACTTTCCTTAACTAACTGTTTCTTTTTAAAGATGTATTTATTTTTCATTGGAAAGTCAGATATACAGAGAGGAGAAATGGAGAGGAAGGTCTTCTATGTGCTGATTCACTCCCCAAGTGACCCCAGTGGCCAGAGCTGCACTGATATGAAGGCTGGAGGCAGGTGCTTCCTCTGGGTCTCCCAAGTGGGTGCAGGGTCCCCAGGCTTTGGGCCGTCCTCGACTGCTTTCCCAGGCCACAAGCAGGGAGCTGGATGGGAAGCGGGGCTGCTGGGATTAGAACTGGAGCCCATATAGGATCCAGGTAAGAGCAAGGAGAGAACTCCGGCTGCTATGCTACTGTGCCAGGCCCTGAAACTCTTAGTTTCAAATAAACAAATCTTAAAAAGAAATGATAAGTATAATAGCTAAAAGAAACTATTTTATGACACTTTTTTTTTTTAAATCAACCTGTGATTATTATGGCTTGGGAGTAGCTCCTTGGAGCATATCTAACTCTCGCAGAAGGAGCTGAATAGAAGCTTGTGGAGAAAGATCCAAATGTTTGGGACAGACACACCCAACCACTGAGTCTGTCTGAACTACAGGAAAATTACGTGACTTTGAGCAGTTCATGCAACAGCTTACTTTTCAAATAATGTTGACTTTTTCCAGTTCTTGAAATAATTCAGGTTAATATACCTAATGGAAATTAGCACTGTTCATCTCACCTACTCATTAGAGATGTGCATTTAATAAGTAAAAATTTGATCCCCTGGGAAGATAGTTTAATTCTCAATTTGTCTGAGCTCAATAACACAGCTTGAAAATATACAAAGTAAATGAGTCAAAAATAAGAGAATATGTCTATAATCAGAGTGGGAAAACTCAGCATATCTTTCTCAGTAATCATGGACACCAACATCAGCAAACACAGAAAATGCAAACAAGATGCTTTAAAAAATTCCCTTAATTGACACATTGATAAACAGCACCCTTCCATTGCAGAATGTATTTTTATGTGTACTTTGAAAGTATTCTGGAGCATAAAGTCCATCTCCACACATTTCAAAGGAATGAGACGGTGTTTTTTTCAGACAACAGTTGGATTAAGGTAGATAGGTGTTAATAAGAGAAAGCAAGCTTGGAAGATCTCTAAATATTTGAAAACAATAATATACCTCTCAATATTTAATGGGCCAAAGAAGTTACCACCGCAAAATGCTAAAATATCACAAATAGTATTGAACGTAAGAATGAGACTAAAAATATGACACATACAAGGTTGCATGATGCAGTAATGTTGCAACTGGAGATAGACTTATAGTCTTCAAATGAATGTTTTGGATGAGACAATGGGTGGCAATTAATGATGCCAGTAGCCATATTAAGAAGTTACAAAGTGAATAAACTGGCCCCATACTCAAAGTCAGCGGGAAGAGACCCTAGAGAGCAAATATCAGCAATATCTTAAAAAGATATCAAATGGACACACTGCATCAAGCCAAATCATGGTGGCCTGCACAGAGAGGACACGTGGGTGTGCAGAACAACCGTGTTCCCTGTCCCTCTGCACACATTCCACCAAGCACCACCCTCAGCAGGTGCCAGAACAATGGGGCCTGTGGACCTGCAGCACTGTGATCTGAAAGACGCCTTCTTCCTTGGCAAGTAGCTTCTCTCAGGTGCTGAGTAGTGATCAAAAGCTATTATGGTGTGTCATATTGAGCTGAGATACAAAGCAAGGTTTACTATATAGCCTCGTTATATAATGCTCAAAATATAGTCAGAGTAGATCAGACTGTCAGAAAGCCCTGGAAGAGCTGGGAAGAGTGGATGGAAGGATGGGCAAGAGGGGCTTTTGAGACGTGGGGAGGGTTGTGTTTCTCGGTTTTGGTTGTTCACATAGTTGCAATGACTTGGGGTAAATTAACCAAACTGCTTTCTGACTGTGCTTTCCTACTACTTGTTATGTCTTAATAATAATAATTAAAAAATAGATTAAAAAATTTCACTAGGGGTTTTTTTTTGGATTCCATGAAAACCTAAGTTAATTTTTGGTGGAAACAAAATTTTAAAATCCACAGACAGTTTTATCATAAAATATGCATCTCTCTGTGAATGTTTTCGAAACTGCCTTGTTTGTCCTGGCCTCTTTCGCCGTGTTGCCTCTCCTAGGACTCTGTCATATGCTCTCACTGGGGAGGGGGAAAGTACGGAGCAGGAATGCTGACTTCTGGGACTTTGTGTTGGACAGTGAGGCCAGCTCTCCATGACACTTACAAACCCCGGCACAGCCCAACAATCGGACAGGCTGACAATTAAGGGTGGCGGACGTGTGAGCATGTCAAGTGTAAACTTCGCACTGTCTTAATTATCTGCCCCGAGATGGGAACGGTTGATGGTTTCTGCTACTCAGACTGCCATCAAATTCTAATTTGGACAGAGTGAGGGAAGTGCAGAGAAAGTTTGCATTATTGAACCTTAGTTCAAACTGGAGGAAGGAAAACCACAGTGGCTCTCTAAGCAGTGCCTGTCTCCTGCTGGGCATTCAACCATCCCCTTAATCTCTTCCATCAGAGCTTCAGACAAGCAGTCACAGAAGGAGGGAGGGAGCAGAGGGAGACAGCAGTCAATCTGAGATTCACACTCCCTTCTGGGGAAGGTGGGAGGAGGGCATCCTTCCACACTTGGGGCAGATGACTGACAGCTGATAGGTGCAGGGGTCAGGCGGGGATACAGAGTCTTGAGGGTTTGCCACTCAGGCTGCCAAAGTCAGGTAAAGAAACGGGTTGTGGTTGTGGTGGGGGGGCAGAAATTCAACCCAACCAGCCCCACTATCCAGCTCACACACATGTCGGTGAGTGCTACTCTGTCTAGCCATGCCTGCCCCAGTTCTGGTTCTCATGCTCACCAGTTGAAGTGAAAATCCAAGAGGGAGGTGTCCACTGTTTCTTTACTGGGCCCACTCCTACTCCCAGATTTTGTACTCTCCAGATGTTTCTGCAGTTTAACTTGAAAGAATTTGCTCCCCCGTGTCACCCTCTGCCAGCTGATGCTGTGGCAAAGTCCAACCAACCCACACTCATTCTGTCTTATGCATACACCAGGAAGGAATAGTCAACCCAGCCTGGCTTTCCCCTGATCCAGCTCACTTGAGGCCAAGAGGTGTTGTAGCCCTGCCCAGCTTGGTCTGCTCCCATCCCAACTCTCATGCTCACCAGTGGGAATAGTGATCTAGCAGAGGAGCCCCATGCAGCCCCACTACCAGCTTCAACCCTCCCCTCCTGGGTCTCATGTGTGTTGGTTGGGCGCTACAGCCCAGTCTGGCATGGCCCGCCTCACCTTGGCATTTGCCTGTTCCATCCCCCAAATCCAGCTCAGGCTGGTGGGGGTTACAGCCTAGCCCAGCCCAGCTGGTCCCCATTCCCGGCCCTCATTTGAACTGGCTTGTGCTGTGGCCCAATCTGGCCTGACCCACACTCCATTCTGGTGCTCAGAATTGCCAGTGGACGATATGCACTGGCCCAGCCTGGTTCGCCTCTGACCTGTGCCAAATGTATGTTGGTTGGTAACATTAACTGGCCTTGTCTGGGCTGCTCCCTCTTGTGGTATGCTAGCATTGCAGAGGGTAGCTTAATGTGAAGCGCCACAACTGAGATCATTAGACAGTCTCTGATTTACCATGGTTTAATTTAGCAGTTTGTTTGACTTGTGATGTTTCAAAGTGAACCCACAGAACCATTCTGCTTGTTACATGAGATACTCAACAATTGTAAAATAGGTCTTTTAGGCCAATGTGGATGTTCTAAAGCATGTTTAATTTAGACCAGCTAAGCTGTTATGTTTGAAAAGTTACTGCATTTTCAATTTGGAAATGTTTTCTTTTTTTCTAAAGATGTATGCATTTGTTTGAAAGGCAGAGCAACAAGGGTAGAGAAAGAGGGATAGAGGCACAAGGGGAGGAGACGAGAGAGAGAAATAGAGAGAGAGAGAGAGAGAGAGAGAGAGAGAGAGAGAGAGAGAGAGAATCTCATGTACTGATTCACTCCCCAAGTGGATGCAATGGCTAGGACTGGTTCGGATTCGGGTTCAGGCCAGGAGCTGCAAGCTGCATCTGGCTCCTTGGCTTTGGTGGCAGGAACCTAAATATGACTATCCTCTGATTCTTTCCCAGGTACCTAAGCAGGGAGCTGGATCGGAAGCAGAGCAACCAGGACGTGAAGTGGTAACTCCTCTATGGGATGCCAGTATTGTAAGCCCTGATTTGACTCTGTGTGCCAAAATGCCAATGCCAACATCTGCAGAGATATTCAAGTTACGACGTGTTTATGGTACATGGAGGAACATCTGTATCATGCTGTCTCCAGAACATTCAGCCTCCTTCTGCCCAAAACAACCAACTCAGAAGTGCATTCTGCTTCCTTAGCAGTACTTTGATTTACAAACAGGATTCTACTTTGCTACTTTTCTCCTGGAGCCCATGGAAGTCTTTTGAGCTGTTTATATTTGCGACTCCACATGAGCCTTACCTTTGCTTAAGCATTTGCCACTCATTACTTCAGACTATCCCGGGCAAGACTGAGCCTTCTGGATGTGTCTTAGAGCAGTCTCACTCACCTGGAAGATGTTGGCAAAATCTCTGAGATTGAAGATATAGTGGAATTTCATGGCTGTGGGCAGGAATGTGGTGGCGATTTTCTGGTGGAACGTGAGGGCCAGCTGGATCAGCTGGGGGACAGCCTTGTGCAGGGAGGCTGGGAAGTTTCCCAGCTGCAGGTGCTGAGTCAGGAGGGTACTATAGATGGAGGAGAGGGCATCTGCTCCCGGGAAGGAGAGGACGAACACGCAGAAGTGACGCTACATGGGGAAGGAAAGGCATAGGGAGAACCCGTGAGTCAGGAACCCTTGGTCATGGAAAGGAAATCACCTCTCCTGGATTTAGATAAAGGATTGGATGCTTCCTGTACTTGAACTTCTCTGGTCATGTTTCTCATGCTACCCTCATTCTCAGGTGGAACCTAAACATCACTGCTACAGGGAATGGCTTTGAACCTCTGGCCCAAGGTACATACATGGGTTACTGGAAAGGGAACCAAACCTGAACTTGAGTAACCCAAAGTCCAGATCTGAGCATTCGGTACAGAGTATCCCCATGGCCTTGAGAAAATAATTTCATGTCTCTGAAAGACCCTCAGCTGAAGGGACATGGAGTTGATGAACTTTGCAATCCCTCCAGTTTTAAAAGCTTTCTGATCCCCTTAGAAATGCAAGTTAACATCCTGTCTTATTTGCCTTCCTGAAAGGCTGGATGGGGGAAAGGTCAAGAGAGATCAGCCCTGCTACGGTAGCGTTAGGACCCACGTGCCACCCCGACTTGTCTTTTACCTGAAGCCGTGGGTTGATGGTGAAGCTGCCTGCAGTTGGGTTCATACAGGAAATATACTGCACATTCATGATCTCCTTCAGGGACAGCTTGTTCCGATCGTACCTGGGACCGTCGGAAGACATGAGTAATGCATGGGGGCCAAGGACAATGACTGCTCTGTCAGATGAGTTGGCTATATCCACATTTGGGTGATCAGAAAAAGGTCTATGACTCCCATTGGAGATTGAGAAGAGACAACAGCCTAGGACAAACTCCTGAGGCAGTCAACATCAACAAGATGTTGATCAACTCAACTCTGGGTTGCGTTAAGGGGTAGGAGGAGAATCAGGGGTGTGCAGTATTGCAGAAGGCAAGGAAAGGCAGAGTTTCCAAAAGAGAGTATGGCCAACCACATCCAGTGCTGCAGGGAGAAGAAGAAAGCTAAATAAAGACTCCATAAGGGTCCTTTGAGTTTTGCAATAGCAATGCAATAATATACAGGGAAATATATGAAGTCGTAGTGGATAGAGGAGAAACCATGGGATGAAGGGTGAGGTCAGCAGAGAAAGAGAGAAAAAAAAAATATATGTATAGAGAGAGGCATAGAGAAAGAGAGCCAGAATGGTAATTAGACACTTTTTAAAAAACACCATAGAAGGAATTAATGCAAGATTGTGTGATATGAAGGAGAAGTAGGGAGATAGCAGTGGCCAACTGAGGAAGAGCAGAACCAACGTGCTGATGGATGGTGCCTTGAGTAAGACGTAAAAGTGGAAGTGGAGCAAATGAAGTGGGCATGGATTGTACAGATGCGGAAGCAAGCAGTGGCGAAGGCATCTGTTTTATTTATAGTTCTCTGTCAGCTGGGATGGACTGGGAAGTTTGGGGAGAGAGCAGTTGGTCTGAAAGACACATTTCTGGGAGAGGACTTGTAAATGGACTCTTTCTCGGCGGCCAGTTCTGTGTGTATATGTGTGTGTGTGTGTGTGTGTGTGTGGCGGGGGGGAGCGTTGACCCAGACTTGTCTCGAGTCATTGAGCTGCTTTCGTTTTGCTGGCCAAGTTCAGGCCTTTGGCCATCAACAGCCAGGAGGCCGCGTCACTGGCTGAGAGTTGCTCTGAGGAGGTAAGACCATGAAGGTCTGCAGAGCCCGGTGAAGTGGGGGCACTTGGTGTGCTGGGTGTAGTGCTGTGGCAGTGGAGATGTTGGAGAGGTTCATTCTACTTTAAGGATGTGGAGACTATTTCTGGAAAAAAAGTAACTTCTGGGTTGAATTCTGAGGGAAAAGGGGGCTTTTCCTTTGTGAGAGCTCGGTTTTTTCTGTGGCTAAAATTTTCATGTGGATACTAACGGCCCTGCTTTTGGCATGTATACATTTGTTGGAGTGTGTTGGGGGAGAGGTCTTTTGTCTGATGGGTCTTTTGTGAACGCCTGCAATAGCTTGGGCAGAGCTAGCCCAAAAGCAGGAGCCTGGAACTCCACCTGGGTCTCCCATGTGGGTGGCAAGAACCATGTTCTGCTGCCTCCCAGGAGGCACATTAGCAGGATCGAGAGAAGAGTAGTTGCGACTTGAGCCAGGCACTCTAATATGGGTTGCACGCATCCCAAGAAATTCCTCTCCCTGATTGACAGGTCCAGATGTGGAGACATAGTGTCGTATGCATGTCTGCATCCAGATCAAGAATTGACTCCCAGTGAAACTGTTGTTAAGTGTCCTGACAGTAACAAGCTGGATTATCTGCCATTGTCCATGCCTACAATGTTGGAAAACACTTCAATAGTGGAATGATGGACTTAACGACTGTTTATGAAGGACGTTGTTTAATACTAGAGGGGAAATCACTGTGGTGGGAGGGTACTTGTGGAAGGGGAGGGGGAAATCCCAGAGTCTAAGCAACTGCATCATAAAATAATAAGAATAAAAGATATTCCTCTCCCTATGCCCATTCTCTCCCCACAATGGCCTTGCTTGAAACAGAAGCTCAGGAGGTGGAAGAGCCTCTGAGGAGTGGGATTAGCAAGGGGACTCTCATCTGGTTCCAGGGTTCAGGTGAGGTTTGCCCTTGAGCTTGGCTCCTGCCCCCTGTGTGTGTGCTCTTACCAGTGACCATAGTCCAGGTGCTGCCTGATGAGGGTGTGGGGCTGCACAGTGCCGTAACTGTCCACCTCGGGCATGTTCAAGTCGTCAATGAAATAGATCAGCTTCTTGCTACCTGGGGGGCCATAGTTTCTTCCTGCTTTCTTTTCCAGAGGCTTCTCCAGTACAGCTGAGGAAGAGAGATCTTGTTAGCAAGAGAGGGATGGCTAAGACTGAGGCAGTGCAGGTGTTGGGGATGAGCCGGGGTGTATCCTGCACGTGTGTGTGTGTGCAAACAATAGCAATGATGATGAAGACGGCAACATCAAGAAAAATCCCACCAAACTGGGGGTATTCTATAGGACCACAAAGTGAAGTCAAAAATTATTGGGCATTAATGATGGTATCTTACTGAATATGTTACCGCGTGTGCTAGCGCTGGGTGTCCACAGACATTTATCATCTCATCCAACCTTTGCAAACATCGCTGTAAGAACTAGTAATATCATCCTGTTTTACAGATGAAAGAAACGAGGCTCAAAAGAACGAGGCAACTTTACCAAAGGAAAGCAACCAGAGCTGTGAACCCTTAAATGCCACACTACTTCTGACATAGTGTGGTCCCTAATTTTCTTTCTTTATGCACTAGGCATGGAAGAGCCCTTCACAATCCTAATGCCAGGGACTCAACCCTCAAAGAAACCTTTACCAAAGGAAAGCAACCAGAGCTGTGAACCCTCAAATGCCACACTACTTCTGACAGAGTGTGGTCCCTATTTTCTTTCTTTATGCACTAGGCATGGAAGAGCCCTTCACAATCCTAACGCCAGGGACTCAACCCTCAAAGAAACCTACAAATAACTGTGTCCCAGGTAGACTGGCCCTGTCTCCCTGAGACAGGCAAGGGATATGAAGGCCGTGATCTCTATCCCAGTGCTGGCCTGAGGCCTCTTCCACTTTGGGCTACAGAAGAGGATTTGGGCTATTTTGCCAACAGTGCTTCCTGGAGGGTTCATCTCAGGAGGTTTTTTCCTCCATGGGGGGATAGAATCTGCAGCCTCAGAGTTCTCAGCTGCTTCCAGCATCGTGAATGAACCGCTCCCTGCCTTGTCCTCAGTTTCTTGGCCCCCCCGTGGGGCATCTCAGGGAGGACTCTCTGGAGACTTAAGTATGGGGCCTGCCTTGTGGAGCTGCTCTTCAATTACTAAAGCAAAGGGAAGGAGTCAAACCCAATGACTCCCAGACAGACAGGGACTTGTTTAGAATGAACCTAAGTATTGGTGATGCATACTTTTTTTTTAAAAAAAAACTTAAAGCGATTAAATATTTATGGATTGCAAGAAACAACACTTTTTTTTTATTCCAGCTGGAAGCTCTAAGCAGCATCATCTGATCTCTCCTCAAGAGAAACACGTTTGTAAACAAGGAGAAGGTGTCAATAGACATCGGAAGGTGACAGATAGAAAGACAAGCTCCTTCAAGAAGCTTGAATATTCTAATTTTCTGGTCCTGAGTTAAATGAAGTGTCTCAAATATGAATTACATTTAAATTTAATTAGCATCCAATTAACATACACTATCAACCAATTAATCACCCAACACCTTCTCTCCACTCCCACCCTCTCCCCCTCCAAGCACACACAAAGATGTTAACAACTAATATAAGAGAGCTTTCAAAACGAAATATAATTCACGGGGGTTCCAAGGACATGTTCTAAATTTCCTTCTCATGGGAAATTCTCTGCCTGGCAAGACTTGTGTCTCCTCTTCCCAAGGCAACGATGTTCAAATCAACCCCCGGGATGAAGCAGACCCTACGATTTGTTTTGATTCGGTGCTGGATGTTCCTCAAGGATTACTGAGGAGAAAAGCACGCTCGGTGCTGACAGGAGGGAAGGGACTCCCCTGTGGAAAAGACAGAAGATGGATTTTGCCTTGAGCTGAATTCTGCTCCAGGTCACTTCGAGGGTGAAGTCACGGGACAAACAGGGACAGCCCTCAGTTCCAGGAACAGGGATGAGGTTGAAGGTGATCAGCAGGTGAGGCAGACACAGGAAGCTGGCCCTCCCACGCCAGTTCTGAGTTCTGATTGAGTCGTGTGCCTTGGCAAGCGAGCTTGGACACGGAAGTTCACGCCTGGCCTGTAGTCACTTGGACATTCTGAACTCGGTTTTTCTACCAGACTGGAATATAGTAACAAGGGATTTCTCCTGAGGCCCTAACAGAGTCTATGTCTTTTTTTCTTAAAGATGTATTTATTTTTATTGGAAAGGCAGATATAGAGAGAGGAGAGACAGAGAAGATGACCTTCTGTCTGTTGATGCACTCCCCAAGCGGCCGCAATGGCTGGAACTGAGCCGATCCAAAGCTAGGAGCCTGGAGCCTCTTCCAGGTCTCTCACACAAGTGAAGGGTCCCAAGGTTTTGGGTCATCCTTGATTACTTTTCCAGGCCACAAGCAGGGATGCTGGGCTGCTAGGATTAGAACCGGCTCTTATATGGGATCCTGGTGCATGCAAAGCGAGGACTTCAGCTGCTAGGCTATGGTGCTGGGCCCCGAGCCTATGTTTTTAACTTGTGTCTCTGCTGGGCACCATTTCACCACCATCTCATATGTGAGGAACGATTTGCTTCTCAAAGTAGCTTGAAGTGGATCTCGTGTCACCGCCTCATGCTGCTGCCCTCAGTCCATTGGCTCTCACCTGGCAACTCCCCTATCTTCTGAGCTGGTCTCCCTGGGTCTGCTACGGACTCCCTTCTCTCTAGACGCAGAACAGCAACTAAGACCCTCAGGTGAAGTGTACACTGGGTTCTGTGGTCCCCTGGATGGAGCCCTCCAGTGCCTCCCTCCTGACTTGGAGCCAAGGTCAGCCTGGTTATGTCTGTGTTGAAAATTCACATCTTGATTTTTCTTTCGTATTGTTCCAGTCTCTGCCACTCACTCTGCTTTGATGCATGCGCCACTTGCTACCCCAGGGCCTCTGCTCTGGCTGCTTCTTCCATTTAGAGTCATTTATTCCCTCATCTCTACCAGGTTTCTGAGGAAGGCCAGCGCTGGTACATGACTAACATGTACAGATCATAGCCCTTTAACAGAGCCTGATGAGATATTCTCACTGTCTCAACAATTTTCCAGCAGACGAAAAAGGTTGAGGTTGAACAAGTACTAACCAAGTACAAAGCCAAGATTCTAACCCAGGCTGGGCAAACCTAGAGCTTCATGTAATCACTATTGCAAACAACCCTTTTTTTAAAAAAAATTTTTTTGTTGGCTATGATTTATTTGTTTATTTGAAAGCAACAATAACAGAAAGGAAGAGGGAAAGAGAGAGAGAGAGAGGGAGAGATCTTCCATCTGCTGGGTCAATCCCAAATGGCCACAATGGCTGGGCTGGGCCAGGCTGTAGCTAGGATCCAGGAATCCATCTAAGTCTCTCATGTTTTTTGTGGGTGGCGGGTCCCCCAAACTTCGGCTGTCTTTTGCTGCATTAGAGTCCCAACTGCTCTACTCTCCAATCCATGTCCATGCACAGAGAGCAGCTGGATTGGAAGTAGAGCAGTTGGGACTCTAATGCAACTCTGACATGGGATGCGGGCTTTGTAGACCATGAGTTAGCCTAAGTGCTGTGTAACACTATCGGCCTGTAGCATATTTAGGACAGAAATCACTATTAATTAACTTTTATTTTGCTTTATATTGACCTGATTTGTATACATTTGAAATGTTTTCCTTGATGTTACCTTATTTTCATGTATTATAATTCTGGGTTATTTTTTAATGGCTTTGCACTTAGAGTTACAATCACATGCCTTGTAAAAATTATAAAAATGATATAAATTCATTTTAGCCCTGTAAAATATATCATCAAGAATTGGAACAATGAAAGTGAAAGTCATCCATAACGCTGTCACTCAGCAGTAAACAAGATTGTCAGTACATTTTTGTATTCGATTCTAGATTGTTTTTCTCTACAGTATCAGAATTATAATGAGTGTGCTTATATCTGCTCTTTTCTTTAGTGTATCCCAAACCTCTTTGAAGGAAAATAAAGATCCTCTTAGATTGGGATTTTAATTGCTGCATGTGTTGTGCAATTTTGATAGATCAAAATCCATAGAATGACTCCTCTATTGTTTGAAATATGTGTTGTGTTCCATCTCATCCTTCTTTGAACCGGCTGTAATTCCAAGCAGAATGTCTTGCCCATTTGATGGCAGATCTTTGATGCATTAGCTTCTATGTGTATCATCTGCTTTTCTGAAGACAGTGAGTAGTAGAGAGCTGTCTGTCTGTCAGAGTGGGAGCACGGTGCTCCTTTGAGGTTGAGTTTGATTGGGTCTTTGAAGCTCTTGTCTAACCTTAAGCTCTTAACGAACAGGTTGAAGAGATCCATCTTACAAACCATTTCAGGCATCGGAGCTTCTGTCTAATTAGTGTAATTAAGTACTCAAATATTTGTGGAAATAGTAACTGAAGTCTTTGCTGGAGGGTGAAAGAACACAGGGCTGTAATGAAAGTGCTCTTTGGCCTTCTTTTCGACTGAAACGATGAGTCCCTTGGCACCTTTACCAAGTTCTTTGCTGTTCCTTTTCTGTTTCTAAACTGTCCTGTCTGTGGGCCTTTGCAAACATTTTCTTTTTCTTTTTTTTTTTAATACGTTTTCAAAAAATAGTGAAGAGACATAAACCGATCATTTTAAAAACAAAGACTAACAAGGGATAGCAAAGCGATATAGAATGAGAAGAAATTTCCTTGTGTTGGTAATTGAGGATGACATATGATTACTGCAACTAGATAAAATCCTATCTCACATTTTGCTTTATGAACTGATTGCTTCAAAGCTCAGGGCAACTTCTGTGTTTAATTATAGCAATGGTGCCATCCCAGATTTCTGGTCCAGATCTGTCTCTTCTCTTGTAAGCAGATTGCCCAGGCACTAAATTCTGGGAGGCATATACTTACAAAACAACAGTATGGTCTTTGCCTGAAATTTTATGGAAGACATAATAATAACACCAAATGATCTTTTATCACACCAAACCCAAGGGTTGATCATTCTAGTAACTGTTACTCAGAGTAAGGTCATTCCTTCATTGGGCAATGTCCCTGGGTTTGTGGAGTTCCCAGGGCATTGGGGGTGGAGGCTGAACACACATCTACATCCTTTGTGCCCGGAGGGAGAGGTGGCTGTTATTTAGCCTATGGTTTGTGCAGCCTGAGTTGGTGGTAGGCTGAGTTTCTCAATGACCAATTGTGGGGTCTATTGTATTTGCAATCAAAGGGAAAGAGACACACACATGCCCTGGGTGTCAGGTGAGCAGAAACCAAGATGGTGTCCTGATGTGGACATTCAGATGCAAGGCTTAGGCCTGGGCATTTAAAGAAACCAGCATCTAAGATTAGGGAGCCTAGATTCCAGTCTTGACTCTGGCTTACTCCTAACACTGACTCTGGGAGTCAGCCAGTAATAAGCTCAAGTGAGTGAGTCCATGCCCAAACAAGACTGGGCTATCCTGCTTTAGCTTTGCCCAGTCCTAGCTTCTGAGGGCATTTGGTGGAGTGAAACAGTGGATGGAGGCTCTGTCAGTGCATTTCTCTCTCTTTGGCCCTCAAATTAGAGAGAGCATTTAGAACATAAAAAATAAATAGGTCCACAATTTATAGTCTTGTTGAAATAGAAGGTAGTAGCTTGATGGAGTCAAACAACTTTGCTATTAACTCATGAGCTAACCTGATTTCAGTCACTTGACACCCTTAAATCTTCACATCCTGCAAAAATGGGAACTATCACTGTATCTGTGATGAGCATATTTCCAAAAATCCTTTTCTCTTTTAAAAATGTATTTTTATTGGAAAAGCAGATATACAGAGAGAAGGAGAGACAGAGAGGAAGATTTTCTACCCATTGGTTTACTCCCCAAATGGCCCAACAGTTGGAGTTGAGTTGAGCCAAAGCCAGGAGCTTCTTCTGGGTCTCCCATGTGGGTGCAGGGTCCAAAGTTTTTGGACCATCCTCCCTTCATGGCTTTCCCAGGCCATAAGCAGGGAACCAGATAGGAAGTGGAGCAATTAGGACATGAACTGGCACCTATATGGGATGCTGACACTGCAGGGGGAGGATTAGTCAGTTGAGCCATGGTGCTGGACACAGAGGTCCTTCTCTTTGCTCATTACACCTGGGGAGGCGGTGTGACACAGTTCTGAACAGCAAGGTAACAGCATTTTTAATGATTTTCACTTTCATCATTCCAATGCTCGATGCATTTCACCTTGCTAAAATGAAGCCACATCACTTTTATAATTTCTACAAGGTACGTTATTGTTTGCAAAGCCTATGAAGTTCTCGGGGTGCTACCTTTTCCTTCATGATCATTGCCTGTATCCTTGGTTTTTCTACTTGGAATGTAGATGTGATGGCCAGAGCAGCAGCCATTCTGCGGCCTTGAAAGCAAACAAGAGAAGAGCAAATATTTTATCACTGAGCTGTTGGCATTTGAAGCTGCCCTTCCTCACAGTTCTAAAACAGAGAAGTATTATGTATGCCAGTAGTGTTAGATATTCTTCTACTATTTCAACCAAAAGCACTACTGATAAATGACTGATAGGGTAGGGAGGAGTGTGTGTGTGTGTGTGTGTGTGTGTGTGTGGTGAGTGGGTGGGAAGGTAAATGGTTCAGTGCAAGGGCTGGCACTTAAACGCTAAAGAAATGGTCCACTCTTCACTTTAGTGAGCTGTGTGCATGCCCCTAAGCATAGCCCTTGTTGGTACTTCAAGGACCTCTGACTCTGCGCTGAGGATAATTCTCACTGGGGACTGCACAACTGGATTAATGAGAGGAGGGACACAGGTACCAGTGAGCAGCTGCCTCTTCAGGAACAGCAGATCTGACGAGGAGAAAAAAGAAAAAAAGCCCTGTGAGGTCTCCCAGGAGAAGCGAGCAGCAGACGGGTGGGGTGATCTCTAGGGTGGAGCAATGCCTATCTGAAAGCTGAGATGTTTCTTTCAGAAACATGAATTTTGTTTCAGTGCACTTGATGTTAAGCTCATTTTTTTCCCCGCAAAGGGGGTTTGCTTGTGTGCTTTCTCTTTCGGCGACTGAGCCCTAGAAATCTTTGCAAAAACACCGACTGTTAAATTCAAGCAGAATTTTGTGAATATTAATATAATAACTGCTTCCATGGACTAGACACTTATAATATGCTAGGACTTATTTGGGGTGTTTTATGTGTTTTACTTAACTCTTTAAGAGTGATAAGAATGAACTACTGATACACTGAACAATGTGGATGGATCTCAAAATCACACCGAGTGATACCAGCCAGCTGCCCTCCCCGCCAAAAAACAGAGTACACAGTGTGTGATTCCAGTATATAAAATTCTGAAAAATGCAAATCAGCAGTTGCCTGGAAGTAGGTGGGGTGGAAACGTTGAGTTGGCATGGTTCTCCAAGGGGCACAAGGAAGCCTTTGTAGGTGATGGGTATATATTAATCTCAACTAGGATGATGCTTTTATGATGCACAGATATTTCAAAGCTGAGCGGATATGTTTGGCATAGTATATGCTAATTATAACTGATCTTTTTAAAGAAAAATAGCACAGATCATGCTTCCTTTCAGTCAGAAAATGGGTGAGCTCTGATTCTTTTTCACACAATTCTACCCGACGGTGAGAAGGAGTGAAACAGATCTGCAAGTCTCGATGAAAAGTTAGTGACCGAAGGTAAGTAATGGTAGTGTCCACGCTTAAAGTGTAAATGCTCCTGGCAAGGTTCTCTGTGTTCTGGGTGTGTGTGCATATCAAAAACGTGGTCCTGGAATGATACAAAGGAACTTCAGTTAGACAGGAACTGGAAGGAACAAGGGCTGGGCGGAGGACTGGCTGTAGTGGCAGTGCCTGCAGCCATGGCAAAGCGACAGCTTTCAGCATCTGTGAAATCTGCACAGTGCCTCATGGGCATCCGTCACATTAGTGTCTGTGCTTTTCTGTATGCTTGGGATGTTAAAAAAAAATAGCTTGAGTAATTCCCCTCCCCACTCTCAGCAGACAAGTGCTGCTGTCGCTTTCTGGTGTGTCCTTCTGCCATTCTCGCTCTGTATCTTTCTCTCTGTCATCTGCCCATTTACCTATCTCATCCATGTATGTATGTATTTTCTTATGTCTCAACTATCTATTGATCTATCCATCACCTTTCATCGCCATCATCTGTCATGCACATATTGATTCACTGATCTATCATTATCTATGAGCTATTTATCATCTCTGTATGTATGTATCTGCTTGTCTGTATATCCATCGTCTGTCTACTTAACTACATACTTACCTACCCATGATCTATTTATTCATTTATCTACCAATCACCTATTTGTGTATCTGCTTGTCTATCTACTTTACAGACCTACTTATTTATCTATAAATAAAATACTTATGTATCTATAAATATAAATACACCTATCTATGCATCTACTTGCCAATGCATCCACCTACTTCTTTATCTATTAATGGGTCATGTATCGCCACATATACCTATTCATCCAGCATCTATCTGTTGTCTATCCATCCATCATCTCTGTGTGTATTATATGTATATATGTACTTTTGTAAGTCCCAATATGCCTCTTCTGAATCACCTAAGGGGGTATGTTTGCATTTACTTCTTTTTAGACAGGACACAGTTTGGAATGGCTCTGGTTTGGCTACAGTATTGGTATCCCTGAAGGGTTCCTACGTTGAAACTTACAAGGTCTTTGAAGGTGGAAACTTTACCCTGTCAAGAAGTGGGACCCTTGGTAGGTGATGGGGATTCAGGTCCTTGAAGTGGTGTCCTGGGATCTGATGTTGGTAGCTGCAGGAGAGACACCAGAACACAGGTACATGTTCTTGCTGTCTCCTGCTGTGTGATGTCCTGGTCTGCCCGAGAAGAAGGCTGCTGCCAGGTGTGACCCCTTGAACCTCTAGATCTGTGAGCTAAGCAGGGTTCTTTTCCTTACAGAGTAACCCATCCTCAGAAACTTCATCCTAGTGATGACAAATAGACCCATACAGGAGTACACCACAGGCGCTGCTGTATATTTTGCTTTTCTCACTCAACAAATCTTTGGCAGTAGTTCCAAATCAGTGCATGCATAATTTCCTTGGCCTTTGCAATGCTGTTTAGCATGCTCTCCTGTGAATAATTAGGCTCTTTCCTAACTTCTGCCACGTTTTTGCACATCTGTCTGGATGTGCTACTTGTCCTTCGAGCAGACTATGCCACATCACATTCAATCTTTTCTTACACACACAGAGTCTTAAGTATAAACAGCAGTTTGGGTAGTGAACCAGGGGATGAGTTCTCCCCATCGGTCTCATTGCTGAGCCACACAGCCATCCCTGTACATTTCAAAAGAGCAGAAAGCAGCACTAAGAGTGCTGGAGATGTGCACAGAGGTATGTGGCAGAAGAAGGAAGGGAGGGGCGAAAGGAGTTTGACAGAGGAAGTGCATTCTGGGACACAAGGGAAGCAAGGTGGAGCATTTACCTGGGTACTCAGCTCTGGTCCTGCCAGGGCACACCTCCCACCCCCAGGGTACCCAGGGTGCCTTACCCTGCAGCATCGCTGATGTTGTATAGTAGTTGAATGGCACATTTTTCACCAGGTAGTCCTCGGGATCAAGGCCGGCTAGCTTGGCTCCCACCAGCACTGACTTGCCTGTGCCTGCTGTGCCCACCAGCATGACTGGCCGCCGGTGTGCCAGGAGCCGCTCCATGAAGTAGCACACTCGGATGGTCTCATTGGTGTGCACTAAACAGGCCTGGAGTGGGACAGGATGAACTGGCTGAGGTGGGCACCAGGGAGAAGCAGGTGTAGCATGTCACATTCTGGCTTTGGAGAATTGCAAAAGTGGAAATCCTGCCCCAGTGGAGCACCCATGGCAGTGCTAGTTAGGGATCTCTTCTCTAACATCCACCGCAGGGTAGAGAGAGCCACATTCCTCTCCTCTCCTGCTTTTGAATAACCTCTTGTGACCTCTCCCAAGTGTTTCAGAAGTTCTGCCGTCCACCCCCAGGATGCTGACTGGAACAAGCCTTAAAGTTTCCTAGCTTTTAGAAGAGGACATAATTCCATGGCACATCCTATGAAAGGGAATGTAGCTAGAAGACAGTTGGCTCCTAGAACTCTGGTCTTGATAGGAGGCCACTATTAGAACTACCCAGACGTTTGTCGGTGCTTGCCTGTTCTGGGTGTCCCAGCCACACTCACCTGTAAGGGCATCTCAGGATCAAATTCAACCCGGGGGATGAGCTTGGACCATGGCTCGAATTTCTTGGTCTCTGGGTCTATGTAATAGTCAAAGACGGTGCCCTGGGAAGGAAACTTGACTGTCTTGAACTCCGTCAGCCACCATTTGCTGAACTCTGCCCGGTAGTCCACAAGCTGCAGAAACAAAAGCCCGTCAGAGAGCCAGGACCTTGAGAACTCCAGAGGCTCCATTGGGCAGTCTGGAAGGACAGGGTGGGACGACTCGGTGCTCTGGCCTGGGGAGGGCTGACTGGATCGATTCCAACAGGAAGGACACTCCTCTCTTGAGTATCAGTTCTAATAAAGGCCCGGTTGCGCAGGGGGCTGTCCTCAGGCAGTGACAGGTTGTGTGTGTCCCAGAATCCCAGTGTTGGAAACCTAATCTGAAAGTCCTGTGTTGATGGCATTTGGAGGTAGGACTTTGGCTGGATCAGACTAGGACATGGTGGGGAGCCCAGATGCCTCCGTGGTTTTATAAGAAGAGAAAGAGGGAACCCAACCAGAGAGTGCCTGTCTTGCCATGTGATGCCCTCTGCCGCACTGTGGTGCAAGAGCACAGCCGCTGTGGACTCTGGTGCCATGTACTTGGACTACCCAGACTCCAGAATCATGAGTTACATAAACCTGAGTTCTTTGCCAACTGCCTAGTCTGTGATATCTACGGATAATGGCAGAAAAGCAGACTAAGAAAAGCATTGTGGAACTCTTCTCAACTTGACCACACAACTGGGTTGCCTTGGTTTTGGTTCATTTTGTAACCATTTGGAGGTTGGGTGGAAGGAGGGTGTAAGTATATGGAAGAAAGTGAAAATATATGACGCCAGCCAGGACAAGTATGTCCCAGGAGGTCATGAAGCGATATAGATTGGACCCCATTCTCCTAAATGCCTGAAACTCAGAAAAACTTCCAAGATGGCAGTTAGGGTGAGTGGATGGAGGGATAGCTGCCAGCACCTGAGGCATGGTGTGGCTGGCTGAGAGGAACCTCAGAAGAGGGGTCATGTAGGTCTCAAGTTCATTTTGTGTCTCAGTCTTCTCCATAAAATGGAGCTCCTAGCAAGATGTTTATGATTCCTTCAGAAGCTAAAGTTCTAAAATCTAGGGGCAGTAGAGGAGATCCACTTTTTACAGAGGAATAAGTTCAAGGACCAGAGTATACATATAATTTGTATGCATGTATAGTAGACCAGAAACACCTACCTTACTGTATTCAAATCAATATGACAGTGACTATGACCCCAGTAAGTTGCTACAGGCAACCTTCCTGGAGAGCAAACACAACTTCTGAACTCACAGGTATAAGAAAATTGTAAGAAGAAAAGAAGTCAAGAAGTCCTCAGGTGCAGGGTCCCAAAGCTTTGGGCCATCCTCGACTGCTTTCCCGGGCCACAGGCAGGGAGCTGGAAGGGAAGCAGGGCTGCTGGGATAGAACCGGCGCCCATATGGGATCCAGGGCATGCAAGGCGAGGACCTTAACCACTGCGCCATCGCGCCGGGCCCAAAAATAAATAAATCTTAAAAAAAAAAGACAAAACAACGAAAACCAGGCCCAGCACCACAGTTCAGTGTCTAAATCCTTGCCTTGCACAACCTGGGATCCCATGTGGGCACCAGTTCGTGTCCTAGCTGTTCCACTTCCCATGCAGCTTCCTGTTTGTGGCCTGGGAAAGCAATCAAGAATGGTTGAAAACCTTGAGACTCTGCACCCACATGGGAGACCTGGAAGAAGCTCTTGGTTCTGGTTTCGAATCGACTCAGCTCTGGCTGTTGTGATCACCTGGGGAGTGAACCAGTGGAGAGATCTTTCTGTCTTTCCTTCTCTCTGTAGATCTGACTTTCCAAGAAGAATAAATAAATCCTAAAAAAAAAAAATCAATCTACAGCTCTACCTACCATATGATCCAGCTATCCCACTTCCGGATATGCCTCTGAAGGAAATAAGATCTGCAGGAAATGGAGCCAATGAAAGATACACCTGCATTCCAATGTACATTGCTTTACCATTTCCAATAGCCTAGATACAGCCAGGGGCTGGCACTGTGGCACTGCAGGTCAAGCCACCAATCGTATTGCTGGAGTGCTGGTGTGACTCTCAGTGCTCTGCTGAGATCTACCCTTCTGATAATGTGTGTCTGACCCTCCTGATTCCTGGCTTTGGCACAGTCCACCCCTACATGTGGCAGAATTTCAGGAAACGACCAAACAGGTGTAAGCTCTTTCTCTCATCCATCCCCTTTTGTCATTTTACTTTTCAAATAAATTAAATCTTAAGGAAAAAAATTGACCTAGGTGTCCACTGAAGAATGAATAAAGAAAATGTTTTACTTAAAACATGTGTAAATATGGACATATATATATATATATATATGCTGGAATATTATTCTGCCATAAAAACAAATGAGATTTTGACAATTAAGGCAAAAAGAGTGGAACTGGAACTAGAGGTTACTGCATTGTTAAATAAGACAGATACAAAAAAGAAACACCTGTTATCATATCTGGAAGTTTTATATATATGTGTGTGTGTGTGTATAAATGTGAATATATATGTATATATACACATACATATTGTGTATATAGAGAGATATATAAGTTTGCATATATACCATCATCCTACCTTCCACATACCACACACATACATCTTGTGTTTTGCAGCACATTGGGGTGATTGTGGGTTATGGAAATGTACTTCATTTTATATAAATAACCGCAACAGGGGAGCCGATGGGAAGATGAGAAGATGGCTAGGCTGATCACTTGATAGCATTGGCTTAGAATGTGTATGCGTGTGGAAATATTACACTGTACTTAAAAATTCACAAGCATTACATGCTAGTATAAGATTTAAAAGACAACCAAAAAGAGAATGGAAATAGGCCCTAAAATAAGCACAGGTTGTTTGATACTCTGATTTGAATTCAGATTAAGGGGACACTGGTTCTGTCCTACCCTGGATACATTGGCATCGGTTTTCTCCTTATTTCTATAACTGATACTGTAAAGACAAGAAGCCCTCTACTAGCTGACACTAAGGCCCTGTTGTGATTCAGCTGTACGAGATCTGTGCTGGCACTGGTCTTAGTGGACAGACTACTCTAAGCTCCATCTCCTCCCATTCTGATATGCTCTATCCCTGGACACATGAAGACTTTCCTGGCCAACTGTAGTAGAATATAGAACCCAACTCAGCCTCATTGGATCGTCACAATGCTGCAAATTAGAACGGCTAGTTAAAAATCATCTCCATTTTTTTTTTCTTAATATGAAAAGACAGAATTGGGTGTTGAACCCAGGCCTTCAGTTCCCCCTTCAGGAGTTCTCTCTACCAAATGCTCCTCTCTCTGATTGCTGCAAAGTATTCAGCTGGGCACATTTCTTTTTTTTTTCAAAAAGAGAATCTTCTACTCAGGTTCAGATGCTGTTTTGCATTTCTGCTTTGCTTTAATCACAGCTTTTTGAATGCAGGCACCAGTGGTTTCATTTCTGTCATCTGATACACGGTACTGTTTTGTGTGTGTGTGTGTGTGTGTGTGCGCGCGCGCGCGTGTGTTTAACTTTAACGAAGGTTTTGCAGGAGTCTCGGGCCTCCCCCAGGGCTAAAAGCTTCCTCACTTATTTTCATCCTGTGCGCCAGTGTAGCTGCTCACAGCTCCGAGGACTCTGAAAGCCTAGGACACCTGAAGGGATGTTTTCTCATGGGCTTTTAAAACTGGTTGAATGGATTTAAATTTTCCTATACAGATATAGGAAAGTTGGCTAAGTTTCTTCTTGGTGAAACTCCCACTGCATGCTTGGCACCTGAGTGGGAGAGAAGCCCCGTGGCGGCTGTCTGACATTTCATCAGCTGAAAGGTCAGCGCCTGCATTTCCATCAGGAAAGTGGTATTCTCACACCTTTGGGGACCTCTGGGGTTCTGCTGGCTCTCTCCTGTTGGGTCCTTGGCCTGGCTGTCTCTAAGGGGGGATGTGAAGTTGTCAGAGAAATCAGAGCATGGAGAAGTGCCAAGGGTTGCTGAGCAGACAGCATAAGACCCTCAGAGGTCAGCCTCAAGGCCCACACATCCTCCTGCCTTTGGAGAGTTCACGCGTGCTCCCAGGGCTTCTGCTCTGGGAAGGGAGAGGGAGACGGCAAAGTTCCTGCGAGCCAGTGAGGACTGCTTCCAGCATTCTAAACACTTGGCACAACGCGGGGGAGGTAAGGTGGGTGCTATAGGCGGGACCTGAAACTGGAAAAGATGCTGATTCTTTTTGCTCCATCTCATGTCTATTTTGGAGTTTTAGAAAATGGCTTTGCCTTTGTGGGGGCGGGGGCAAGGGAGCAGGCTGAATTATTTTCTTTTCCTCTGAAAGTATCTCAAGACCTATCCAGGCCAGAAAGAGTAAGTTCTGTCTTAACAAGCGCTCATGGGTCTGCTCCACTGTTGGGAGGGAGGCTCCAGATGTTTGCTGTACAACCGGAGATTCATGTGAGCAGAATGTTAACACTCAGCACAGAGCGGGGCTGGTGTTATTCCAAGCGCTTTGTGTGCGTTTCTGTAGGGTGATTAGAGCAGCATGGGGCTGCTCTCACCTCACCGCCATCCCAGGAACTGGGCACCAGTAACATCATCAAACTTTGGACACACAGGGAGAGGAAGGTAAGAGAGGTTATTTGTCTGATGTTCTGGATAATTACAGTTCACATCCTGAGTCTTTTTTATTGTTATTATTTTTTCTCAGTTTCTTTTTCTTTTTGATTAAAAACTTCCTGACATATGAAGAGCTGCACATACTTTATGTATATGGCTTGATAAGTTGGGAGATAGTTACACACCCATAAAACCATCAACGCAATCCATCTCATAAATAGATCATTCTCGGGCCTGGTGCAGTGGCGCAGTGGTTAAGGTCCTCGCCTTGCACGCCCGGGATCCCATATGGGTGCCGGTTCTATCCCGGCAGCCCCGCTTCCCTTCCAGCTCCCTGCCTGTGGCCTGGGAAAGCAGTCTAGGATGGCCCAAAGCTTTGGGACCCTGCACCCGCGTGGGAGACCCAGACGAGGCTCCTGGCTTCGGATCGGCATAGCATCGGCCGTTGCGCTCACTTGGGGAGTGAATCATTGGACGGAAGATCTTCCTCTCTGTCTCTCCTCTCTGTATATCCGCCTTCCCAATAAAAAAATAATAAAAATAAATCTTTAAAAAAATAGATCATTCTCATCCTTAAAGTTTCTCCTTGCTTATTCATATCACCATTATGATATTTCAGGAGGGCTAGGGGGAGGTAATAAAGACACTAAAGATACAATATACCCTACTGGAACATATTTTTAGAAAAGAAGAAAATCTTGCCACTTGTGACAACTTGAATATATAAGGAGGACATAGAAGGCTGAATGTCATGAAATGCCACTTAAATATTCAAATTTGCTGAATCAGAGAGTGGACTGATGGTCACCAAGGGCTGGGGAAAGTGCAGAGGCTTTAGTTGGGATGCCAAGTCTGGTTGTACAATACAGATTAGTTCTGTACAATTGTCTCTACCGAACAATACTGTACTGTGCACTTTAAAATTTACTGACAATATCTATGCTCTTAAATGCTGCATCATATGTCCTGATAGCTAGTCAGCAGTAAGACACTGATTCGCATAATATTTAATAGGTTGTTTTTAGATAAAATATCTTCTTGGAAGGAAAATAAGAAAATGGATAGGAATGCAGGAGGGGTAGAGGAGAGGATGACAAAATACCCCATGCCCACATACGGCAGCCAATACCATGAGATGAATATTATGTTTCTTTTCTACTCCTAGATCTGATGAACCCTCGGTTTAATCTTCTATGAACAGCCTGGTGTTTCAGGAGAATAAAGCCAGGATGACTTGGAATGATGATCTAGAGTAAAGTGCTTGTTCCGGGAGTTTTTTTTTTTTTTTAAGATTTATTTATTTTCACTGGAAAGGCAGATATACAGAGAGGAGGAGACAGAAAGGAAGATCTTTCATCCAATGGTTTGCACCCCAAGTGGCTGCAATGGCCGGAGCTGAGCCAATCCGAATCCGGAGTTTTAGAAGGTTGCAAGGATGTCTTGCGCTCAAGTTTCTATATATACTAAGTACATTTTTCCAGCTCCCCATCTATAAAATAACACATCACCAGGCAAAGTAGTGTACATACACCAGCAGGTGCTGCCACACAAACATTGCAGAAGCAGAGATGTGCTCACTTACTCAAAAGGCAACAGCCTTGAAACACTCAACCTCATCTGTCATACCTCATGAGTGTTTCCTACCACAGTGGATACATTTAGTAGAACAGTAGGTAGCTAACTGAATCACAGGATGTTTTCAAGTTAATCCCAACACTTAGATGCCTTGTTTTCTAAACATTGGCAGAAAGATCAGTTTCCCCTCCCTCCCCTCAGTTGCAAGTTTCAATGTATCTGTTGACATCAGCACATCCTCTTACCTGATCTTGGATCATTGCTCCACCAAAAGCCCAGATGGCAGCAAAAACAAAATAAAGCTCGTAGATGTCCTTGGGGCAGTCCACAGGAATGGCCTCCTTGGTTAGGAGACATTCAAGAAGGTAGCACACCATCTGAACCATGCTGCTCTCCGGGATTGGAATGATTCTCTTAAACCTGCAAAAAGAGATCCAAACGTGCTCTAAGAACCTTGGTACCATATTCTGGAGGCACCAATGGATCGCTATGGAATTTGCTGTGACTGTGGATGCAATTATGTGTCAAGTTCTTGGGTTACAGAGAACCGTGGTGCTACTTAAGTCTTTGCTCACATCAGCTGTTTTGGTTCAACTTCCTTTGCAAAGGAGTCAGAACCCAAAGCTCCTGTTTTCCAGCTCTCTCTCCTCTGATCACTCCCCTCTCCACTCTTGCCTTCCTCTCACACTGACTCTCCTCTTCACTCTTTGGAAAATGCAGATGCTTGCAAGAAAACAAGCCAATCACTCCCCACCCCCCAACAATTTCTTCAGTTGTCAAAAAGCACCTGGGAAGGCGATCTGGATACAATTCTGAGGTGTCTATCCCCAGACACTTATTTCACAAATCAAGGCTTCACTGAATGGAACTGCTCATCTGAACAGATCTATGTTTGACTCAGTCCTGGCTCAGACTCTCTATTTCAGTCTTAGCTTTAGAGATCTTTATTGAGAGTCAGAGCTCAGGAGATGCACAAAGGACAGCCTTTGCCCAAGGCAGCAGGGACAGGAACATGCACACACACACACACACACACACACACACACACACACACACACACTTTTTTTTCTTGGTTACTCCCATTACATCATATGTATGTACCAAGTAGCCACACTGTCACTGCCCAAGGGCTAAGGTGTTGATGGGGCTGTGGGGAGGTAGAGTGCCCTGTGGGAAGATGTGCAACAGCATCAACTTAACACTCTCCAAGTCACCCACCCACCCAGCATTGGCCTGTGGAGTTTCACAAGGCACCACTTTTCTGCAGTTGGTACAGTTTGTACTTGTTTTGAAATTAGCAAGTCTTGCATCACTGCTGTGATGGGCTGCAGTAGTCTAGGCATTGCTTCCATTTCTCAGGGTAAGACCGAGGCTTTAATAAGTCTTTTTAAATAGATTTAATTACACATTTGAAAGACAAATGGGGAGGCGGGGAGAGAGGGAGAGTGATCTTCACTTGTTGATTCATTCTCCAAATTTTCACAATAGGTGGGCCCAGCTGCCAGGGCCAAACACTTAGATCATCTTCCATTGCTTTCCTAGCCAGATTAGGAGGGAGCTGAATCAGAAGCTGAGCAATAGGGACCTAAACTGACACTCACATGGGGTGCTGGTGTCTCAGGCAGTAGCTTAAGCCCACTGCACCTCAACATCGGTTCCGGCTTTCCTTCTTTCACTCAATGCATCTGTGTAACAGGATGATTAAATGAGATGCTCTTGGGCTCAGTTTGGATGAGGTAACAAAACAATGGGGGGGGGGGGCGAGAGCTGTCCTGTTCCCAAATGAAATTACAAGTGGAGCTAGGACTTGCACAGGCACTTGCAACCCTGGCTGGTCTCACCCTCTTAAGGGTCCAACAAAGAGGGAGCAGCTTGAGATGACCAGAAAGAGGTCTGGAAGGAGCCTTGGTGTACAACGAGCACCCATACCCCTGCAGGGAAGGCAGCTGTTTGCCTAGGGAGCCAAGGAAAGCGGCTGCATTGGCATGCTCTGAGACAGTGAGGGACCTGTACCCGAGAAGCCCAAGGAACAGCCTCTGTTCCTGTTTGTCAGAGCCAAGGAGGAGCTGGATCCAGGTATGTATGGGCTGTGTGCCCATGGGGCTGAAATGCTAAGAGCACCGCCTGGAGGGATGAGGTGTACAGGACACCTGCTGAAGTGGTACACGTGATCAGCTGAAGGAAACACATCCCCCTCCCCACCCCCCAAGAACAGTGGTTGGCAGTGAGGCATTCAGGGAGCTCCCAACATCTTTCAAACAGAAGCGGTCAGGTTTTTTAAGCTCTGTCACTGACACACGTCTAGCCAGGTGAGACCTCTCCCACCCTTTTCCCTCTTCTCTCTGTCATCACTCAACCTTAAAGGACCAAAAACTACAATTGATAGAGAAAGGAGAGAAGAAGTCAACAATATACCCCTTTCCCTGCAGATTTTAGTTCCTGGATAGGTGCAAAAACTGGAGTTTGCTTCAATGATCTGACACGTGTGTGTGTGTGTGTGTGTGAGAATAAGCAAACAGATGCCTTTTTATTACACAAGAGTGATCAGAAAAGTCATACTTGGTGACTTGGATCTCATACAGGGCAAAAAAGCTAACCAAATGAAAAGGATTTGAAGAAACCATAAGAAATGGAATAGGGATGTTTGATAATCTTTACCTGTTATTCAATTAAAAACATTAATGTGAGGGGGATGACCTTGTGGCACTGCAGGTGAAGCTGCCTCCTTCAATGCCTATGTCCCACAGGGACATCATTTTATGCTCCAGCTGCTCCATTTACTCTACAGCTCCCTGTTAATGGACTGGGACGAGCAGCAGAAGATAGTCCAAGTGTTTAGGGTCCTGCCACTCATATGGGAAACCTGGATGAAGCTCCTGCCTCCTGGCTTTGCCTGGCCCAATGTCAGCCGTTGCAGAAAGTGAAACAGCAGATGGAAATCCTCTTTTTCTCTGTATCTGTCTCTCAATCTTTCTCTGTAACTCTGACTTTCAGAATAAATATATAAATATTTCAAAAATTAATATATGTTATAGTAGCACACCTATGTAGGAATGGGTCTGCATAAAGTCAGTGTTAGGATGCTGACTGCATAAAACAGAAGCAAGACCTTGAAGTAAATGCCCCCTGTCTTACTCACTGGACCTCCATGGGGGCATTTGGATTCTTGGCTCCCTCACACTTCAGGCAATGCATCCCTTTACAGGGCTGTGAGAATGAAATGAAATACCTGGAGTGGCCACCTCTACCTGATAGATCTTAATATGATTTTTTCCTTGACATTATTAGGATCCTGAGCCTGGGTGGAGAGTTGTGTTTGGATAAACTTCAAAGCACACATGGTCAGGGCTCCCGCTGCTGCACTCCTCTATCCTCCCTCCCTGACAAATGCACAAGTTTGGCGTCTCTGTTTCCAAAGAGTTTGAGTGGGAAATTGCCTGACTTTCGGTCAAAGGATCTATCAGCTAAGCATTCCAGGCAAAGCCGAAGAATAAGCATAGATTATGTTCCTGCATTCACACCCTTGCCTGGAGGGTTAGCTCATTGTTACTACCCTTGCCCGTTTGAGGCACTAACCATATCGCCCATTCCCAGATCCTGCTGGCCATCAGGGCTTCTCTGTCCTATTAGCCCCCAAGGCCATAAAGCCATGGTCCAACAAAGACTAAAAGCTTTTCAATGGCTTCTGAAAAAGGGGATGCACAGAAAAACAGCTATTGACCCCGAAATATAAAACCTATGAAAAATTACAACAAATACTTCATTAGAAGTTTAAGATATACTACTGTGACTACTACTCACCCGCAGCTCAATTGTTAGTTATCCAAAGCTCAGTTTTTAATGTGGGAGTGTGTTTCCAGATCAAGGGGCAGGCAAATGGAGCAAGAAGGCCTGTGGCGCCTTGGGACCTTGTCTTACCCAGACTGAAGTTCTCCCTGCTTTTCTGTACTCTTACTTGTGAGCCATTTGCAGGCACAGCCCTGTTCCCATGCTTGACAGAAAGCAATTTAAGTGATAGACTTTAATTCCTGGAAACAATCCTGAGGCGAACTTGTGGAATCTTCAGGAACTATCGATCTCTGAGTCATGGCATGCGTTCAGCATCAGCCTCTAGTGCCCATTCTTGCCTGAACAACGGTATTGGGTACCAGGTTCACAGCACAGTGTACAATGGTAAAGAGAAAGAAAGAAAAAGGCATGCAAAATCACAATAGGTTCTAAGCCTGAGGATCTCTCTGTGCAAACTCATGATATTCTTGCTGTAATAAATATTCTGTTGATTAAGAAGAACAAACCTCTCTTGTTTATGGGACGAGTGTCCTCAGCGCTTACTGCTTTTACTTTCACAGGCCTATAGGAGGGAAAGTGAACTCACAATGTTGGGTAGGGCAGAACTGGCTAAATGATGCGTTCTATCCAATTCCTCCTGACTTGGGCCATGCCAGAAAAAGGAATAGGAAGTGGACCCCAGACGTCCCTGAAAAATGTCTCCCTCAGAACATCTGTCCCTGACGAATGTTACCTGTTGATCTGACCTTTGCAAGGCAGCCGCTGGCCTTTCGGGCAGATGGATCCGAGGCTCAGGATTGCTGCCTGATATTACAGCTGCTAGCGCTCTTTAGATGCACCCTTGTATCTGAAGGCACTTGGGCCTTCCTTCTCTTTGCTCATCTCTTCTTGCCTGAACTGCCAGTAGGCATCCCATGGCCATCCTGATGTGTGTCCCCCTCTGCCGTCTGTTGTACCTGGAGAGCTCTGACTTTGGGGACACGACAGGATATCAGGAGTGTGCCAACATGCTCTCTATGGGTGCTTCGACTTGTTACTTTTTAAATTTCTTGGCTTTACCTGGTTCTGAGTGTGTCTAAGCAGATGGGAAGATATTTGTCAAACAGGATGGTCAGGTTGGCTCTCTCTGTCTGGAGCTCCCTCTGGTCGATCCAGCTGCTCACTGGAGCATTCCATCCCAGGTCTGCTGGGTTGATGTATAGGATCCCTGGGGACACAGAGGGCATAGTTCAGTGAGTAGTCCACATGTGTCCCTATATTTTTCACCATAGAGTGTGATGTTCTCTGTTCAGAAAATGTATAGGAGTTTTGCCTCGGCTGGAGAGGGCTACTGTGCTAGCTAGCAAGGACCAACTCTAATGGCCCAGTAACAGCTGAGTGGAGAGTTGCCTTGAGAAGTATCCCAAGGACAAGTTGAAGCTCAGGAAAAAAGAAAGCATTGATGGTTAACACTTGTCAGTGTGGGAGTGTGCTGTGGGTTGTTTGGTGACCTCCTAAAAAGTACAGTCCATGTTATCATCTGGGACCTATCAATGTGATCTTATTTGGCAAAGGTATCCTTATAGATATAAAGATCTTGAAATGTGACTCATCTGGATTATCTGAATAGTACATTTACAAGTGTTCTTACAGGAGCTAGAAGGGGAGAGACAAGTTCACGGAGCCACAAGTCCTGGGACTCCTAAGCTAGAAGCTGCAAGGAAGCCTTCTCCCCTAGAACCTCCAAGGTGAGTGTGCCCTGCGTGACCTTGATTTTGAACGTCTGACTTCTGCAAGTGTGCCTGAATATGTTTCTATTGCTTTAAAACCCAACCCACCAAGCTTGTGATCACTGGTTGTGTTTGTTACAGTATCCCTGGGGAAGTTAGGAAGAGTGACAGAAATGATTCCCTCAGGTTGTGTTCAGCCACCTTAGCATAATGTCTTTCAAGAGAACCTGCAAGATCAAAGACATTCTCTGATTATTTTATCGCCCTTGTCTATATTCCTGTTGAACCAAAGTGAAGCTGGAGGCACTTGTGTCAGTGGAGCTCTGTGACCTAAAGGACCATACCTGCTCTGGAGACAGTTGCTGGGGTGGCCGTGCGCAGGTGGCTGATCTCAAAAAGGAGTTTCATTGTGGGGTTAAGGGGAATCCTCTCATTGCTCGCCAGAGTCAGCACCTGGAGACCACAGGAGGCACACGGTAAGTGGGAAGCAGTTCGGATGTGTTGACAGCTGCCAGGGATTTGGGTAATTACTGCCGATTGGGATTACGGATGTGCTATGGCTTGTAAGTATCTCCCCAAAAGTACATGTTGGCAGTTTAATCCCCCGTGCAACAAGGTAGAGGGGGATGGAGCTCGAGAGGTGGCAAGGCCACGAGTGCTTCACCCTCATGAAGTCAGGGAGCTGGATGCCTTGCTCGTTCTTGCCTGCTCTCTGGCCCTTCTGATCTCTGCTGTGGGCTGATGCAGCATGAAGCAAGGCGCTGCCTGAAAGTGGCCCCTTCACCCCCGAACCTCCATCCTTCAGATATTACCCAGTATTTCCATTACAGAAGCACAACATGGAGCAAGTCAGGATGGCTGTTTTCTTTTTTATTGTATTTTCTACAATAACTACCCCCCTCCGTCTCATCCTCCTTTCCTGCCATCTTTGTATGTGTTGAATCAAGCAAAAAATATGATCGAAACAGAATCAGTGTCAAAGATTTAAATGAACTAGACCATAATGGGAAGAGTAAAACACAATTTGAAGTAAAGGGCATAGGCTTCATGATACAACTCTTCCTTTCAAACTCATCCTTCTGGGAAAGCGTACTTTTATTCTAATGGTTCTGGGAACTTTAAGACTACTTGAAAACTTGCAATTTGGATATGGCCTCTGAACAAGTAGAGCAGCAGCTGCCAGCTAAATGACCAATTTATTGGCATCCAGTTGGTTTTTTATCTAAAGTATGCTTCCATGTGTAAATGTTTGCTACCATGGAAGATATATGACAGACAAGGAGTGTTTCTGGGAAAAGAAAAAAAAAAGGGGGAAATTTAAAACACTTGAATAATTAATTCAAGATTCCTTTCCACTCCAAATAGTAAATGAATCTACTTACAGGAGCTTCTGAGGGAAATTACTACAGAGCAGAGAGCAACAGCAAGAAGTCAGAATCGCTCAGGAAATACATCTGTTCTGGATGCTTCCAGTCCTAGCTCTTTCCTCTGAACTGAACATTGTATGGAATCTGGATTTTTTCATGTGTCTGCAACCCTGGCGGGTGGGGGAAACTGCCTCCTAGATAGACAGTAGGCGGTGCAGGTCTCCCATCCTCCCTCTGCCTTTGGTACCTTGTTGTCATCCATGACAGTATTCAGAGACTCAATCCACATTGGGTCTATGTCACCATCCAGTACAATCCACTTGGGTCCCTCGTGGGTGAGGTTGGCAAGCTCCCGCATGATGGATGAGAACAGTCCTGAAAGGAACCGCCCGGAACTCATTTCCCACTTCACCATGAGTTCTTTCTCTCTAACCCCAGCTCTTCTCCATTAGCTACTCAGAAGGGGATTGGACAAGAAGGCAGATTGGATGTGGCTTTAGATCTTGCTCTTTCTAAATCTTGACAGTGCCTAGAGTGTATTTCCCCTGTGCTTCAGTACAGCTTTGTGTGACATCAAGGAGAACAACCACAACACCAGAGAGCACAGCTTTTCGAGTCGCAGGAGACGTGGTGAAATGCGTTTCAGCAGGTGGCCGTGTGACATGATGGAGTTATAATCAATTTTCTCAGCTAAAGATTTTGTAATTGCAGCCCTGGTAAGGCTTGCCAAACACAGACTCCATGTGATTCTAATTGTCTTTACATGGAATTGATATGTTTACTTGCGCAGGATTGCTTTTTGTGATATGAAATTTACTCAGACAATACTATTGTATGATTTTTTTTTACTTATTCAAATACTGCTTTACGTCAGTAATAGAATGCTGCAGGTTTTAAAAATATGTCTGTTTGGCTAAATGCCTTCCTAAATATTCAGTTATTATTATTATTATTATAAATAGGATTTTTTCCCACATTTCCATTTCAACTGACTATTGCTAGTATAGAGAAAGGTTATTCAGTCCTGTGAATCTGCTTGACAATTTTCATATTAGAACTAGCGATTCTTTCAATAACATCGTGCAGATATTGTAGGTATGAAGTTGCATAATCAGAAAATAATTTTTCCTCCTATCTTCCAACTGATATAATGTATTCCATTTTGTTGTCTTACTGCATTTTCTGGAACTCCACTCAAAATACTGAATAATTATGATAATAGGCCTCTCTGACTTGTCCTTGATTTTAGAGGAAATAACTTTAGTGCATGAGGGTACATCCAAAAGTTTGTGGAAAAGTGGAATTTTAAAAGGTTATTTGGGTGCAAAAATAAATTCATGCATTGTTTTTTCAAAATACGCCTTTTCTGGGCCTGGCATGCTACCCTGGTGGCTCAAGTCCTTGCCTTGCTTGTGCCAGGTTCCCATATGGGCACCAGTTCATACCCCGGTTGTTCCATTTCCTATTCAACTCCTTGCTTGTTGTCTGGGAAAGCAGTAGGGGATGGCCCAAAGCCTTAGAACCCCACACAAGCATGGAAGACCTGGAGAAACCTCCTGGCTCCTGGCTTTGGATCGACTCAGCTCCAGTTGTTGCAGCTATTTCGGGAGTGAATCAGCAGCAGAAAATCTTTCCCTCTGTCTCTCCTCCTCTCTGTATATCTGACTTCAAACAAAAATAAAGAAATCATCAAAATATACATTTTCTGCAAACCATGTGAAGTACTTTTATGTAATTATTCAAAATAATTTAATCTTCATTCTAGCATTAGGCAGAGAATGTATATTTCAGGTTGCTATTTTACTTGGAATTTTCTGTTTGAAATGATTTGATTTTTAGGTATCCATTGATTAATGTTTTTTGTAAATATCTTCAAATGACAACTGATCTACCTTTCCCTTTCTGGAATAGAGTCTCGGTTAATGTGTACTGTTCGTCGAGGCATTGCTGGATTCTGTCTACTGACTCTAGGGCCTTTCTATGTCTACAATAAGTGAAATTGGACTATCATTCTCTGTTCCGTGTAAAAGTTGATATCGAGGCCTCAGCACAGTAGCCTAGCAGCTAAGGTCCTCACCTTGCATGCACCAGGATCATATGGGCACAGGTTCTAATACTGGTGGTCTCGCTTTTCATCCAGCTCCTTGCATGTGGCCTGGGAAAGCAGTGGGGCCTTGGGAACCTGCATGTGTGGGAGACCCAGAAGAGGCTCCGAGCTCCTGGTTTCAGATTGGCTCAGCTCTGGCCACTGTAGCTGTTTGGGGAGTGAATCAAGGGACTAAAGATCTTCTTCTCTGTCTCTCCTTCTCTCTGTATATCTGACTTTCCATTAAAAATAAATCTTTAAAAAAAGTTGATATCAAGCTTATTCTGGTTACATAATATGATTTTTGAGTTCTTGTTTTTTTCCGAGTTTGAAATTACTCATTTTTTTCTTCTGCTAGCTTTAAATTTTTTTTTCATGAACTCAAGCTTTCTACTTTCCGTTGATATCGCTATTGAGCTCATTTTTAATTTTGCTAGGAGCCATGTATTTTTTCTACTTTTAAAAACATTTTGTCATCTAATTAAATATTTTCTTTTCATTGTGTAGGTAGGCATTATTACAGTTGCTTTCTGCTTCCTACTGAAATACCTACATATATATATAAAAGATTTATTTTTATTACAAAGTCAGATATACAGAGAGGAGAAGAGACAGAAAGGAAATGCTATATTAAAACAATCTTTTATATTTGTATTTCCTAATGTTCTGAATCCCATTTACCTGGAAGTTTTCTTGTGTGGTGAATACAGTTTTATGATGACTACATCTTCTTTTTCTCCTCCCACCCTCCGAATTTGATGTATAAACTTAATAAAATTCTGAATAGGACTTCAATGGAATTTAAAAGTTTGAATTGTGTTATTGAGCTTACATTCAATATGGAAGAAGCGCCTGAGATAAATCAAGGAAACCATAAGAGGCTACTGAGGTGGGACTTAGCTCAACCGATATTGAAATATCCTATATAATGATGACAGAATTAGAAATACAATGATGTTAGTATTGCCTTAGGAAAGTAGGTGAGTGGAACAGAACAGAAGCCCAAACCAGGTCTCAATGCAAGAAATATAGATGTTAATGAATGACAAACTATTATTTAAGTTGGAATTTTAGTGAGGGGCACCTATTAATTCATTAGGAAAAGTTGGCTTACATAACCAATGGTGCAGGCACAGTCAGTTTTTCATCTGGAAGGAATTAAGATTGATTGCCTAGCCTATCTTATACTAATCCTCCAAATAGCTTTCAGGTGGATAAAATCTACTACTGTAATTAAAATCTGTATTGACCAAATTCATGGTAGAATCTTGGTATCTGAAAGAGCTACAAACTGAATAGGAATCCTAGTTGCCAAGAAGATGAGACAGACCCTTGATAAAAATGTACGTGCAGAAATATTTGACCAGAAATATTTTGATCTACAAAAAAGTGATAAATGAGGAAAAACATTAGCAAGAAATATAGCCAACCATATTTCTTAGAAATTCATAGGCAGTGAACTCTTGCAGGGTAATGAGAAATACTAAAGGGAAATTAAAAAAGAAAAATTACAAGAGTCAATTGTTACTAGCAATCAGAAGTAAAAAGATGCTAAATCTCACCGACGGTGTTACAAAAATCAGAGCTGCTGCTTGTCCGCGCCCCTTGATCTGGGCCCCTGATGGATGCTCCCAGTCTAGAGAGATGCAGAGCACTGGACTGGTGTGACCAATCATGCATCCAGAAGTTAAGAGCGAAGGGAGGTCTCCTCCTCCTTGCAGAAGCCATAGAAAACAATGGTCCTATCAGCTCCTGGGGAGTTCTCTCTTCCAGAGTCAGGCAACCCTTTCCAATGCCTTTCTGGAATACTTAGTTCTTTAAAGGTGAGGCTGAGCTCAGCACTGAATGGGCACAGGGGTCAGCAGCCAAGGTGGCTCGAGGAACCTCCTGGGATGCAGTGGCTCTCTTCACATCAGCAGGAGCCTGGCCCAGGCAAGGTATTTTTTTTTTTTTTAAGATTTATTTATTTTTATTGGAAAGGCAGATACACACAGAAAAGGAGAGACAGAGAGGAAGATCTTCCATCCGATGATTCACTCCCCAAGTGACCTGACCGCAATGGCCAGTGCTGTGCCAATCTGAAGCCAATAGCCAGGAACTTCTTTCCAGGTTTCCCACATGGGTACAGGGTCCCAAGGTTTTGGGCCATCCTAGACTGCTTTCCCAGGCCACAAGCAGGGATCTGGATGGGAAGTGGAGCTGCCAGGATTAGAACCGGCACCCATATGGGATCCCAGCACTTTCAAGGTGAGGACTTAAATCAAGCTGCAGCCAAAGTCCTGCCCTGCTTGCTGCTCTTCAGTGGACAGAGCTCTCCAAGGAAGGAGAACATTTTGAAGGCCTGATGTTTCCCTTAAAGTCCCACCTGTTTTCTCCCCTCTCTCCAACAGATCAGGTCAAAGTTCTCTCCTCTGTAGTTCATACCATGACATCCATGCCCACCCCTTCTCCCCTGTCCCCAGGCACTGTGAGAACGGCAGGGACTTTAGCCTAGTGGGGGTGGGATTCCCCTTCCTACCATCTTTCCACTCTCGCGTGGCTGGGTTGATGATGCCGAAGAGCTCATCGTTGGTGACTGCTTTAGGGTTGAGGTCCGTCCAGACAGGGCGGCGTCTCATGATTTGATAGGTCTTGTGCAGCGACCTCAGCACCTGAGACTTGCCCGTACCAGCGGCGCCCACCACAAACACAGAGTGCCGGACGGCCAGGAGCTCCTCCAGCTGGATCACCTGGGGGGACAACCATGAGAGCCAACCATGGGGATGAACTTGCCACCCACTTCCAGCATCCCCACTGCACTCCAGTAGCAGGGCTGCCACCGGAAGGAAGACCTGAAGTTGACAGAGAGGAAGGGTAAGTGCCCCAGGATGGAATAAGGATATGAAATAACATGGGACAATGCAATTTTGGTATTCATTTATTCGCTCTTCTAATTATTGGTCACTAAGTGCTGGAGGGTACACCAGGTAAAAGATATCCAGAGGTGGTCTCAGTTTGATGGGGGAAGAAAAAAATCAAGTTGACAGATGAGTAAGGTAGGACAGAAAGAGTCATAATTGTGATATTTACAAAGAGAGGAGGAAATGCTTGATTTTGTACAGATATAATGGCACCAAGAATGGCTTCTCTGCTGAAGGAACATTTGAATAGAAGCTTCAGGAATAAGTATAAGTTTGCTTCAAAAGTGCATAGGGAAGCTGTTCCAGGCAGGTGTAACAGGGAGAGGCTTGCAGGGTACGGCAGAGCCTGATGTGGTTATGGCTGACCAGAAGGTGAGGCTGAGTGTCATGTCATTCTGAAACCAGCCCTTCTCCAGGCTCATCTTCCCCTACTGTTGTGAGAGCGCACACATCAGAGTGGGAATCTGGTGATGTCCTTGTCACCACTCTGTGCCTTAAAGCTACTCTCTGACTTACATGGTCCTTGTCCAGCCTGACCCAAACCAGCCTCAGTGTTCCCTCTCATCCTCCAACACACACACACACACACACACACACACACACACACACCAGCCCAGCAGCTCATGTCTGGGTTTTTGCCTTTGAGCAAACTGTATCATCTATTCAGAACCTACCCTCTCTCCTGCCTTTCTATGGCTAAACCCCATGCCCCTTCAGGAAGCGTTGGATCCAAGGTAGGGGTCACGGATCCATAGCCTACATCAAAGCACCGCACAATATTGCAATGGTTACTCTTCCTGTCCCCTATTCTAATGTCAGCTCCTTGAAGACAGGCAGAGCTCAACTGGTGATCTTTCCCTTCCAGAGTCTAACAGAGAATCTGGCACATACCGAGTGCTGAATAAACAGGGTTTTAAAATATGATAGACAGTGGAGAAGGTCTTGATAGGACCTTTGAGCTCCTGAATATTATTATAGATCAAGTTTCTTTGTATTGTTCAGTGAGAGATTCTTACCAAAGGAAAAGCAAAACATGCAGCAGAACTTTGTTGCCAGGAAAACAGGACCATGGGAAGCATTTTCCCCTCATACATTTATTTATTCAAGATTATTTTTTTTACAGATTTGTTGTATTTTTATTGGAAAATCAGATATACAGAGAGAAGGAGAGACAGGGAGGAAGATCTTTCTTCTGTTGATTCACTCCCCAAGCAGCTGCAACAGTCAGAGCTGAGCCAATCCAAAGCCAGGAGCCAGGATCCTCTTCTGGGTCTCCCACACAGGTGCAGGGTCCCAAGGCTTTGGGCTGTCCTCGACTACCTTCTCAGGCTACATGGAAAACGGAGCTGCCAGGATTATAACAGGTGCCCATATGGGATCCTGGTGTTTGCTAGGTGAGGACCTTAGTTAGCCACTAGGCTATCTTACTGGGCCCTTATTCCAGATTTTAAAAGGTGATCATTATTGATGGCCATGTTTTTTAAAAAATCGGGTGATATAGGTTTTAAAAAAGAAGGCTAGAAGTGTCCCACTGGGCCTGGCATAGTAGTCTAGTGACTAAATCCTAACATTGCATGGCTTAGGATACCATATGGGTGCCAGTTTGAATCCCGGTTGCTCCACTTCCCTTCCAGCTCCCTGCTTGTGGCCTGGGAAGGAGTAGAGGATGGTCGAAAGCCTTGGGACCGTGCACCCATGTGGGAGACCCGGAAAGAACTTCCTGGCTCCTGGTTTTGGATTGGCTCAGCTCTGGCGATTGTGGCCACTTGGGGAGAGGGCCAGTGGATATAAGATCTGTCTCGCTGTCTCTCCTTCTCTCTGCAAATCTATATTTCTAATAAAAAGAAGTGTCCAACTAACAAATTTGGAGAAGAACCTTAGCCCTAATTCAACATGAAGGTAGCAAGTTAAAGCTAGTAAGTTAATTTTAGGGGAAGATAATTAGCTTTGGTTGTGGCAAAATGATTTTCTGTACTATTGATTGGTGTTTAGTTTTCATTGCATTGGTGTTTCTTCTTTTGCACCCAAGGCATTGCTATTGCTATTATTCAGAGCCAGTAGTGGAACTCGTTCCTTTTTTTCCTCTTAGCCAACTCAATTAAGATGTAATCAACACATAAAAAATGGTATGTATTTATGGTGCAGAAACTGATGTTTTGATATATGAATACACTATGAGATGATTAAATCAAAGTTATTAGCATATTCATTACCTCATATATTTATCATTTTTGGATGGTATGAGCGTTTAATATCTTTTCTCTGAGCAATTTTCCTTTTCGAAATTAATTAATTCATTTGAAAGATTGTGGCACACACAAGCACAGAGGCAGAGACACAGAGAGAAAAAAACAGAGAAAAAGAAAGAGAGAGAGAGAGGGAGGGAGGAAGGAAGAAAGGAAGAAAAAAAATCTGTTCTCTGTTCTTTGGTTTACTCCCTGGAGGCCCACAATATCTGGGGCTGAGTCAACGAAAGCCAGGAAACTGGAACTCAATCTAGGGCTCCCACATGGGTGGCAGGGATGCAAGTACTTGAGCCATTAGCTTTTGTCTCCAGGGTGTGCACTAGTAAGAAGCTGACACTGGAAGCAAAGCTGGAACCTGAACCCAGACACTCTTACTGTGCTTCAAATGTCCACCCCTCTTTGGAGTTTTCAAGTATATATCACTGTTAAGTGAAGTCTGTATTCCACTTAATAGATCATCAGAACTTATCCATCCCAACTGAAACTCTGTACTACCCTCACAGACAAACCCAGGATAATAAGTGACGACCTGCCTGGGCATATCATGGCTCAGTTAAGCTGGTTATAATCATAACCATTACAGTGCCCTAACCTGGAAGTTAACTAAAATACATAAAGACTTTCACCTTACTCTTTATGTTTTTTTTAAAGAGTTATTTATTTTTATTGGAAAGTCAGATTTACAGAGAGGAGGAGAGACAGAGAGATCTTTCATCTATTGGTTCACTCCCCAAGAGGCCACAATGGCCAGAGCTGAGATGATCTGAAGTCAGGAGCCAGGAGCTGTATTTCTGTCTCCCACATGGGTGTGGAGTCCCAAGGCTTTGGGTCATCCTCAATTGCTTTCCCAAGCCACAAGTAGGGAATTGCATAGGATGTGGAGCAGCTGGAATACAAACTGGTGCCTCTATATGATCCTGGCTCTTGTAGGTAGAGGATAAGGCATCGAGCCATCTTGCCGGTATTCTATGCTGCTGGTCTTGCAGGTGTCTTTCCAGGATAGGATTGAGTTGAAGCTCTATAGACTTGGTTTGAATTCGGCCTTTGTTTTTGTCTTTTGAGCGTCAGTGAGTAGGTGGCTGGCCCTCAGGCAAAGGGGCTTTAATCCACCCATGATTCTAATGTATTTGAATGTTCTCAACACAAAGAAATGTTGCAGTTCTTGGGTGTTGGCTGTTGCAATGACATTGATCTGATCATGACACATCGTATTCATACGTATATCTATATGTATTCAGATATATAAAATGTGATATGTGCCCTATAAACATGTGCAGCTAATGAAAAATTTGAAAATAATTACTTCCTGGAGACCACTTCAAAATTTTCACACACTCAGCGAAATGGTACCTGCACCAACACGGCTTCTGCGCCTCAGCCCTGCCACACTGCTGTGTGTGTGTGTGTGTGAAGGGGTTCACTCCACAGGGCAGGGGGGTGTTTGCTTCATTTCCCTGTGAGATCACAAGTTCCCAGACAGCAGGGGCTCCTCCACCTTTGGCGTTTCCTACCGTGCACCCCTAAGAAAGCATTTCATACCATGCACCCCTAAGAAAGGGCTGTTGACATGAGTAACTACCGGGTAGACCCCTTGCTGTGCCTCTAAAGCAGCCCTTGATTGAGGGCTAGGTCCCTGGTTCAAGAACTTAACAAAGAGAGAAATCTAGGGAGGGCCACCCTCAAGTACCTTGAGCACAAAGTTCTCCTCAGCCTGGAGCTTCAGTTCCACCACCGCCTTTCTCACCAAAGCTTCAAACTGGAAGTCTCTCCGGCGCGGGACGTCCAGGGCAGGAAAGAGGTCCCCGATCAGTCCCATGAACACGGGCATGTCGTCCGTCACGATTTTGGGGATGTTGAAGTCACGCAGGGAGCGCATCAGGACTTGGTCCTCAGGCCGGTCAGGGTCCCCTCGCTTCAGGGACCCTGCCACCACCAGCACTGACTTGATGGCCCGAAGGCCCCAGTCGTAGTGATCCTGTGGGTAGTTGATACCAGTTAGACCAAAGCTGCTGGGATGCACAATGCCACGTGCTGGGGGCAGGGGCTGCACAGTACAGCTGTGGAGTCAGTGTCAGGTCACTTCCAAAGCCCAGGTGAGGGCCATGGGGAAGGGCTGATGACTTAGAGAATCAGGGTCCCAGAATTCCAGTCTCTGGTCTGAAAGTTACTTTTCCGGCTATGGTGAGAACAGGTCAGGCACAGATACACAAGGGACTGGGTGCCCAGAGGATGAAATGAAACCATTCGCAGACCTTTCTGGCTGCACCTGTACATTTTTTGGGGGGTGGGAAAGTGGAGAGTTGTCAGGGAGAGTGCTCTATGAGCTCTTAGAGATGCTATAGGTACAGGCTGTTTCTTACACGCTCAACCCTGCAGGGCTTCAAGCTATGGGAAAGCTTTTTTTTTTTTTTTTTCAAATTCCTGAAAGAAGGTTTTATCAGAAGTGGAGCTCATTGATACTGGTCACAAGTAGAGGTCAGGGGAGAGTGGATCGAACTGCTAGCTTCCATTTTTACAATGGCACAATTGTTGGGGTAGCCGGGGAGAGGGGAGTTTGTGATTCAGAGCATGCACTTTGAACTTACGCATGCTTAGGCAGCTCTGTACTTGCTTTGCAGCAGCTTACTTAACAAGAGCTGTGATAAATGCCACAGAGGAAAAGCTTAGTGTACCAGTGGGGTCAAAGGACATGGTGGCTATACCTGAGTTGTGGATCAAACTGTCACCCTTGAAGGAGTGGACATTTAAAAATCTTTTTAAAATTGAAAGCCAGTTACAGAGATGGAGGGGAAAGAAAGAGAGAAAGAGAGAGAGAGAATCTTCTACCTTGTGGTTCGAATGGCTAGAGCTGGGCCAAGGCAGAACCAGGAGCTCAGAGCTTCACTCGGATCTCTCACATGTATACTAGGCATACACTTGGGTCATCTTCCACTGCTTTCCTTGGTATATTGGCAGGGAGCTGGATATGAAGTGGAGTGGCTGGGACTTGATCCCATACACATATGGACAGCTGGCACTACAGATGGTAGCTCAGTCCTCCATGCTATGGTGCTGGCCCTTGGGGTGACCATGATTAAGCTGCCAGAGTAGGAGGTCCATGTTCTACAAGACAGTGTCTGGGTGCGACTCCTGGGGCACACCTAGGAGGCAGTGGGTCATATTTCAAATACTTGGGTCCCTGTCACCCATGTGGTAGACGTCTATTGGGTTCCTGGCTCTTGCCTTTGGCCATTGTGGGCAATTTGGGAGTGAATCAGCAGATGGGAATACACAGGGTGAGAACTCCAAAGCAAGCTTTGAGATTGGGCTGTAGGAGCAGGAGTCACTGGCCAGAACTGAGTGGTGGTGAGACCCTAAATGTGATGAGCAGGGAAATAGGAAGACAGTATACCATTCTCTCTCTTGAATATCAACTGCATAGGGCTGAGAGAAGCCCAGGCAGTAGAAGTGATCAAATTCAGATAACCCCAAGGGGAAAGTGAAACTCCTTGGGGATAGCCCATGCTGCCTTTGCCATGAAGACATCCTCTATCCCAAGTCATGTTCTCACTAAGGTTTTATTCCTCATGAGTATATCTGCCTTTAGGCAAAAGCCACACCTAAGGTGATCAGAAATATGAGCAATGAGATCTAAGGAGCAAGCTACTCTCTTCCCAACCCTCTCCCCAGCTCATGTCCCTTGGGAGAGAATTATTCCTTCACCCAGGAACTTTTGTTGACTACTGCAATGCTTCTCATGGGATAAGGATGCCTGTCAGATGATGCTAAGTATTCTATTTGGAATGGAGAGCTGTGGCTAGACAATTCTGAAACATGTAGAGTCGAGGAACAAAATTGGGGTTGGTCGTTTGGCACAGTGGTAAGATATTACTTAGAATACCTGCAACGTTTCTCAGAGTGCCCTGGGGTCAAGTATTGGCTCCGTTTCTGATTTCAGCTTCCTACAAAGATGTACTCTGAGGGAAGATAGGTGATGAATCAATACTCGAATTTCTGCCACTCATGTGGGAGAGCTGGATTGAGTTCCAGGCCCTTGGCTCAACTGTTGCGATCATTTGGGGGAGTGATCAAATGGATGGAAGATCTTTTTTTTTTTCCATTTCAGATAACTAAAAGAAAAATGAAACTTTTCAAAAATGAACATGAGTCATTACTGTAGAAGTTCTTAGAGCTTTCAATATGCCCATGGGCATAACTGATCTCTATGAGAAAATTCAAATAGGTTTCCATAAGAAGCCAATTGGCCCCACATCCTTTCAAAGCTGAGGCTGGTACGTAGTATCCGGTCACCTGGCCTTCCCTATAGATCTTACCTGTTTGGAGAGAAGCTCTTTGCACAACTTGTAGAGAGTGATGAACTTTCTAGCTAACACCCGGGCTTCAACGAATCCTTCTGCTACCAGCATGATTTCACAAATCAACTCGAAGTCTGGAATAACCATTGCACAGGGCCTGTGAAAAAGGAGACAGAGCCCGAGATAGTGTCTCAGACACAGAGTTGGTGGGGGAGGGATTTTAAGACAGGAGACCCTGGCTGAAAACACAAGAACGCATCTGAACCTGCAAAAACAAATGGAAGACACTCAGCAAATTATTTCACCTAAGAATTTTAATGTAATGAGCGGGTTACGAAAATAAAGGAGGTGAATTCTCTCACCCAAAGTGATCTTAGCAGATAGTGGCAGAGTTGGGGCTGTGACTCAGGTCTTGTAACTTGAGTCCAGCATACCTCAAATAAGGCATGGATTATTAAAGCAAATGGTGAAGTATAGATTGAAGGCAAAGACTGAAGAACTGAATGCTGAAAAAGCACCGAGAGTCTCTCTGGTCTTCATCCTCAGATGTGTGTCTCCTCCAAACTTAGAATCCCCAGGCCGCTTCTGCACTGATTTGTTCTTGCACACATGCAAGTTTCTCTTGCTAAGGTCTAAAGCAGGTATCCATTAAATCCACCTTGATGCAAAATACAGAAGTAATGTTCTGTCTCTAAACAGTGATTTACTGTAATTTTCTCCCCTTTGGCATTAGAAACATTGGACTATAAAATTAGGCATTTTGAAATCAATTGGTTAGGCATGCAACAGTAACTAAAGGTTGTTACATTTCTTTAATTACATTTTCCCTATGCCCATAGAAAATTTTCAAATCATTTCATTCAATTATACCATTTGTTTGAAATATTTTACTTTGCATTCAAAGGAGCAGCCGAAACATATTCTTAAAGTTATTTTCACCCCAGGGCCCGGCGCCATGGCGCAGTGGTTAAGGTCCTCACCTTGCACGCCCGGGATCCCATATGGGCACCGGTTCTAATCCCGGCAGCCCCGCTTCCCTTCCAGCTCCCTGCCTGTGGCCCGGAAAGCAGTTGAGGACGGCCCAAAGCTTTGGGACCTTGCACCCGCGTGGGAGACCTGGAAGATGCTTCGGGCTCCTGACTTTGGGTCGGCTCAGCTCAGGCTGTTGTGGTCACTTGGGAAGTGAATCATTGGATGAAAGTTCTTCCTCTCTGTCTCTCATCCTCTCTGTATATCTGTCTTTCCCATACAAATAAATGAAAAGTTAAAAAATAGTTTTCTGGTTTTCTTCCAACTTCTGACTACGGATCCATTATGGGCTGCTAGGAACTGCGTGTTTCCATCCTGCCACCTACATTTGAAATCCTTCAGATGTTGAAATCCTAATCCCCGAGGTGATGGTGTTTGGAAGTGGTACCTTGCGGGGATGATTAGCGTGAGGGTGGAGGTCTCAGGATTGGGATTTGTGCCCTGGAAGGAAGAGTCTGGAGTGAGCTGTTCCTTCCGCTACATGACAGCAGAGTGGCAAGTCATCCATCCACCTGTGACCAGAAGAGACCTCCTCCCTGGTCTCGGACTTACAGCCATCACACACTGGGGGAAATAAAGCTACACTGTTTGTTCAGTCATTCAACCTGTAGCATTTCATTATAGCAGCTCGAAAAGACAAAAAAAAAATATTCCATGGGAGTTAAAAAAAAAAAAAACAGCACATGAAAGGAATAATTCTGCCTTTATCTTTTGTCACATAAAGTTTTTTTTTTTTTTAAATATGTCATAAACAAACAGCAAACAATGCAACCGTTTGTGGCCCTGGGCAGCAGAGATGACTCAAGTGTGCACACGTGTTGGCTCCCCCACATGGGAGAGCTGGTTGAGTTTCCAGTTCCTGACTTTTGGGGAGGTGAACTAGCAGAGGGGAGACCTGTCTTTCTCTTTCAAATAATATGAACTCATCAACTTTTAATAGTGTGAAGGACTAGGCTTCTGAAAACTCAAGGAAGTGTTGGCAGCCTCCCCAACACAGAGAGCACTTGGTCTGTCAGTGCTCAAATGAGACCACCAGCTTTGTCGTAGCTCTCCTGGATAGTAGCTCAGTAAGCAGAAAATCAGAAACCACGGAGCATCCTTTTAGTCTTCTCTGTGTTGGGGACCACTGCACTTTTCTGAAAATAGAATGCAGACTCCAGCTCCTGCTAGAAAATGCACTTGTGTTTTATCAAAATAAAGAAGAGTTAAAAACATAGCAATATTCACGGGTGACGAGGGTGAAATAAAAGAGGTGTTCTAACGCATTGCTACTAAGAGTGTAATTTGGTACTACTCTTTTTAGAAAGCAATTTGGCAATGTGTATCGAGAGCCTTAAAAAAATGTTCTTACCCGTTAACTCAGTAATTCTGCTTCTGGGAAGCTAGCCAAATAAAATAATCATGCATACAGAAAAAAAGATTTATATACAAAGATGTACATTATAGTATTATGCATGAATTTATTCTAAATGTTAGAAACGGTCTTAATATTTATTTGTGGGGACTAGTTAATTACATCGTGGACCATGTACTTGATAGAAAAATATGCAGCCATGAAATGAGATTTATTAAGAATATCTAATAGAAGAAAATATTTAGGATAATATGTTGATGGGACTAAAGTGAAAAACAAAGCAAGACATAGCTGGGTACAGATGACAAATGTATGGGTTTTAACTATGCATATAAACAATGAAACATGAGCAAGGAATCATTTTACTCATAATGGCATGACAGGTGGTTTTCAAAAATCTCTTTTTAGGGATGGCATTGTGGCATAGCTGGTAATGCAGCTGCCTAATAGACTAGCATCTCATATGGATACTGGTTTGTGTCCTGGTTATTCTGCTTCTGCTTCAGCTCCCTTCTAACAGCCTGAGAGAAGCAGTGCAAGATGGCACAAGTGCTTGGGACCCTGCCACCCATGTAGGAGACCTGAATGAAGTTCTTGGCTCCCGGCTTTGGCCAGGCCCAGCTCCAGCTGTTGTGGCTATCCTGGGTGTAAAACAGCTTTCAAAGAAGATCTCTCAGTCTTTCTCCCACTCTGTGTAACTTTGACTATTCAAAAGAAAGAAAGCAAGACAGAGAGAGAGAGAAAGAGAGAGAGAGGAAGAATCATAACCAAGTCTCATGTAAATTCTCACAATTTTCTCTTATATGTCACATAAAGAGCAGAAGAAACTTCCCTTTGGGAACCCTGCTGTGGGTCAGAGCTCATCCAATGCTCACCTGAAGAGTGCCTTGAGGTTCTCAGGCAGCTCCGTGCGGCCCGCATAGCCTGGGTTCATGGTGATGAAGATGCCCACGGATGGATCCAGGCTAATCTCTTCCCCGAGGAAGTTGAACCGCTGCTTCTTGTCTCTAATTGCATCTTGGATACTTTTGACCTGGTGAAGCAATCAGGGGGAAAGAATTATCCTGTATTCCTGTGGTCAGGCCCCACAGGAAGCTGGGAACCCCTGCCTATACTCAGCCTAGGCAACAGTTCTGTGGTTCCTTTGCTGAAGGAGAGGCATGGCCATACCCTGGGCCACTGCTGATGGGCACTGAGTGAGTGTCAGAAAGAAATCTAGCTCTTTACTTCCCTACATGAGACCCTGGGGCTGTGAGGACGGCAGTCAACAGTAAAATAGGTGTTTCATTTTCTCAGAAAGGAGGTTCCCTCTGCAGCCATCATTCAGCATGCATTAGTGCGGACCACAAGTCAGGCACCCCTTTGAGCACTCTGTGAACTTTTTTGTACCTCACCCTGCCCCTTAATCTCACTACCCACTCCTCCACCCTGGACCCATTTCTGTATGAGAACGCAACATGGCAAAATATGGCAGCTTTACTCTGTCATATAGCTACCAGTGGGGTGTGAATCCAGTCCAGTGGATTTCAGAGCCCACGCACCTAACCAGCCATACAATAGTGAGAGTGCCCAAACCTATTTTCTGGGCTTGTCTTAAGGCTGAAAGGCAGTTGGGTCTGTAAAAAGCTCAGTGCACAGAAAGTGCTAGAAGCTAGCAACACATACGAGAACTGCTGATGTCATTCTTTGTTGTTGAGTGGTAGTCCTGGTCTTGGTTTAGACCCTTGCAAGCTACAACCCTAACCACATCTTCCAGAATGCAGTCTGATTACAGTGTCAGGGCAAAGGATGGTCCCTTTATGTATACAGTCTCTGAGCCATGGTGAAGAGCAGCAAAATCCATCATGGCCATGATGGGACAGATTGAGACCCCTCAAAGGGTTGCGAGTGCCTTTCTAACCAGACTTGATTTTTTCTAAAATGCTGTCTGAAGCCAAGCTGACACTAGGTCTGGCCAGATTTATGTTCTGCTGCACATGAAAAGACACACAGAACTGAAAAGCAGCCACTCAGTTTTCACACCCAGTACTTAAGAGACACGTGCTGAAATGACCTACGACAGGAAGAGAAAGAAGAAAGACCAACACTCAGACTTGTTCAATCAGGTTCCAGAGCATCTCTGGGAGTTCCTGGTCTCCCAGGTGCCTCAGCAGCAAAGCCTGAGAGTTAGGACCAGGCATATATGAGTCACCTACAACAGAGCCAAAAACAGATGAATTACTTGGGGACAGGGCTTCAGGGATGCGTGTGTGTGACAGAGAGAAAGAGAGAGAGAGAGAGAGACAAAGAGAGAGAGAGAGAGAGAGAGAGACTGACAGACACAGCTGCATTATCCTCCACTGAGCAAGGCTGTCTCTAGTGCCTGGAAGGGAGAGTTTGCCAGGGTGCGTGACAGTTTTACCATTAGGATTCAGCGCCCTTCTCAAAGCGAAGCTCTAATGATTGAACGCATCTGAGCTCAGAGCAATTAGTGTGAGACTGAAACGTCTCTTCTATGTGCAGAATATCAATGTCCCCCTGGCAGAAGCGCTCTGCAGCACCCACCCAGCATGCTGGACAAATCCATCGAGTGCTGCTGGTCCTGGGCCAGTGGGGACCCAGCTCTGTTGTGTGTCCCCTCAGTGTCTTGATGCTGTACCACTGATCAAGGCTGCTTCTCCTCTTTGCCCCCAGTCCTCTGGTATATAAAATATTCAGCATACTAGCCTTGTCAGGGTACGGGGGAGTGGGGAAGCACATTTCATTAGCATTTCCAAGTTTCTCTGCTACCATTGTATGAAGGCCAAGGCAAGAGCCAGGAATCTACCCCTACCTTCCCCTCCACCCTGCCCCGCCTCTGCTGTTTCTCTTACTCAGCATTCTCTCTTGCAACACCTCATGCTCAGCAAGAATTTATCACACGCTCTCAGAATAAAGGCATCTGTGCTTTTGTGTAAAACTCTGTAGAGGGTCCCTAGATGGGGAGTGCTGTACAGGCTGGAGGTTGTAGTTGGTATCTGAGCATGGGTATGCGTGGGTGTTTTGCTGGCTTGGCATGTACGAGGCAGGAGACATTTGGCTGCTGGGATTTCTACATGGTTTTAGCAGCAGGGTCTTGGAAAAATGTGTTGGATTGTATCAGAAATCAGGGTTGAAGAGCCTTGATGATGTTCCGGGTCTGGAAAAGTCCAGAGGTGCTTTAGTCGGCAGCAGTGGAGAAGCAGGTGGATTGGGAAAGCGTGGATTAAACAAGAGCCCAGGCAAGTGGAGTTGCGCATGGGGGTAGGCCAGAATGACTGACAGCTAAGCCTGCCAGGCATACCTCAACCACCGGGGCATTATTTCTCTGCTAATATTCATTTGTTAAAGATATTTTCAAAGCAGATATGCAGTCACTTGGCCAGTGGGACAGACTGAGTTTAAAACCAGGCAATCTGGGACCACAACACGTGCTATGCCGATTGCATTCCAGCAAGTTCCCATCAGATACATATGTTCTCTTAGCATTTTTCTTTGCTCTGAAAATAATCATGTTACAATTTAGAGATACAGGAGTTCTGTGCTACAGCGTTTGTACTTAACTGCTGCTTGCAAAGCCAGCATAGCACAAGTGCTGGTTCAAGTCCCAGCCATTCCACTTCTGAGCCAACACCCTGCTGATGCACCTGGGGAAACAGTGGGGATTCCTGCCACCCCGGTGGGAGATGTGATTACAATTCCTTGTGCCTGATTTCACCGGGACTAGTCCAAACCATTGAAGCTATTTGGAGAATGAACCAGTGGATGGAGGATCTCTTTCTCTTCTTCTGTCTCTATCATTCTAGACTTGCAACTAAATAAATTTTTTTAAATTACATTTGATTTTACGACACAGTTTCACAGGCTCTGGGATTAACCCACCCCCTACTATACCCTCCCGCCTTGGTGGATTCCTCCACCTTATTGCAGGTGGCTCTCCCACATGGGATGGACGAAGCCCAAATCCTTCCTCGCAGGAGCCAACGTCATCAGAACAATAGCCAGGAACCCTGAGCGGAACCCTCCGCAGAAACAGAACAGTAAACTTCCTTCGGGAATCGGGAGAGCAACTTTCTCTGGTCCTTACCTAGTTCCAACTTTGGATCCCCACCCTCTCTTGCAAAGACCATCAGGGTAGTTTCTCCCTTCCCCCATCAAAAAGAAAGTTAGATTAGATAGACAGAGAACAACAAGGAAAGCTCAGTACTAGACAGGAAACGTTCAGCTTGGACTCACATATACCTTACTAGGTAGGACACAAAGATAAGTTACTCCTCACCAAGGTATTGAAGATTTCTCTGCACACCCCTCCTAAAACTATTCTGTGCCTCAACTGTTGACAAATACCTTGCTAGAGTTATAAGCCAGCATGGACTATCCCGAAATCCACCAAGCTCAGTAAAAATCATGCTTCAACACTACAAACTACTAAATACAAAAAATGAAAATAGACATGAGACAGCTGAATAGTACCCTATAGCCATTTTAAGGTGTATAGCAGCCAGTTGTGTATATACTAAAATTGAAATGTCAATGAAGTAATCACAGGATGTGGTTAAGAACTTGCATTTTTTAATCATATTGGTCACTCAATACCACGTCAGTTAACTCCATAAGGTTGTAAACCATTGTTAAAGTTATGTTGTGGTTTTTAATGGGTCGGGGCAATATTCTGCCAGCTCTGCCTTCAGACCAGAGATGGTCTCCCCAAGAAACTGTTGGATTTATCTGGACAATAAGATGCTGGACACTATGCAAAGTACATGCTTGTAATGAAAGAATTATGATTGGATTTAAACTGTAACTAAATAAATCTTTGAAAGAGCAATTTAGAGATACTACTTCCACATAGAAGATGTTTTCGGTGTGAAAGAGTGCAAAGTTATGTAAAAACCAGGGTTTTCAGCTGGGGGCAGTTTTGCATGCCCCCCCCCGCCCCCACTTGATAGGATACCTGGAAGTGTCTGGAGGCACTTTTGTTATTTAATTCAGGGATGTTGCTGTAGGCATGCAGTGGGTAGTAGCCAAGGACACTGCTCAACATCCTACAAGGTACAGGAGAGCTTGATCTGTGCCCCAAATGCCACTAATACTCAGAATAAAACACTTTACCCCAAAGCAGTGGTTCTCAGAGTAGGACCACCATCAACTAGAAACTGATACCTGCAAATTCTTATTTCCTCATGGACTGACTCAGTCAGAAATTCTACAGATGTGAGTCTTGCAAGGTATGTTTTCAGCCCTCCAGATGATTCCAGTATGTGCTAAAGTCTGAGAAACAAGACGCTCTAGTCCATTCTTAGATTGCCGCTCATGCCTGGGTGATCTGATTCGTGGCTGCACACAGACCTTGCTCCTTCAGATGAGCCTGAGTTCTCCACGTCTGTCTGTTCCACCTGGCCTGGAGTCTTGTCCCTGGAGCCCACACATGAACCAGGACTCCATGAACTTGGGAGTCTTGGGATATGAAAACAATGCGTATAATCCTATCTACACGTTGAATATGGTGAGTTCCTTCTAAAAAGCAGTGTTGAAATCTGGCGTGTGGCACTGTTGGGAGGTGAGGAGTAGTCAAGTTGCTAAGAAGGATACATGCTTTTCTTCAGCACTGAGCAAATGAATCTGAGAGCAAGTAGTTGCTCTTCTGGGACTGGCCCAGTTACTGTGAGAGCCGTCTTCTAAATCGAGGCTGCCCTGTTGTTGTCTCCCATGCACGTTCTTGCCCTTCCACTTCCCTTCATGGTGTCAGGCAGCCTGAGACCTGTACCAGGGGCTGCCACCTGATTTTGAACTTCCCAGGCTCCAGAAGAGTGAGGCTATACAAACCTCTGCTGTTTCTAAACCGCCCAGTGTTGGTTCTTGTGTGATCGCAACAGCAAATGAACTAAGGCAGTCCTCGAGAATGTTTTCCTGATTTGATAGTCTCCCTCTGGGCTCTGGGATGCAGGTGTGGAATGCTTTTACTCAATACCAATACCCAGCTCCTAATGGAACCAAAGTCTTTTGGAGTAGACTGTACTTTCCTCCTCTCCCGATCCTCTCCCACAATCGTGGTGTACAGCTTTGCAAGAGCACAGGCACTGACTGGGGAGTTGTGATGGCAGAGATTCTGTTTGGGCAGATCATCGGTACAAAGCCGTGCACTTGTCTGACCCTAGGCGCTGGGTTTCCTGCTGGAGAATAGGATCCTCTCCCTCCTAGGCTGGGAACTGGTAATCACAGAAGGTGCTGTCCCTGTATCTTCCCATTCAGGAGATGGCCATACATCTGGCTCACTCAGTGAAGGGCTGAAATCGTGCTGCCTCTGCCAGATCATGATGCTCTGGGGCGTTCCTGGGCCAGCCCTGCGCTGAGTTGTCTTCACCCTCCCCCATCCCTGACTTTTTCTTTTTTTTTTTTTTTTCTCCACTCCCCTCTAACTTGCCTTTTCTGTTCCAGGGACATAGCCCAGTCTGTGTTCCCTCCCTTCTCCCTCCCCCTGACCGGGATCTTTCTCTTTCCAAGCCTTTTCCTCCCCACCAGGGGACATGTGCTCCTACGATCCTGCCTGGCTCATTGCATGCTTTCCTCTGCAATGGCAGATTGGAGTTCAGGAAGTGCAGCCCACTCACCACTTCTTAAATCTTTTTTTTTTTTTTTTTTACATTAGACCTTAAGTTCTTCCATAGAGAGTGTTGCATGAGAAGCTCCCTTGGCTCTGGAACCGGGGCATTCGTGCAGCGCCTGCAGTACTTGGACCCTTTCGGCGGGGTCCTTGCTAACTGTTCTACTTTTTGCACTTCCTGCCTTAGTCCAGCTCCCTGGACACCTGGCCAGAGAGCATGGAAGGGTACAAGAGGGTGGAAGTGCAGGATGGCACAGACTTAGCAAATCTAAGATTTACAAGAGTAGCAAAGAGATTCTAAAAAAAAAATAAGAAGTGATGGTAACCTATACATTTTAAAAATAGCAGAGATAATCTTACTTGGAATTGCCACACTCAGTTTCATTTTTTTTTCCCCCTTGAGTAGAATTGCAATTCTGCTTAACCAGTCTGACATGGATGTGAAAATAGCCTGTAACAAAACCTCTGAAGCACCATGGCTTTTGTAGAAGTTCCTGGGGAGAGGAGTGCAGACGGGCAGAGAGTGAGTGGAGGGGAGGAGAGGGGAGGGTGAGGGAGGAGAACTGTCAGCAGCTGGTGCGGCTTCTGAACCAATATGCCAGCCTGGATTACCATGTGAATAATTAAGTGCAATTTTCTCCTTGGATGGGCGTATGATTTTAAATGTTACCAGCTCAGATTCTGCTGCGACTGTTGTCAGACCACTTTCTTGAGAATGTCTCCTGTGGGTGTCTTCCCAGACTAGAGTGTGACAGCACTAGGGAATTCCAGGTTGAATTTACTCAATTCCAGAAACAAAAGAGAACAAATTGATCTTGCAGAACCTGTTACTGACCTCAGGCAAAGCAGTTTCAAAAATAAGGAAAATTCTGTGTCTATTTTAATACACAGTAGGGCCAATGGTTCTTGGGCATTGCCTTATTGACCAGTGACCTGCCGATTTTCGTGAGACAGTGAATGGCTGGTAGCGATTTGCCCAACGACTCCAACAGGAAATGAAAAAGCTGGGATCTTAGTCCCAGTTCAGAGGCACAGCGTGGGAACCTTCCAAGAAGCTGAACTCTGTTGACTTGGATGGTCCTTTCTTACACTTATACATACCTAGGAGAATAGGGATTCTTGATCTCCTTTTCACAGAGAGGAAACTGAGCCTCACAGCCAGTGGATGGATCTGATGTGTGGGTATCAGCAAGAGACCCTTCCTGGAGAGGGGGGCCTCCCTTGAGCCTGATTTTGGAAGATGGAGAAAGGGGAATGAGAGAAAGGGAAGTAGATGCTGAGGAGAGGTTGGAAACAGGGGGATGTAGACTTTCAACAATGCTTAGTATGAAGACTGTGAGATAACACCCCTTCCCCAATTTGTGTCCCTTCTTACCTGCACCCCCCCACCATACCTGTACTGCCACCACTGACAAGACTTCCACAGAGATTCGATTGAACTCATCAAAACAGCCCCATGCACCAGTTTGAGCAAGGCCTTTGTAGATGTTGCCACAAGACTGCAGAGAAAAGCAGAGATGAAATTACCAACAGTGCAGTATCGGCCTACCGATACATGTCTAAGTCATTTTGCAACCTGTTTGTTGTAGGTACTCCCAGCCCCCTAAAGACTTCTGGTCAGAAATATGTATTAAATTTTCAAGAACCATGAAATGTCCGATGGTGATGGGTGCCAACCTAAGTTGTGGGATCAAAAGAACGTTTTCAAGGCACTTGGACGGTAACTTCTTTAAAATGTCACCAGGGCTGTGTTATTGTTGATTCCGAAGCTTTCAAGATCCCAGGCAATGAATAAAAGATGTTTTTTCTTACACTCTACTGATAAACAGAAACAACAAAAGCCTTCCACTCTGCGTTTGGTATGAGTTGATGGAAAAGTTTGTCTTGGATCTTTAAATCCAGGCCTAGATGTGGGCGCTATGATGCAGTTGGTTAAGCTGTGACTTGGGATGCTTGCATCCCGTATCACACCCCATACCCCAGTGCTCAGGATCAATTCCTTCTTCCACTCCCTGTTCAACTTCCTGCTCAGTCATCTTTTGGCAGGCCTCGGGTGGTGATTCAGGTACTCCCTACGTGGGAGCCTCGGAGAGAGTTCCTGGATCCTGCCTTTGGCCTAGACCATCTCTGCAGGTATCTGCAGGAGAGAGCAAGCAGAAGGAAGGATTCTCTCTCTCTCTCTCTCTCTCTCTCTCTCTCTCTCTCTCTCTCCTTTCAGTTGTGTTCTCTCTCTGTGTCACTCCATTGTCAAATAATAATACCTAGGCACCTACAGAAATAAGTAACTTGGAAATAAATAAGCTGGAAACGGAGAGAGACAACGTCTGCATAAAATGGACTACAGGTAAATCCTTTGAAATGAGGGCAAAGAAACAATTTTGAAGGAAAGAACATTTTCCTCAGACTAAAATCCATTCTGGGCAATCAGTGTGAACTAGTAAACCATGGAGCAAAGCAAAACACCGATGGTGGAGAAATTCTGTCCATGTATTCAGTAGGTATTATTACTTCTTTCCTTAGAGCATTTATTTGAGAGACACACACCAAAGCAGAGTAAGATCTTCCAATGGCTGGTTCACTTCTCAAATGCTTGCAACAGTTAATTCTGCACTAGGGCAAAGCCAGGAATCTGCAACTGAGCCCCTCTAAGAACCTCTGGTTAGACTGTGGCAATAGGTATGCCACGAAAACCAGAACATGGCAACATGAGCAGTGGCTCCCATGAATAATATCAACTACAAATGTGATGAAGTCCAGAGAGGAACAGGTCCAAGTGTTCTAGAGGGATCAATTTCGCAAGGAAGTGAATATCTGCAGTAGTTTCCAAGAATTCTTCTGTGGAATTTCAGATTGGAGCGATGTTCCTTAAAGGGGGAGGGATTTCCAAAGTCAAGCAAGTTCAGTAAATACTACATTCTTTTATTTTCTATTTTTTTTTTTATAAAGGGGTTCATTTATTTATTTGATAGATAGAGTTGCAGCGGGTAGAGAGACAGAGAGCACTTCTATTCTCTGCTTCACTTCTCAGATGGCTGCAACATTCAGTGATGGGCCAAACCAGGCCAAATCCAAGAGCCCGAGCTTCATTTGGATCTCCCACATGGATGCAGGGGCCCAAGCACTTGGTTTCATTTTCTGCTTCTTTCCAGACACATTAACAAGGTGTTGGATTGGAAATGCAGCAGCTGGGAATCAAACCGGCAACCCTACAGGATGTAAGGCATTGGATGGTGGCTTCACTCACAGTGTCACAGAGCAAGTGCCAAAACCTATACTTCGTAACTCATTTTTACCAAGTTATCATTTATATCAGAATTTGAATGCCTTGAGAAAACTGTGGAGTTTCTGTGGTGGATGTTTATTATCCCAGGGTCCTGCAGCAGAACTTCTAGACTCTGTCACCTCTGTTAGTCACCCCAACACACAGCTGGGTGAAGAACAGACATGGGATGGCCCGGCGCAGTAGCTTAGTGGCTAAAGTCCTTTCCTTGTTTGCTCCAGGATCCCACATGGGCACCAGTTCATATCCCAGCTGCTCCACTTCCCCTCCAGCTTCCTGCTTGTGGCCTGTGAAAGCAGTAGAGAATGGTCCAAAGCCGTGGGACCCTGCACAAGTATGGGAGACCTGGGAAAAGCTCCTGGCTTCGAACATGGGGAGTGAATGAGCAGAAGGAAGATCTTTCTCTCTGTTTCTCCTTCTCTGTAAATCTGACTTTCCAATAAAAATACATAAATCTTTAAAAAAAATAACATGGGAGTCATTAGCATACACATAAACCAGGAGGTTATAAAAGAAGATTGGCTAATGCAAGCGAGGTGTTGAGGAATCGGAGAGTTAGGAAGGGGAAGAGCGGGCGTATGACGTGTCAGAAACTGGGGCAATGTGTGGTCCCAGGGAGAAGTGTAACATCTACAGTATGGTTGCCAGAGAGAGCTTCAGAAATAACCTTAGACATTGCAGGTTCAAGAGCATCTGGTGTTTCTGCAATAGCCTCTCCAAATTGAGGTCAAGAGGGAAACTGCTGCAGTTACAATATAAAGAACAGCTCAGGATGAAAATTGCAGCCATGCCCAGAGACCATGACGAGCACTATGGGTTTTCCAGTGATTGTTAATGGAGTAAAGTGGAAACTTCCCACTGTCTCTGAGTCTTCACAGTGTTCTGTGTCCACTGTATGCCACCTACAGCCCCGGTCCTTAAGCAGCCAACTAGGATGATGCTCATAGTTTTCCAGAATTTCTAGGCAAAAAGAGATGGTGAGGATCCCTGGCCACAGCTTAAACTCACCTCTGAATTTCTCTGCCTCCCCACCCACAGTGTACCCATTTTCCTTAGGCTGCACTGTAAAACAACTTCTTGTTTTTTTCCCCTCCCTTTTCCATTTTTCAGACCCCTTTATCTGGCTCTATGTATCCTCCAGTTCAAATGACTGCACTATTCTCACCAGGGTCTTTGCCGTCTTCAGTTTCTTCCTATCTCAAATCATCTGGTTGTTCGAGGTATCTTCTGTGAATGCCACGGTTCTGATTTTAGTCCTATTGCCATGCCTGCAGGCTCTTTCTGTAGTCCACCACATCGAGGAGAGGTCCTTTCAATGGCTTTTTGGTCCTTCCCCTTCCTGATCCCTTGTCTCCTAATTGTGCCTACGATAGCGTGGCCATGATTTCATGCTTATTCCTAGATTTTGCTCTGGAGAGATGTGACCAGAACATTGCTTTGTGTATTGTGATGGATACACCCAAACGATCTCTCAGTCTGTTCTGAGCCTTCCTTCCTTCTCCTTGCTTCTGCTCCCAGCCTGGCCCTGAGAGATGAGCTTGGGAGGTGAGGATAGAATAAGGATGGGGGAAGGAATTGGCTGTGCACATCACTTGTTCATGTCTTGTTAATGGTGTAGGTAGTATTGAAATGGCATGAGCCCAGTTTGAAAGGATCATTTCTCCCAAAACTGAAACAGCTTTGCCTGGGTCTACATCATCTGCTAAGCCTTTCCTGATAGGTTTACTCTGTGGTTCTCCCTCCATTCCATAACTCTCTGGGCTTAGAGTTCATAGAACACTCATTAGCACCCTGAACTATATAGTATCGGTGCTAACTCCTCTCATTATTTCTTTGATGTTTCGCCTTTCCTTATAGACTAGGTTATATTCTGTCCATCTCTGTCTCCTTTACTGTCCCCCTTCATCTCTTTCCTTTCATCTTTTTTTTCCCATACAGCTTTCGTCTGTGTAATATGTATTACCTATCACCAGTCTATCATCCATCTATAATATTGCCCTGAATCCATCAATGCACCTGTTTGTCAACTCTGTATGATACATCCATTATCTAGTTATTATGTGTGGTCCCTCCATCTCCCTAGTTACCTATGTCTGGTATCCTCTCATGATGCTCCAGAGATGCTGAGCAATGGCAAGACTCAGTAACTCAGCTCAATTGCTGGGGAACTGTGCGATGAAAAGATGGCACTGGACAGCTGGCTACCACAGAGCAGGGATGGTCTGCAAACAGTTGAGTGGGACTGTTTGGTTACAAGGGATGTGTGCTGCCTGAGATCACTTTCTTTCTGGCATGTTCTGTTATGACTGTGCCCACTGAGGTTTCTCTAATCTGTCGTGATGACCCAAAGCTGCACTCACAGTTCAGATGGTCTCTTCTCCCTGTGTCTTCTTTAAGGCATTGGTGAGCTGATTTTTTTTCAGTGATTATTTTTGAGAGGATTTGAAAGCAAGTAGCTTTAGCGACCATTAGCCATACAGCCAAATCATCTCTTCCTGTTTGCTACACAAGGTATGACTTTGCACCATCATTCACATCTAAATCTAAGTGTATCTTGTAGCATATGCCCCTTGAGAGACTACACTTATTGCAGCAAGGCTGTCGGTGCCCAACTACGGAATAATCTAGAAGCTTAAAGTAATCACTAAAGGCTGAGCCTGTTCACCTAAGGAGCAAAATTCCTTTTTCTTTCAGCCTTGCTTAAAAAAAACATGTATTAGCTCCACGTATTCATCAATAAAAGAAGCTGTGTCAAAATTTAGAGGGATGCAGACCACCCCCTAGGGAGGGCAATTATTTTGGCTCTGGCTCCTAATTTTGTTTTTTTGCGATGAGAAAATGTGGTGCGACAGCAATCTCCACTCTGCACAGCACAGTCAGATACTAGAGAAATTGTTAATGCCATAGATCATTTGAAGAGTTCTATAACTCTTTAACTGCAAGTGTAATCTTGCAGTCTCAAAATTGCTTCTGTATTACAGTTTTTACAGTCAATAATCACATGATAATATATAAATATTTAATCTATTGAATGCAACTGTTTTCTTTTTTTTGTTGACTCTAAATTTACTTACCTATCCTCCTGCTTGCAAAAGAATCTGAAGATAGTTTACAAAAATGTACAAAACATAGTAAAAAAAAAAGGTAACGAGTTAATGAGACAAATTGTTATTACATTTTTTAAAAGAAGAAATCCAGGTGTGAACAGGATATTTCTTACGTGGATCTTTTGTTTTTCTGATTTTTTATGTGACTCAATTTATAATGCATTCATTTTAAAAAATTTATGAGTACAGGACTGAATGAACAATATCAGTTTCACATTTGCCTTCTGTGGGCATCTCTTGCTGTGAGTAAGAGTTAACTCTGTTTACAGAAGTCACATCTGTCTTTGTAGAATTTTCTGTCCCTACTAGATACTTTGGAGAATGGTCACTTCAAAAAAAAAAAAAGATTCATTTATTTGTATTGGAAAGTCAGATTTACAGAGTGAAGGAGAGACAGAGAGAAAGATCTTCTGTTCGCTGGTTCACTCCCCAAGTGAACAGCCAGGCTGAGCTAATCTGAAGGTAGGAACCAGGAGCTTCCTCCGGGTCTCCTACATGGGTGCAGGGTCCCAAGGCTTTGGGCCATCCTTGACTGCTTTCCCAGGCCACAAGCAGGGAGCTGGATGGGAAGCAGAGCAGCCAGGATACGAACCATTGCCCATGTGGGATCCTGGTGCATGCAAGGTGAGAACTTCAGCCACTAGGCTATTGCATCAGTCCAGAACTGTCATTTTTACAAAAGATTTAGTTTATCTATTTGAAAGGCAGAGTGACAGAGAAGAAGAGAGAGAGAGAGAGAGAGAGAGAGAGAGATCTTCCATCTATTGGTTCACTTCACAAATGTCTGCCAAGGCAGACATATATATATAATATAAATTTTTTTTTTACTTGACAGAGGATGAAAGGAAGCTGAAAAAGGCAAAGTTACCCACTTGTGTTCACAAAGCTCACTGTGGGAATCCTAATCCATGGGACAGCCTCTCTTTTTCAAATCAGAGTTTTACAGGGAGACCAACAAGTTTCGTGGGCCAAAAATGCTAGATGTATCATGAACGAGCAAGCAGATAACTTGTCTGGGCTCTGAGAGCTGGGGAGCTTGCTGGCAAGACAGTGAGTAAACCTCACGCCTGGTTTGGGCTGCCACTCCTTTTTTACTCCCTCCCAAGCTGGGTCAACCTGTACCTTGTAGTCCATCTGTTCTGAGCAGTTAAAGACGTACACCATGATGCCCAGTGCTCGGCCTAGGTCCTTGGTGGTCTCGGTCTTGCCTGTGCCTGCCGGTCCTGCTGGAGCCCCACTCATGGTCAGGTGCAGAGACTGGGTGAGGGTTATGTAGCACCTGTCAAACACAGGAGAGTCACGGTCAGTTTTAGTGTCACAGGAGACCCTGCTGGGTCCCAGGGAGAGAGAACCAGGAGTTCAAGACCGGATGCGGTCTGGCGGAGTTTCTGCAAGGGAAGGCTCTGAGTTCACCCTCCTCACTTTCTAAAGGGCACTCTCATCTCGACAGGCGTTCCCCAAGGCATCCATGGCTCTCCGGGAGGCTCATTTTACACTTGTCCCTGCCTTCTCGCTAGCTTCATCTCCCACTGCCCTTCTGACTTGTTCTCTGACCCTCTACAATCCTGCTGTCTGAAGTTACACTCATTTACCAGACACAAAATATGTGTTTGTCTTCCATCTCTCCTCCTGCCATCTGTCCCCATCGCTTTGGGACCACCTGGATGCTGTTCTTCAATGTTTGCCTGGTTAATGACGCCTAGATCCTTCGGAACACACGTGACATTACCTACCAAGTGTTCCTGGACTCCCTGCACTTGGGTGATAAAGCAGACGCCCGTGCCCATTCCAAGCTTCTACTCTACTTTAACTTCCTGCAATACCTATCACACCCATCTTCCAGATTGGCCTTTGCAAGATACCTGAAGGCAGGGCCATGGCTTACTCATTGTTTCATCCTCAGAACTTAACATTGTTGTGGGCATACACAGGCCTTCCAAAACTATGAAACATATGAATGAATGAATCAGTCTTGCAAGCTCCATAATCCTCCCATAACTATTTTTTTTACCAATAAATATGCTATTAAATTTATTCATGTTAGTTTTATGCACGCTTTACGCCTAAAAGTTCAGGAAAAACAAGACTAAAATATAAATTTATTCTGGTGCACAGAAAAAAAAGTTGTAGTCTATACAGGCTGAGATTACTAAAAAGTTCACAAATACATACTGTTAAAAATTACAAATGGATGTCCAATTTTTTGCACCAAAATGAACAAATGTTAATTCCATTTTCCATAAGCCTTTTTGAAATATTCCCAACATTTCCATTTAGTGTTAAGATTTAATGGTTTTTGTGGCTTTTCATTTAAGGGGATGTATAGCAATTGTGTAATGGCAACTATCATATCTAACAGCTTGTAATTCAACTTCATGACATTGTATATTTCTATTTTTCTTTCTATTGTTGATTTTGTCTTGTGGTTTTTCATTTAATGGGCTATACAGTAACTGTGAAATGGAGACTAACTTATTCAGATGTGAGGATACAATACAGTTTGCATCTCTACTTCCAGACTAAAGATGGGCTCCCAATTAAACTGTTTACTATATGACAATAGGATACTGGACTCTGCCATTGTCCATGCCCTTAATAATGGACATATGACTGTGTATGAAGAACTGTACTTTAGTAATGATATAGGGGAACTTGGTGGTGGGTGATGAGGTATAGAGAATTGATGAGGGGATAAGAGAAATCCCCGGGTCCTATTGAACTGTATCATGAAATAATAATAATAATAAAAGATTTTTAAGAAATAAAAAAAAAGACTTAATGGTGCTCAAGATGATTGGTCATCAAGGAAATGTGATTGAAATCTAGTTTGGTATATTACTTCACACTTACTGGGATGATAATAATAATATGATAATAATAATAAACAGTAACAAGCGATGATGAGGATATAGAAAAGTTAAAATCCACTTACATTTCTGAGAGCAGTGCCTAAAAGCACAGCCAATTTGGAAAACCTTTTGGCAGTTTCTTAAAAAAGCCAAGTTTGTTGTATGCGTCAGCCATATTTCCTTCCTAGAAATCCACTCACATCAAATAAGAATGTGTGCTCACACGCAAAAAATGCGCACAGCATAGCATTCACTTGTTCACACATCTCGTTCACTATCACAACATTCATTGCAGCAGCAACGACGACGAAGACTGAAAGCAACACAAATGTCCACAGACCGTGAATGGACAAAGAATGTAGCATCTCCACGTCAGGAGAGATTCCTCATCAGTATAAAGAATGAGTAGTTACCATACTACAAAAACGTATAAACAATAGAAACATTATGGCACGTGAAAGAAGTCATATACGAGAGACTATATAACTGTTATTTCTCTTGGATAAAACGTCCATAATGACAAACAGGGGCAGTCTGCGGATAAGCGGCTACCAGATGGAAACAGGGTAAAACAGAGTGAAGAAAATGTTCCCAAACTGGATTGTGGTGATAGGCACCCAATTATTGCTTACTGACTAAGAAATTGAATTGCATGTTTACTATGGTGAACCTTAGGCACATGATCTGTACCTTAATAAAACTGTGAAAAATGAGCCACTGGTCCATTTAATAGCCAGCAAATCAATGCAGAGACTGTCGACTAACAGGATGTGCAGTTGGAAGGCCCTTTCAAATGAATCCTTTGTGTTTCGGAATGTAATGCCTCAAGTTGACCAGAAGTTCTTAATTAATGCCTTTCATGCCAGATGCCGGCTGGGTCTCTGCAGACTTCACTAAGCCTAAAACCAAAATGGTTTTGAAAGGACTAGAAATAAGACCCCGTCTTTTTCCCTAATTAAGTATAAAATTTCCTTATCTGTTCTGTCCTTTGAAAGAGAAACCTAGGAAGGTAGGCTCCCCAGGCAGAGAGGAGAGGTATATAAACTGTTATTTCATCTAGCTGTCCTGTGCAATAGAAATGCAAAGATTCAGCTCATTAGGGGCTCTGGTCTGCATTTAACCCTTGGTGAGCTGGGCTCATGCAACCGCCTCACTCTTCATGTGAATGTTAGAATTTCAACCATCAGAGGAGTCAAGAAGCACAGTGAGATGTGTCAGGACTCTGGAAGAAAGCTGGGCTTGTCTCTTTCCTCTTGGCTGCTATTAGCATTTAACAGCATAAGTCTCCTCTTTTAAACATTCACAGCCAAATCTTAGAGCTCTCTGTGCTCCTTTAACTGCACCTGCCCTTCTGGGTGTTGAGTTTTGGGCTCCAGACTGGTCCCATGCTTTTCACTTCTCCCAGATCCAGACTTCTCCTAGAACTATTTTTCACAGTCTTGTGCCTCCAAATGGAAAAGGCAGCTGCCTTCACTAGCAGAATCCCGGTGATCACCAAGCTTACACAGTCCTCTCCACTCCTTCCTGTTCATCGGCTGCCTCTCTGTGGCCAGAGGGCAATCCCAGGCTTCAGCAGTTGCTGGACTCTAAAGCAATCTGAACTCTGAAGAACTTGGGCCTTCGAGAAGTCTAGGATTTCTCTTGCTCTGTCTCTCACGCACACACATACACACATAAAAACTTAAGAATCCTGTGAAAAAACATTCTAGGTGTTCATCTCTTTTTGAGCATCCATTGAGCTTCCAATTATCTACATAAATAGTTGGGATAAATCATTAAAATAGTATATTATACTACATATATGTCTTATATACACTACATACTATATATAATATGTATACTACATGTAGTGTGTATATGTGTATATAAACACACATATAATAGATATTTTCCATCGATAATAGAAATGGAGAGCTGGGAAAGAGTTTCTAAGTCAACTAAACCATCCCTTCTGTTTCACAGATGGACAGACTGAAGGACAAAGTGGGCTTTCTCATGAGTTCTAATAACTGGTTAAAGCCAGTGGGGCCTTAGCTCAAGCCATGAGCAAACACGAAGACAAGAGATAAGCAGTGCTTCCAAGTGTCGAAGGAGATGTAAACACTACGAATGGGCTACTGAGGCTTCAGGCTGTCCTGTATCCTCAGATGCATCCTTGCTTTAGGAATCCCTCTGGGATCTTTCTAGGAAGTCCACCCAAGTCAACTCCTCAGCCTGTTTCTTAACAGGGTCAAGAAATTGTGCAACAGTGACATAAAGCAAGGACTCTGGAGCTGGGCAGAATTGCAGATCTTGGCTTCACTATGAAGCATGTGTGAAATGCGGTCAAGTAATTAAAAATTCTGTCCTTCCAAAAATAACAGGGCAGGGAGAATATTGTTAAGCTATAACACCTACTATTTTTCTTCTCCAAAGGCATTTAGGTAAATTTGCTACTGCAAAAGCAGTGGCCAGGGTGAATGTGGCAGGTTCAATTTAGGAAGGTTCCTCAACTGAGAACAGCCTTCCAAATGTGATGATGGATTAGTTTAGTTTGGCTGCAGTGGAAACTCACAATCTTAGTATTGGAGGAGACTTCAGAGGTGAAGCTGTTTGACTCTTTAACTGTGCCAAGCTCTCTCCTATTAAGTTCTTTCGATATGATCACATTGCCCTTTCTTCCAGCAATTCATGGCTTATCCTAGAAGGCAGCCCTTTACACTGTTGGCTGCTTTCAATTGTTTGAAAGGCCTTTGTAGCTTTGAGCCAAAATTAGTCTTGTTTTCTTTGGCCAAATGATGTCTACAGATTGCGTTCTTATCTGTCCCACCAGGCTCTGATGAGGATTAGATGAGACAAGAGATTTGAAAGGAACTTGAAAAGTACAAAGCCAGTCTATTTTCAAGGTATTATTTTTTTGGAGATAATAAATATATTAAATGCACCTTTTTGTGATACAGATATTCAATCAGCAGATAAAGAAAGTATTGGAGATGCTGTACCTTGATTTCGGTAATGAACAGTTTGTGGCTGTCACGGAGATGGAGTCTGGATCGTTCCAGAACTGTGAAATCATGGTTAGTTTACAATAATTTTTCTATCACTATGAAAAACATGGCCAGGTACGTAGAGACCTAAAACAACACCCATTTGTTCTAAAATATTCTTTCTTTGCAAGGGATAGTGCAGAGAGTGAGAGACAGCGAGAGATCTTCCATCTGTTAGTTCACTTGAAGAATGCTTGGCTTGGGTACCTGTCACACATGTGGCAGACATGGATGAAGTTTCTGATTCCTGGCTTCACCCTGGCGGTTGTGCCATGTGGGGAGTGAGGCAGCAGATGGGAGATCTCTGCCTTTCTCTTTGTGTGTCCCTCTCTGTCACTTTGCCTTTCAAATATATAAGCAAAATTTAAAAAAATATTTCCAATCAGTTGTAGGACCAAGGTGCC